TGTTACCTGATGAAGGGTACGACATTTGCTAATACAGACATACAAGCCCAGAGTAGGGAGAAGAGGGAAGGGTTCCAGACCCAGGAGCCCAAGCTTTCTTCAATAATGGTGATTCACCACAAGAGTTCAAGATAGGGGCGACTTCATCATAATTTGGAAATAAAATGCAGACAGTGTGTGAGTTGGAGAGAAAGAGGTTGGGGCTGGAGACCAGGCAGGAAATGGGTGCAAGGGTCCAGGTGAAGAGCAGATCTGGGCCAGATCAGTCAGAGGGAGATTCAGAAATCACGATGGAAGAAGCCAGGTGAGACTTGGTAGCTTTCGGGGGGACTTGTGGGGATGGGTGGAAGGTAAGAGAAGGCTCTGGGGGGGGCGTGACTTGAGATTTGGAGCCCAGGTGATTGAAATGCAGACTGCGCTGCCCTCCAGGGGGACAAATTTTGCAGGCAGGTGGGAATGCAGGTCTGGTGGTAGGAGTGGTGTCTGACTAGAGCTGTCCACTCCGTGGGAGCAGGAGAAGATGGGCATTGGGTGTGCTGCTTGTTTTGGAGAGAGCCTGGGGACCATGGGATCTGCCCCTCACTACTTCTCTCCTGGGTATCCAGAGCCCAGCTGTGGCCTTCTGAGCAAGACTCCTGTCAGCTTAGAGAGTCCTGGGGTAGAGGAGGGTCCTCTGGCTTTAAATAGAATGAGGCCTTGGATTCAGGCATTTATGAACTCCAGTATGTCTGAGTCTGGCTGTCCACTGGTTGATTCTTTATCAGTACATGACACTGCCACCTTGGTTACATAGCTTGGATTTTGGGACTTATTCACAGGTGATTCTGGGGCAGAGCATTGCTAGGGGAGCACTGGGTATCTATTTCAAGGCTTTGGGAATACTACTATTTCTTTCTTCGTGGGTCTTAGTTTTCTGTTCTTTAGAATGGGTGCAAATGTTCCCAATTAACTGACTGCTAGTGACCAAGGTGCTTTTTTTTCGGGGGTGGTGTGTGGCACATACTGGAGATTGAACTCAGGGGCCCTCGTCCACTGAGCACATCCTCAGCTCTGTTTTTTATTTTATTTAGAGACAGGGTCTCACTGAGTTGCTTAGCATCTCGTTTTTGCTGAGGTTGGCTTTGAACTCACCAGCCTCCTGCCTCAGCCTCCTGAGTCTCTGGGATAGGTGTGTGCTACCACACCCAGCTCAAGTTGCTTTTAACATTTGAGAGGTGTACTACATCCCTACTCAGGAAGTACCTCAGAAGACTCCAGGATCAGGAAGGTAGGTCCCTTTGCATACTCTTTGAAGCCCCCACTTCTCCTGTCTCTGAGACAGGGGCTGCATGAGAAACATGCCAGAAAGGCTTGTCTTCCTCCTGCCTCCCACTGAGGTGCCTGATACCCTCAGACTCTAGAGTCCCACAGATCTCTCTGAATCTTGCCTCTGTTCCTAATTAGCTGTGTATCTTGGGAAAAGACTTCTCTTTGAGCTTCAGTGTCATTATCTCTAAAATTAATAGCAACCATAGTGTTGGTGTGAGGGTTAAATGAAAAAAAATCATGGAAAACACAAAGTAAGTGTGATATTTTGGGGTCTTTTCTTTTTTTGGTACCGGGGCTTGAACTCCCAGACACTGAACCACTGAGCATTCCCTGGTCCTTTTTATATTTGATTTAGAGACAGGGTCTTGCCAAGTTGCTGAGGCTAGCTTTGAACTCACAATCCTCTTGCCTCAGCCTCCTGAGCCGCTGGGATTACAGGCATATGCCATGGCCCCTGACTGGGGTCTTTATGAATAAAGGTTTTTCTGTCACCAAGGAGCCCCTGATGAAAAAGCCCAGACACATTAAGGAATCACTTGAGAGGGTTATGACCATCAGAATTGAGAATGAAGATGGACTAGGGAGCTGAGGATGCCAGGGGGAGGCTCTTGCCAAGTTTCTGGGGTTGGACCTGCAGAACAGGGCTGGCAGGCGTGACGGGCGCTGTCCGTGGTGCTGAACACAATTCTTGGCTCAGGCCTGCCCAGGCTTTCAGAGATCTGTGCAACCATCTGGCAACGAGCAAGGAAGGGTAGTCCACAAGGCCAAGGGCAGCTTCCAAAGCCTGAGTCCTTTCACTTCATTTAGGATCACTTTCCTGACTTCACCCTTCTAGACCACAGGAGCCCACCTTTTGGATGCCGGGCTGCATGGGATGTTTTTCACATCGCTGCCCAACTTGCCTTCCACCCAAGCCTTAGCCTCTGATGGGATCATGAATTTTCGGGTTATTGCATCTGGATGCTGGAGTAAATAGGTTCTGTTATCTAATTAATCAGGTATTGTGGCCCCTGCCATCTGTCACTGGCTTTCCTGAGTTTATTAGAGGTTTCCCTCCAATCCCATTCCCAGTAGATGCTTTGCTTTGTCTCTTCTCTGAAAAATTTAACTTCCACATCTCTCACCTCCTTCCTGAAAATCTGTTGGTTTGAGTTATTTATTCACTCATTTCATAACATGGAACAAAGGCCAAAACATTTACATATAACAATTAACTTCATTCTCTTAACAAGTTTACTAGTTAGGTACTGTGATTATCTTCATTGAGCAGATCAGTAAACTGAGGCAGGGAGAGAGTGAGTGATGGAGCAGGAGTGGAACCCAGGTGGGCTGGCCCCAGAGCCTGTGCCTCTTCCCACCAGATTATGCTGCCCCCTCAAGCAGCTCTGTGAGGCTTCCAGACAGTGATTTGTGGAGACAAATGCTCTGGTGTTCCGACCCCAGCCCAGACTAGGCACCAGAAATAACTTGAGCATCTGGAAACTCAAGATTGAAACAATTAGTCAGAATGTAAGGAAATGGGTGTTTTTGCCTCTCGTAATTTGGTTTTATGAAGACCACTAAATGCAAACATTCTCCTGTTAATTACTGTCTTGAATTTGGTCTGTAATTGAGAGAACTAGAGCTGGGGGGAGCGAAGAAACCCGCTGGAGTGGCAGGCCTGCCCAAGTCAGCATTCCCAGCCGCCTCGTGCACCCGATCTGTTAATTTTAGAAACTCCTCTAGCCTGGGCATATTATTAGCTTTATGTACAGAGGACCACATGGCCCTCAGTGGCTTCTCTATGCCACAGTTTTTTTTTTTTTGGTTTGTTTTCTTTACCCCAAGAAATTAAATGGAAAGGAATGACGGTGGTGTGTACATAGGGGTGTTTGTGTACTGTGTGTGTGAATGGGGATACCTGGACTTGGCTTCTAATGAGTATATACAGCTGTCTTGGAGTGACATGTGTGCAGCTGGGCAGAGAGTGTACACAGCTCAAAAACACCCCATGGAAGCTGAAACCATTCTCCTCCAACACTCATTAGGGGATGTGTTCTGGGTGTATTCTTTGAAGGAGGGTGTGATGGCTGGGGTGTGGCCCCAGACCTTCACTGGGTTGTCCCAGTAGCCATAGGGATATTGGAGCTGAAGAAGGGGTGGTGGGTCCTGGAGAAGGGAAGAAGCAGACATTGACATCTGGGCACCAGCCTTAGAATGAGAAGTTTTGGCTCCTCTGCGGCCCTGACTTTCAAAGGAGCTGCTGGAAGCTGCCTTTGCAGAAGCCGCCGTTCCCTGAGCAGTTTGACTTGGGACAGCTGTGTTGCCTACCTTCAGTGAGGTAGGCCCTGCCCTCTCCTTGACTCACAGCATCATTTTGAGTCTGCCAAAGAAAACAGTTTGCTGTGAAGTAATTTCTTTGCAAACCTGGAACTCTTTGGGCAGGAACACTTCAGTTTGGGGGGGGAGCCCTCTGAAAACTTGAAGAGAGGGAGCTCGTCTTTCTCCCATTTACTTCCTTCTGGCTTCTCTGCCGTGGAGAGTGAAAGGTGGCTGAAAGGTTATTTATTCTGGAAGAAGGTATGCTTATTTCTGCCTGACTCATACCTTTATCTGTCTCTGTGTAATTGTCTGAATTAATAGTAGAGAGAAAGAGCTCTGCGGTGCAAGTTCTCAGTCTTGGGACCAGCCCTGGGATGGTTGATGCTTGGGTGGGATCTTTGGAATGATTGGCCTTATCTTCTAGATGCAGGGTCGGTGCCTATCTGTACTGTCTCCACACTCCAGAAGGCCCTCTGCTGGACCAGGTAGAATGATCACCCAACAGAGATGAGTTGACTTTATACATCTTCATATTGCTCAGCTTCTCAGAGGCTTTGCCCTGAAGATCCCTTTGACCTCCCTGAGGAAGGACTTGCAGGTGCTTTGAGGCCTTAGGACAATGATGCTGGAAGCCCTGAGCTGGTCTCCCTTGATTGCACTGAGTGGTACCTCACTGGTGCCAGAAATCCCCCCATTGACACTTCCTGCTTTGATGCTACCCCTGCCCCATTCACACCTCCATGCTAGGATGCAAACCTCTGAGGGAGGAAGATGGTCAGACATTTTCTGGCTAAAGGGGACATCAGAGAGCCAGTGTGGGAGAAGGAGAAAATGGAGGCCCAGAGTGGGGAGAGCATGTGCTGTATATTACATAGATACCCGTGACAGAGACAAGGTTAGAACTGAGGCCTCTGCCTCCCAGGCACTGCTAAACCTAGACTTTACCTGCTCTCTGATCTCTGTCTGATAACCTGTCTCAGGCCACAGCTAACCCTCAAGGAGGATGGCCTGGGCCTGGGGTGTTTGAGGTGAGCTGCTCTTGTCATTAAAACAACCGCTCACTTTCTTCTGGGTGTCATTGTTTGACTTGCTTTTCAATCTGACTCTCACTAGAAGGGTGGGGGTAAGTGGAGGAGGCTTGTTACCTGGGGCGCTCACCAAAGGGCAGGAAGGAGGTTATCCTTAGTGAATGAAGAGCCTCTTTCTGTGTCATTTCCTGTGTTTGCAATCCCCGCGTCTTGCTCTGGTATCCATGTGCCTGTCTCCCTGAGTCTTGGAACTTTCCAAGACTTCTCTCTCTCCCATCTGCTCTCCTTTGGAGCTTTCTCTCTTAGTCTTGTAACTTGTCCTCTCTCTCCTTCTGGTGATTGACATCCTGTGTCTCTGGGCAGATTTTACTGGGATCTGACCATGCTGCTGCTGATGGTGGGAAACCTGATCATCATTCCTGTTGGCATCACCTTCTTCAAGGATGAGAACACCACACCGTGGATCGTCTTCAACGTGGTATCAGACACATTCTTCCTGATCGATTTGGTCCTCAACTTCCGCACAGGGATTGTGGTGGAGGACAACACAGAGATCATTCTGGACCCGCAACGGATAAAGATGAAGTACCTAAAAAGCTGGTTTGTGGTGGATTTCATCTCCTCCATTCCTGTGGACTACATCTTCCTCATTGTGGAGACACGCATTGACTCAGAGGTCTATAAGACTGCTCGGGCCCTGCGAATCGTCCGATTCACCAAGATCCTCAGCCTCCTGCGCCTCTTGCGTCTCTCCCGCCTCATTCGATATATTCACCAGTGGGAAGAGGTGAGTGATCAGACCAAATCTCTTGGGATAAAGGGGTATTTTCTCAGGTGAAGAGAAGAACCAGCAAGCAGGTAATCTCAGATAGTTGGACTGTACTGTCAGATTATAGCAGGCATACCTGCTCCAAGAGGAGAAATATTGGTAATTTCTTGGTCTCTTGTCGTGTGTTAGATACTACACAAAGCACTGTGCACACAGTATTCCATTGAAGTCCATAACAACCATAGAACATATAGGTACATGGAGACCCTTGTTTTTCACATGAAGAAACTGAGAGACAGAGATGAAATGATTTACACAAGGTCAAATGGTGAACCTGGAACATGGAGCTCACTGACTCCAGAGCCTGCCCTGATAACAACTGCACCATATTTGGGGGATTGTAAACGCTAAGTCTTTGGGGGCCTGGCAGGGAATGTGAATGGGTGAAAAGGGCCAGTTGGGGACAGTAATGAGGGTGATGGAATTGGGTTAACTGAGGAACATACCTTCCGTCTGTATTGAGCAGCTTCTTCTTGGTTCTAGCTAATTGCTGCCACATAGGAATAGGCCAAAGAGGTTGATAGATCTACAGCTATATCATGAGAAGCAGAAGTCTTGATTTTTATACAGATTTTGTTGGCAATTATCTTAGATTGAGTTTTTCTGGAGCAGACCCTCAGAGGAGGATTATGTGAAAGTGATTTTCATGGTAGCATTCCTAGGTAAACCTGATAAGGGAATGGAGAAGAGAGACAGGGAAAGGTCCAAAGCCAAGCAAGTGTGGGACATTTAGCAAAGTTCTATGGAGGGTGATTTTTGACCAATCTCATGAGGAGCTCTGCAGACAGTATACACCATACATTGATGTTGTCCCAATTACAGAAAAGAGTTGGAATGTTGCTATCCCCTTACTTGTCAGTCAGTGGTTTGGGGCCTCCCCACCCTCAGTGCAAGCAGCCAAAACAGTTTCCAGCAGTCTGGGAAAGGCCTCTGATACAGACACTGGAGGAGGTAAAGTGCCTGGGGAGCCTGGAGTCCTGTGCACAATCACTGTAAAGGGATCCTAGGGGCTGTGGGAATCGGCTACAGCAACTAAAGAAAAAATTGTAAATGAACTGTGTGGGCCAGCACCATTCTAAACAATCCTAACTCATCCATGAGCTGGAGCAGTTATCTGTAGGAGGAAAAAAGGAGGGCCACAGGGAAGAAGCATGGGTGACCTTGCTGGGCACTTCAGTCTGTGTTCACCACCCACCCATGTTACTTGTTTTGGCAGCAACAGCAGGCAGGCTAGCCTGGGGGTACCTGGAGTTGTGGGGAGTCGTGTTTTACGAGACACCCACATTGGCATGTGGAGTGGGCTATGCTGGGAAGGCTTCTTGCTGGGTACATTTCTTGCTGCTTCTCGCTGCTGGTCTCCTGACCTCCAGGACCCCTGCTTGATCAGATGGAAAGTTCCATGATAAGATTACAAAGTCCTCTACCCCCACCCCCAGCAGCAGCCTGGGCCCTGGCTGGCAGCATCCATGGCTGATGGTTGGGGCACCGGCAGATTCAGGTCAGAGGCGTCATGAACACATGTGTCGTGAAGAAGTGCCTACACCAGCTTGGCAGAATTGCTCTGTGGCAGAAATTCTCTTTGGCTTAGAAATTTACATTATTCCTGCTGACAAAGAGGAGCAATGACTTGCCCAAGGTCATGCAGCAGAACTTTGGCAGAACTGGGGCAGAATCGAGTTGGCTCTCTTGGCTCCCATCAGTGTGGCAGTCTCTGCCTGGTGTAATGGAATGCTCAAGGGCTTTGGAGCTAGAATGACACATTTGAGACCAAAGTTAAAATGCCAGCTCTGCATTCCTAGTTGTGTGACCTTGGTGCCACCTTGTCTCTCTGAGCTTCATTCTTTCTATCTGCACAATGGGTGTGAGAATTTCCTGATGGCTGTGGAGGCCTTCACATGAATCCTGGTGCAGAAGAGCCATTTAATAAATATTACCCTGTTGTCTTGGTAATATTTCATTGTTTCCTCACACATAGCTGGAAAGGTAGACAGGGCAAAACTTATCACCCCTATTTTCCAGAGAGGAAATTGAAGATGAGAAGGGTCAGTTGCCCCAGGGGTGGTATTTTTGACCAAGACTTCTGTTCCCTGATTCCATGACTTTGACTCCATTAATATTCTCTCTGATGGCTGGGTACATCCCCAGTGGGTGATGGACTCCATTCAGTCCAGCAGGTCCTTGCTGAGCATCTACCTGTGCTCTGTCCTGGGTGGGACAGTGGGGACCAGAGGAGTAGGGACGACTCCCAACTGAGATCAGAAAGGGGAAAAGTGTGGTGGGTGATGGGGTGGAGAGCAGGGAAGATTTTGTGTCAGGTTGATTTGTGTTACCTGTGGGACATCTAGGTCCAGAGAGATGTTACCATGTGGGTCTGAGCTCAGGACTGAGAAGGGACAATTCCTATAGTGGTCGGTGTCTGTGAAGGAAGGTTAGAGGCATATTTCGCAGGATGCCCTGAGAGGCTTATCTCCTGGTTTCTGTACCAGGTAGAAATGGCTCCCTCAGAACCTGAGAAACCCTTCAACTTCTATTGGTCTTGGACTCGGAATTAGACTGTCATCAAAGCAGAGATGTGTTGGCTCCCTCCCTTCTCTGGCACTGGTTTTGGTCTCCAGACTCCAGCACTCTGGGGGCTGATTTGCTCCCCACTTAGGGCTGGGGCTCTAGTGGCCATGCTATTTGGTGGGAGTTGGCAGAGTTGCTGGCTGCCGGGCCAGGTGAATCTTGGGACTGAGCTAAGCTCTTCTTTACTGTCCCTATGCTGTACATTCTGGGGCTCAGGCCCAGGGTTACCGTCCCCATTGTTCCTCTGGCCTGGCTATCCTCTGGACTCCCCAGAATTGATCTGGCAAGCTCCAGTCCCCACCTCTCCTTAGGGGAGGTAGAAGGCCCAGGAGGCCTTAGGTCAAGTCTCTGAACTGTACATCACTATCCAATCTCATGGGGCAGGAAGGGAGATCCCAGGAGGCCAGATAAATGACTCTCCACTCCCTCCACATATGCCCTTATCTCTCCTACCAGCTGGGGAGGAAATTGCTTTGAGCTAGTTTCTGCCAGGCACACAGCCCAGCCAAGGGCTCCACTCAACCCCTGGGATTGGATTGGGGTTTCCCAGCTGGCCTCGGCATCCTGTCTCCAGGTCCTTTCCAACCCATCCCAGCCCTAGGACTTCTCCCAGCCTTAGTTTGTCCTGGAACAGCAGTATGAAGACCCTTTGAGGCCTGGGGTCTATAGGAGAGCTGGGGAGGGAAGTATATAGTTTATATTAAGTATATATCTCCTCTTCAAGTCCTTATGTGAATCTCTTTCCTTCTTTGGGTCTCAGTTTCCCCAACTGTCAGGGAAGTGCTGGTGTCCGAGGCTATGGCTCCCTGAGGCTTAGTCCCCAGCTCCCATTTCTCTTGGTAAAAATGGTGTTAGCTGATCCTGAGCACATGGTTGTGGCTGATGGGGCCTAAAGGAGGAAGCTCCAGGGGCAGGGGCCATGGGGAGTCTGCTTCTCCCAGACTGGGAAAGCTTTCCAAAGATGAAGCCGTGGAGTGGTGAGGCTCCTGAACCTCAGGTTCAGCTGTCTTCCTGAGCTAGTCCCAGTGCTACAGCCCAGGAGGTTTCCCAAATGTTGGTGGCAGGAGGATGGAGTGTTCAGGGCAGGTGCAAGCCACCCTCACAGGGGATGCAGCCTCTGCCTCCATCCTAGGCGATCTAGGTCAGCAGCCTCCTTCCCAAGCCTCTCCCAGCCAGCCTCTTCCCTCCCTCTGAGGTGTGAGCTTGTTACAGGCATGCAAGCTATTGTTAGAAACCTTGGTTGCCCCCCTTCAGATGTTCCCCTGCAGGGCCCAGCACTCCAGTGACCCATCCCAGAAGCCTCTTCTCTCCCTCAGCAACCTAGAACGGCAGAAAGAGGGCTGTAGGCTGTGTGGCCTCTGACAAGTCCCTCCCTCTGAGGGCCTTGAGTTCTCCATCTCTCTGACTTGAGTGGTAGGGGATAACACAGAGGAGTGGTCATGGGAGCCAGAGATGGCCCACTCTGCTGGCCCTAGGAAGGGACCCAGTGTGACTCTCAGTCCAGGTACTACAGGGTGTGCTCAGGATACCCTTGCCTGGCCACCCTCTCAGGCTTGGAGTGCTGCCCTCCATGCAGGAACACTTGTTCCTGAGACCTAGGTAGACGTGTGTTCTTTTCCTTAAAGAGCAAATGAGTCTCTGGGAGGGAACTCAATCAGGTCCCAAGAAGAGATCTTGATGGAAACTCATGGCAACCTGAATGCTGATTTCTGGGGTCCCCCAGGACTGAGAAAGCAACTCTGTTTGAAGGGCTGGGAAAGAGGGTGAAAGAAAATAACTAACAGAGTACCTACTATGCAGAGTAGCACTGTGTGCCACCCGGGGACATTATTACACCTGGCCCCCAAGACAGCCCTGAGAACTGACACTTACTGACCCATTCCACAGATAATGAGGCTCTGAGGGGAAAGACACTTGCCCAAGGTGAAAGACATGTTGCTATGTCCTGCACTGCAGATGACAAACTGCAGGAGTGGGAGTGAGCCATGCCGGGTGGGCAAAGTGTGAGCTGCCCAGACCTTGCCTGGCAAGGCCTGTGGTAGCCTGGAAATGAAGGTGCTCAACCCCCACAGTCAAAACCAACATCATAAAAGGGGGTTTTAATGAAAATAAAGAGCAAGGCAAATATTTGCACAGTGCAGCTGAGTGGCACGTGGGCTGTGGCCCTAGCCCATGGGACATACGAGTATCAGGCAGCTTCTCCCAGCAACATCCTGTCTTGTTCTCAGCAACCAAATCGTGGGACTAGTGCTGGGGTGGGTGAGTATACTCCTAGCCTGAATGGATGTGCCCCCGACCCACAATTCCCAGGAGGCTCAACTCTGACCTTGATGGTACGCTGGCTTTGCAGTGTTTGGGAACCAGTTGCAGTGCCCTCCCCCACCCCACAGCCTCCCCACATCTGACTCCTCCTTCCTTCCCACCAGGCACTGCCACCACATGCTCTGTGTGGGACGCACCAGTCTGCCCTTTTTTATTTCCACTGTATACACTGGCGGGAGCCCTGTTCACCACCAGCCCCATCACTGTCATTGTCACCTTCACCTTCGTCATTAAGCACTTCTCGGTTCCTGAGACCCTGCCACGTGCTCTGTGGCATTTTCATTGCTGAGATCACAATAGGGCAAAATTAGACAAAGACTTGATCTTGGAAGGTTAGTTATGAAGAAAAGAAAAACATAAGTGATGCGAAAGAGGGCCCTGCGTGAACACATTCCAACCCCGATGCCTTAGGACCCAGAGCGATTTATAGAAAGGAGCAGTATGTATGGACTGTGACAGGCTGGGGCACTTTGTAGACATGGCTGGAGGCTTCCTGTAGCTCCTCTATGTCCCCTTCATTCATTTAAGCATACATGCATATATTCAGACAATCAGCAGATGTTTCTCATGCCCCTGTGCTAAGCATGGAGGAATGCAGAAGTGAAAAATACAGAAAAGAGCCCTGCCTTGTGGAGCTGTATGACAGTAAGTAAATGTCACTTTAGATAGTGAGAATTCCACGGAGGAAATAAATGAGGGCAAAGAGTCATAATGAGGGTGGGAGGTGAGGGCCATTGGCTACTTCACATAGAGGGGTCAGGAAGGCCTCTCCAGGGAAGCAGTCAAGACAGGAGGATGAGGAGGAGCTGGAGGAAAGACGATGGACTAGCAAGCCCCATACTGAGCCCCGAGGCTGGCCCATTCAAGGACCTGAGGGAAGGCCAGTGTGGCAGAAGGTGGAAGGCCTTGGGCTGAGGGTGGGATGTGGGTTAGGCAGATAGTCAGGGGCCAGGACACTGAGGCCACAGTTAGCAGAGAGAGTGCACTCTGAGGTGCAAAGGGAAGTCACTGGAAGTTTTGAAGTGGAAGAGTGACAAGATCTGATTGAGGTCTCGAAGAGCTCTGTTTCTTGGTTGAGAATGGATTAGAGGTTCAGGGAGCCTCATCGGGAGGTTGGGGCAGTCATTTGGAGTGTTTGGAATAGGGTCTTACTGGGATTGCAGTAAAGTATATTATTTGAGGATGTCTTCATGGGAAGTGGGGCTCAAAGGAACTAGATTGGTGTTGGATTGGGTATGGGGCTGGGGTGAGAGAATGGGAGGAATCAGGCTGGCTGTTGGGTTTTTGTTGCTCAGCTACATGAAGAGTGATGCCATTTGTGAGCTGGGAGGAACAGTTTGGGATGGATCCATATGGAGATAGACAGGGAGACAGCTGAACAGATGAGCCCATCTGTCACTCTTGTCTACCTGTGTGTCTTGGGCATAACAGAAACAAGGAAATGGGATATCTCAGGGATTGGAGAGAGAACAACAGGAAGGCCTCAGGTAAGGAAGATCATCATTCCTTGTGGCGGAGGCAGAACAGCAGCATCCTGGGGATCTCCTTATCCAGTGAGACTCCCTACAGGGTTTGCATAGAGATACCCCAGACTGATACCCTCCACAGCCAGGGAAATCTTCAGCTGTGTCTGTGTCTGTGTCTGTGGCTGCAGGATCTGTGGGCAGCTGTGCAGGACAGCAACACCTGGAAGGGGGTTGCTGAGAGCCTGGCCAGTCTGCTGCGTAGCCCACTGCACCCTGCGTATCTGTCTCTCATGCTGAGTTCCTACCCACTCCTTCTCATGTTGCTCTCCTGGGTGTGACTGACTTCCCAAAACAACACTCTGAGCTCTGAGTGAGCAGGGGCACTTTCTTCCCTGCCCCCCCACAGGGAGGGAGAGTTATTGGGTACTGACACAGGCTGACCTTTTGCAGATTGTGGAGTAGATGTTTGGGTCATTCCGAGGGTACTGCCCTGAGACCCAGGGAAGAAGGGCCCTGTTGGGCTCATAGTCTGGGGGCTCTCTGAAACTCTTTCTAGATCAGACTGGGGTACCTGGGACCTAGCATTCCTGACACAAACAGCCAGAAGTCTGCTTCCTGGGCCTGTGTAGGCCCCTACTCAGGTCCCTGCTCATGTACACTCCCCTGACCCTTCACAGGAAGCTGTCGGTAGTGGTGGCATGGATGGAGCTTGGTTGTGGCCTGAGGTTCCTCACTGTGGAACAGAGTCAGAGAAGAGAGGTGGCCCATGTTCTGGTGTGGTTTTCTGAAGTTCTAGTTTAGAGCTGGGCCCTCCAGGGTGTTATGATGGTGTATTCTGTCAAGGTAGGACCACAGAATGTTTCCTTTAACAGTTTTTCAGCCTGATTTACAACTTGAAATACGTAAGCTTGTAGTTTGTAGAACAATTTGTCCCCTTGTCTTGACACTCCAGTATCAGGGGTAGGCATATATCTATGGAGCTAGGCATATAGTTCAGGAGCTAGGTACTCAGTCCAGTGAGTCCAAGAGCTGCTGTCCTTCCCGCTGCTGACCACTGTCTCTGCAGCCCGTGTCATTGGCTCTCAACCGAGAGTCGAAATATCTAGGTTCTGTCTCTTTGGGCCTCAGTTTCCCCTTCTGAAATGGATTTCAACTAAGTCTCTGTGACATTCAACAGTCCATAATTTTGACCTAATGCCTCTGTCTAAGAGGGGTGTCTCTGCCTGGGAACAGTATGGAGGGACCAGAACTGGATGGCTGGAGGCACCCCCACAAAGTCTCCCAGGCCAGAAGCAAGGCTAGAACTTCCACAGACCTTCCTCAAGATGTCTCTTCACTTCTCCATCCCCTGACTACCCTGTCACCACAACTTCTGCCATGCATGAGTCCCTATCATATACTAGTGTGGCACTTTTGGGAGGATGAAGGTGAGTCAGGGATGAATCCCCACTTGGATCCTGCCCTGCCACACTACAGCCTCCCACTCGGTACTACCAGTGGAAAAGGGCAGGTGCAGTGGGCTGGGCTTGTGAGCGTGCTTCTCATACATCTTCACTGAAGTATAAGGGAACGCATATTGCTAATACATATTAACTAATCATAAAGATTAATTATTAATAACAACTTATCAGTTCATAATGGCTTATAATTTATTGAATACTTCTATACTCAGTACTAAGTACTTTATATGTATAATTTAATCCTTTTGACAACTCACTCAGTTAAGGATTTTATCATCATTTTGCAGATGACAAAATATGATCAGAGAGGTTTAGGGACACTCTCAAGGTCATGCAGCTAGGAGTTGTGTCAGAACTGGGACTAGGATCATCTGTCTGAACATGGAACCTGTGGGCCTGTGCAGCTCTATCTACAGTTCCATGGCTGGCTTTGGCAGAGCCCACTGCTCCTGGGTGGGTTCTGAGAGTTCAATGACAGATTTAGGAAAACATCACGCCCTGAGCTTGATTCCAGACCATGGTCCCTAAGGAACCCTCAGGATGACAGGCCAGAGAACTCTGGTGTATCAATGCCCTAGCCAAGCTGAAGAGGTGGGCTGCAAGGGGCTCCAGGGAGCCTCTTCCCACATGTCTTGGATGGCTGCACCTCCTGTGGGAGGTGCCCGTATCTGCGTGGATGCCCAGAGCATCCCTCTAAGACCCACACCTGCAGCGTGCCTCTTCTAGTGCCCTCCCTCCCCGGCCCCAGCCTGATCTCCTGCTGAGCAGGTGCTCTGCGTTGAAAGTGGAGACAGTGCCCACAGCTGCTCAGGATCTGGCCAGGAGGGGGTCACCACTCCTCCTGTCCTCTCACCTAACTCTGCCAACATCTCCACCTCTGCTGGCAGATCTTCCACATGACCTACGACCTGGCCAGTGCCGTGGTGCGCATTGTGAACCTCATCGGCATGATGCTCCTGCTCTGCCACTGGGACGGCTGCCTGCAGTTCCTGGTGCCCATGCTGCAGGACTTTCCCGACGACTGCTGGGTGTCCATCAACCACATGGTGGTGAGTGCACCCAGGAGGCCCTCGCTCTGGGCTGGGGGTTCCTTCTCCAGAGGTCCAAATGATAGAGAGGATTGACAGCTCAGAACTCCTGAATCCCGGCACGTGACTGCCCGGAGGGCACATGTCTGTATTCATTCCAGGCCGAGCTTTGCTCAGTCCAGGAATCCGCTCCCAGGGCTCTCGGCTGAGGGCTGTTACCACCACCTTCTTACAGCCTCACCTGTTGCAGGGAGCCCTGATATTTGGCCTAATTTTACCCAAGGAGACTAAACCTAGGTGACCTCCTGTTCTATCAGTGTGACAAAGCTGGGCTGAAGGTTCCCACCCTCTTACTTCTGGCCCCTAGAAGCTGAGCCCGGGAAAACAGAAGCCTGCAAGGGCACTATTTGTGTCACACATGTACCACCAGATTTTACAGTGTGACTTTCTGCTCCAGGGGCAGAGCTGGGCTGTCACCGTTCCCCAGTGGATACATGGGTGGCACCTTGAGCACAGAGGGCAGAGAGGACAGAGCCTGCCCCCTCCTTTAGCCTTGTGGGTGGGTGAGAGAAGTTGGACTTGGGGCCTTGGAAGCCCTAGGGGAGAGTCCCCCAGCCCTGCTGTGCATGGGAAGGGCTCCTGCAGGGCGGGGACCCGTACCTGTGAGCCCTTCTCTGGCTCCGCTGAGCTCCTGCTTCCCTGTACTCCCTCCCAGATTGTTTGGTTTGGCCTGAAAGCAGATCCCCAGGGCACCAGTGGAGGAAAAATTGGCTTTGAAAGAGGTGAAAGAGACCCTGAGGCATCTTTCAGCATCAAATAGGCCTTTACAAAACAGCTTTTTGATGAGCTAAGTGTAAATGAATTGGCCATATGGGTTGAATTTCCTGGTCCCCAGAGGCTCAGCAGTGAAGGCCAGCCAGAAGCCCAGATTAGAGCACCTAGGGGCTGCCCTTGTTCCCCAAGGCAGGTGGGGGGGGATGACACATGACACAGGACACCCTTCTACCTCTGGAGACCAACTCTGTCCATCCTGCCCTCATCTGGATTGAGCCCCCAGGCCCCAGGAACGAGCCTGGCTCCGTCTAGGATGGTCTGCATGACTGGAACATGGAGGCTCTGTGGCTCTATGCTTTACTTCTTTCAGGGACTAGGGACAGCCTGGTGCCTGCAGAAGTGCTTAGAGCTCTGTGAGTTGTGTCCTGGGTGGGTTTCTGCGTTGTTACTAACATCTCCACCTTGTGAGAGAGACACTGCGAGAGGGCTGTGGCTGGGGTTCTGGCAGCCCCCTTGTTTGGGGCAGGTTCCTCTGTGTGGAGACAAGCCCACACATGCACTAAATTTGTGATGGTCCCTCAGAGCCCAGTGTTCCCCCACTGAGCCTTCCCTGAGAAACTGACTGGCTTTGGAGACAAAAATAGCCAGGAGGGTTGGGGCTGCAGCTCAGTGGCAGAGTGCTTGCCTATCATGTGTGAGGCACTGGGTTCGATCCTCAGCACCACTAAAGATAAATAAAATAAAGGTCCATCAATGACTTAAAAAAAAATAGCCAGGAGCCTCGCTCCCTGCTTCCCTCCTCCTGCCCCACACACCGTGTTCCAGAGAGTCCACCTTTGGGGGCGGTGGGAAGAGAACTGGTGGCCGCTGCCCTGTGGGTACTGGCCGGTGTTCTGTAGGAAGCCAGTTAGCTCGGCAGCTTTAATTTCTGCTCACCCAAAAGGAGGACAGTCTTCTAGAGCCATCCCCCCGCCCCCCCTCCCCCCGGGGAAAGCATATCGGTTTTATAATTGAGGTCAGTGGGGAAATGGGCTTCACTTGACAGCTGTTTAGGGGTGGGGGATGGAGTTATTTCAGCAAGGGAAGGACAGCAGGGTGGCTCAGCCTGGAGCCTGTTGCTACTCAACCAGGAGGCTCCAGGGCAACCCTCAGGGCTGAGGTCAGACCAAGGCTAGGCCAGCTCCCAGCCCTTTGATGGGTCTTCCAGTCTGACCCCTGCCCTCCACTGGAAGAGGATGGCCTAAACGGAGGATCCACTGACACCATAGTCTTGGCCTCTCTGCCACTCACCTAAAGCCTTCGTCTGTCAGCAAGATGGGAGCCTGGGGCTCAGCCACTGGGGAGGAGTTAGGTGGAGGGAGACAAGGCAGCAGGGAATGTCCTAGGTGCCAGTGAGATGGGCCTTCCCCTTCACTGGTCCACGCCCATTTGTGTCTGTCCACAGAACAACTCGTGGGGGAAGCAGTACTCATATGCCCTCTTCAAGGCCATGAGCCACATGCTGTGCATTGGATATGGACGGCAGGCGCCCGTGGGCATGTCTGACGTCTGGCTCACCATGCTCAGCATGATTGTGGGTGCCACCTGCTACGCCATGTTCATCGGCCACGCCACTGCTCTCATCCAGTCCCTGGACTCCTCCCGGCGCCAGTACCAGGAGAAGGTAGGTTGGAGAGCCACGTCCACCCAGGGCTCTCTCAGGAGGACCTGCCCACTGGTCCTTTGTATGAGGGAGCACATGTGTCCAGCCCCCAAATGTCTAGTGTGAGAGACAGAGCAGGGGTCACCTCCTGAATGAGAACTGCTTCACTCCCTGGATTTAAACTTATAAATGTCTCACTATCTGTACCTTCCATGCCTTCCCTGTCCTGTAGCTGGGGGCCTGTCTGTCTGCACTGAGGCATCAGCGCTCTGGGTGTTGTTGAATCCAGTGGGTCTTTTGGGGCCTCATCTCGCTTGGCCTCCTGGTATTTGCAGACTCCTGCTCCTTCTTGGCCTTGCTTGGTTTCCATGACTGCGCGCTCTTGGCTTCCTCCTATCTCTCAGACCAGTCCTACTTGCTCGCCTTTGCTGGCTTCTCTTCTCAGGCGTCACATGGTGGCTGGGCCCTAAGCTCTTTGATTCTCTGCCTCAGTTCCTAGGTGTTCCCGTTCGAGCACCCCCACCCCCGCGTGCTCTGTGTCCATCAGTGGGGCCCAGTTATATAATCAGCTCTACCTCATTGTCAGCCCTGGAGTGTTCATTGGATGCCTCCCTGGATACCTCGACCTCATCACATCCAAAATCAGAACAACCTCCACGGCCCCCTCCACTCCGAGCGGCCACTCTTCCCATATGTGTTCTCTATTAATGGACACGAGGAGCACAGATGCCCAGCCAGAAACCAGGAGCCATGCTTGCCATCTCTGTCACTAACACCCACCTCAAAGCTGTGTCTCCCTTCTCTTCCTCCCAGCCGGCCTCTGTCCACCCTCACTGCCAGCTTCTGCCTCTCCCCAGGTCACCACAGCAGCTTCAACCACAGCAGCTGAGCTGTGGCCTGGAGTCTGGTGGCCTTGGGTCTCCCCGAGCTTCTTCACTGATGAGTTCTAGGAGCATGGGCAGGTTACCTCTCATCGGGTTAAGCCCTGACCTTTATCACCTGATTGGTGGACTCCGACTGTATGATGGGAGAGTATGTGGAGTGCTGTCCTAGGGTTTGTGAGGAGTAATGCAAGTCAAACCCGCAGCACCACATTCGCACAGAGCACAGAGCAGGCCATTCAATATTCATTAGCTAAGCAGGCTCCTCTCTGCCCTCCGTTCTACTCATCACACGGTATTTTAAGAATATATCAGTCTGATTGTATTGTTCCTCTGACTGCTGTCTCCTGGTGGGGTGACCGTCAGATGGCAGCCATTCAGATGTGGAGGCCCAGGTCCTGTGACACTAAGAGGAGAGCTTGGGAGAGCCTGCAGAGCTGGGGTGGGTAGGAGAGCTCACTCCGGGGAGGCAGAAGAAGGTGGAAGAGAATTCTAGGTCAGTCGTCAGGGTGCGCATGAGCAAAGGTGAGTGGCAGGATGGTAAAGAAATCGGTCTGGTTAGAACAGAGGGTTCTGGGTTGAGAATTCGTGGGCTAGGGAGGGGAGGTACAACAGGAATCAGGTGATAAAGGTCAGGGCTTAACCCAGGTCCAGTTAAGGATTAATCTCAGGCCACCATCAGGGCCTAGCCTGTGACCAGGGTTGGGCTCAGTATGTGACAACGTCAGGCTCGATGTGTGGTTAGGGTCGGAACTCAGTCTGAGATGAGGTTGGAAGTTCTTTCTGGGACCAGAATCAGGGATTGATTTAGAAAATGCATCAGGGTTTATAAGTAGGGCCAGTGTCAAGCTGCATTGTGACTTCCCATTTGAGACTTTTTCCTAGGCTAATAGCTCTCTGAGTTTTTCTGATTCACCCATGAATCTCTCTTAAATGTCTTCCCTGCCCACTATCCCCCTGGATCACTTCACCAACCTTTAGTTTCCTGCCCACTGTTCCCTCCTCTCTGTTCACTGTAGGGGGAGTCTCTACAACACAGCTCCAAAAGTGCCAGCTGCCTGTGCCCCCACAGCCAGACAGGAAGTCACTCCCCCACTGGGGCTTTGTACAACTTAGAGAGACATCTTAGGGCAGGTCGACTGGAAGAGCTTGGAGAACATCACCCCTTGATCTTCAGTTGCCCATTGATATCTCTGTGGAACACTAATATTTGAGAACCGGCTCCCCTTTTCTGATTGTTCATTGGGCTGCTGGGACTAACCTTCCTTCCCAGGTGGGAAAAATCTGTGTTAGTGCCTAATCAATACCTCCTGTCTTCTACTCTTGAGGACTCCACCCTCCACCCAAAATGCAGGGGCAGTTGGAGCAAGGTTCACCTGGCACTTCCAGGAGGGGCAGGATCATTCCTTATTTGGTTCAAGCCCCAGGGACTTAGGTTCACAAAGCTCTTGCACCTGAACTTCTGTTTGAAGGTCCTGCTCCACCTTGTGTTTCCCTTGGGCTGGAGCTACTGAGGCCACCATTACAGACATACCCTAAAAAGGGCCAGGCCTCCTTGCCTCTGCCTCTAGCCCTTCTGACCTGCTGCAGTCCTGTCCTGATGACTGTGCCCATTTGTCACTACTGGCAGGAGACAGCTCCTCCTCTTCCAGAGTCAGTGTCTTGTTTGTACTGTAGAAATGACAGACATTCAGAAGAAACTTGATTACCCTTCTGGGCAGTTGGTATCCTGTAACCGGACATTGGACAGTCCCTGTCCCCCCACCCCCCGCCCCTTCTCCACATCTCTATAGTATGGAACACAAGAACAGACACCAAGGGAGCCCCTTCTCCCATGCCCCATGCACTCCAAGAGATGGAGTCAGGGCCATTGTTTTGGGCACAAGCATAGTCATACCCACACCAAGGACATTTAATCTCAAGGAACCAGGGTTGACCAGAAAAGCCCCCAGGATTAGAGCCCGGCTCTGGTCATCAGCTGGGGGTGCCTGGAGGTGACACCCATCTCTTTCCCCCATCCTCAGTATAAGCAGGTGGAGCAGTACATGTCCTTCCACAAGCTCCCGCCCGACACCCGGCAGCGCATCCATGACTACTATGAGCACCGCTACCAGGGCAAGATGTTCGATGAAGAGAGCATCCTGGGCGAGCTGAGTGAGCCACTGCGGGAGGTGAGCTTGCAAGTGGCCTGGGCAGTGGGGGGAGCCCTGCCTTGCTGGCAGGCATCGCCCCTCACCTCCTTCTTCCTGTGTCCCAATCTGTGCAGGAGATCATCAACTTTAACTGCCGGAAACTGGTAGCCTCTATGCCACTGTTTGCCAATGCAGACCCCAACTTTGTAACCTCCATGCTGACCAAGCTCCGCTTTGAGGTCTTCCAGCCAGGGGATTACATCATCCGTGAGGGCACCATTGGCAAGAAGATGTACTTCATCCAGCATGGCGTGGTCAGTGTGCTCACCAAGGGCAACAAGGAGACCAAGCTGGCTGATGGCTCCTATTTTGGAGGTGAGGTGTCCACGGGGGTCTGGGGTAGCAGGGGCCACTAGGGAATAGGCTGGATAGACTCTGGAGGACAGAGGCACTGTCATGGCCTCAGCCTGGAGGTGGGTGTCTCTGAACCCAGTATAGAGGTGTCTTAGTCCATTTGGGCTGACAAAGCACTACAACCTGGTGGCTTAAGAAGAACAGAAATTTATTTCTTACAGCTCCAGAAGCTGGAGTGTGAGGCCAGGGTGCTAGCATGGTCAGGTTCTGGTAAGGGGCCTCTTCCTGGTTGCAGACTGCTGCCATTTCTACTTCCTCACAGGGTGGAAAGAGTGTACTCTCTCTCTCTCTCTGGCTTCTTATAAAAACATCAGTACCATTTATGAGGACTCCTCTCTCATGACCTGGTCACTTCCAAAGCCCCACCTCCAGATACCATCACATTGAGATTAGGGTTTCAGCCTGGGGATTGTGGGATGACACAGATGATCAGCCCTTGCAGGGGATGATCCCAGAGATGGTAAACAATCCCACATCCATTTGGTGGAGGGACTGTCATCCAGTTATGATCACAGCCTGGGGTGGGGTCTTGTGAGCCTGTGAGGCTTCTGCACCAAGCAGTGGGGGACCAAAGTCAGAGCAGGGCAGCCCCCACCCCCACCATGGCCTGGGAGGCTGTGCACACCCCACCCTGATTCCTGATATCCTGGCAGAGATCTGCTTGCTGACCCGGGGCCGGCGTACAGCCAGTGTGAGGGCCGACACCTACTGCCGCCTCTACTCACTGAGTGTGGACAACTTCAATGAGGTGCTGGAGGAGTACCCCATGATGCGGAGGGCCTTCGAGACTGTGGCGTTGGACCGCTTGGACCGTATTGGTGAGGGGACGGGCAGGAGGGTGGGAGGGCAGGAGGGTGGGAGGGCAGGTTCCCTCCTGCAACCTTGCCACCTTTCTGCTCTGGCCTGAGCGCTTGCTCTTGCACTATGCCCTAGGCAAGAAGAATTCCATCCTCCTGCACAAGGTCCAGCATGACCTCAACTCGGGCGTCTTCAACTACCAGGAGAATGAGATCATCCAGCAGATCGTGCAACATGACCGTGAAATGGCCCACTGTGCGCACCGTGTCCAGGCCGGCGCCTCTGCCACCCCAACCCCCACGCCTGTCATCTGGACCCCGCTGATCCAGGCGCCACTGCAGGCTGCCGCTGCCACCACTTCTGTGGCCATAGCTCTCACCCACCACCCTCGCCTGCCTGCTGCCATCTTCCGTCCTCCCCCAGGACCCGGGCTGGGCAACCTCGGGGCTGGGCAGACGCCAAGGCACCTGAAGCGCCTGCAGTCCCTGATCCCTTCTGCTCTGGGCTCCGCCTCACCTGCCAGCAGCCCATCCCAGGTGGACACGCCATCTTCATCTTCCTTCCACATCCAACAGCTGGCTGGATTCTCTGCACCCGCTGGACTGAGCCCTCTCCTGCCCTCGTCCAGCTCGTCCCCTCCGCCAGGGGCCTGTGGCTCCCCACCAGCCCCCACACCATCCACTGCTGCTGCCGCCTCCACCACGGCCGGGTTTGGCCACTTCCACAAGGCTCTGGGTGGCTCCCTGTCTTCGTCCGACTCCCCGCTGCTCACCCCACTGCAGTCAGGGGCCCGTTCCCCGCAAGCTGCCCAGCCACCACCCCCACTGCCGGGGGCCCGGGGAGGCCTGGGACTCCTGGAGCACTTCCTGCCTCCTCCTCCCTCATCCAGGTCCCCGTCATCTAGCCCTGGGCAGCTGGGCCAGCCTCCCGGGGATTTGTCCCCAGGTCTGGCCACTGGCCCACCAAGTACACCAGAGACACCCCCACGGCAGCCCGAGAGGCCATCTTTCATGGCAGGGGCCTCTGGAGGGGCTTCCCCTGTAGCCTTTACCCCCCGAGGAGGTCTTAGCCCCCCTGGCCAGAGCCCAGGCCCCCCAAGAACTTTCCCAAGTGCCCCACCCCGGGCCTCTGGCTCCCATGGTTCCCTGCTGCTGCCACCCGCCTCCAGTCCCCCACCACCCCAGGTTCCTCAGCGCAGGGGCACACCACCCCTCACCCCAGGCCGCCTCACCCAGGACCTCAAGCTTATCTCAGCCTCTCAGCCAGCCCTCCCCCAGGATGGGGCACAGACTCTCCGCAGAGCGTCCCCGCACTCCTCAGGGGAGTCTGTGGCTGCCTTCCCGCTCTTCCCCAGGGCCGGGGGCAGCAGCGGGGGAAGTGGAAGCAGTGGAGGCCTTGGTCCTCCTGGGAGGCCACATGGTGCCGTCCCTGGCCAGCATGTCACTCTGCCTCGGAAGACATCCTCAGGTTCTTTGCCACCCCCTCTTTCATTGTTTGGGGCAAGAGCCACCTCTTCTGGGGGACCCCCTCTGACTGCTGCACCCCAGAGGGAACCTGGGGCCAGGTCTGAGCCTGTGCGCTCCAAACTGCCGTCTAATCTATGAGCCGGGCCCCCCCCCCTCCCTCTCTTTTTTTCCTCCCTTCTTTTCTTCCTTCAGGTTTAACTGTGATTAGGAGATATACCAATAACAATAATAATTATCATTTAAAAAAAATCCCCCCCACACACCCCAGAAAAACAAAAGACAGCAGAAAATAACCAGGTATTCTTAGAGCTATAGATTTTTGGTCACTTGCTTTTATAGACTATTTTAATACTCAGCACTAGAGGGAATGAGGGAGGGAGGGGGAGGGAGCGGGAGGGGAGCAGGCAAGGCCCAAAGGCAAAAGCCAGAGGAAGGCAGGTGGGTTCTCTGGGGTGGGGCAGGGATGGGGGTGACCCATGTCTGGGGTTCCTAGAGCAGACCTGTCATTGTACTCATTTCAGAACAAGAGCTACCATCAGCCCCTTGGCTGTGAACTTGGAGCCCCACTCTGTTGGGGGTCGTCATATTCCTCCAGGAAGGGGCTGTCCTTGGGTGTGTTCCTGGGGAGGCTCAGACACTTGAGTCCTTGGGACAAATTGGGGCCGGGGCCCCAAGGGCCTTGCATTTTTTTCTACTGTTATCGTAGCAAGATATGTATATGAATATGTATATGTATATGTATGTAAGATGTGTATACGTATAGCTATGTAGCGCTCTGTAGAGCCATGTAGATAGCCACTCACATGTGTGCATACATGTGTGCAATCTAGTTTAACCCTATGTTGCCAGGACACCCAGGTCACCTTACATCCAGCAATCCGCCGTGGCCCGCAGGCTGGGCACCGCAGGGTCTGGGGATGTACTCTCTCCAGTCCTCAGGGAAGAGGACCCCCAGGACCTCGCAGCAGACCCTTCTTTCCCCATCTCTGGGCCCAAATCCAGTCCTAGCCTGACCTCTCACCACTGGGAAGCAGAAGACTTGGGGCTGAACCTCGCCCTTCCCAGGGCCTCAAGCACACCGTCACCTCCGTGGCCCTCAGTGTTCCCAGCTAAACAAGGGAGGTGAGGGAACTTCTGTTTATTGAGTCTGCTCTGTGCCAAGCACTGGTTTTGCACTTTACACACATTAACTCCTTCAGTCTCACAAAGACCGTGAGGTGGTACTTTGATTCTCCCCATTTCACAGATGAGGAAAATGAGTTCTTGGTAATTTTTCCAGAATCATGTAAGCAGGAGCAGCAGGGCTGGGACTAATGAGATGTAGATCTGTGCCCACCCAAGGCCAGAGCCTATCAGAAAAGTGTGTTGTGAGGGGATGAGTTAGATGGCCCCAAGCCTGGTGCACAGGGAAGAGATCAGAGTCTGGCCATAATCAGGCTTGGGTTCTAATAGTAGCCCTGCCACTTAGCTTTGGGACCTTGGGCAAATTATCTGACCTTTCTGAATCTGTTACCTCATTTGTAAAATGAAAATGATTATGGTACTGCCTCACAAGGATCTATGAGAACCAGATAAGAAAAAGAACATACGTGAAATGCCCAGCCCAGCGCCTGGCATACAGCATAGTAGGTGCTCAATAAATCACGTTTCTTCTGCCCCCTCCTCATGTGCCCAGCCCATTACTCCAGCGAGCTGTGGTGAGAACCCAGAGAGCTTTGCCTGAGGACTCCAAGTCTTAAAATCTCAGGACTCAGGAGGTGGCCAAGGGAGATGTGTGGACAGTGGTTGGCTTGGGCCAGGCCTTGAGATGTAGGAGGAATTGGAGAGAGGGAGGAAGGCAGGGGGCATGGAGTGGCAGGTGTGGGCCAGAGCACGCGGAGGGGCGATTACCAAGGCAGATGTGGAGCTGGGCTTCGGGAGGAGACTCACGAGCTACAGGGCAGAGGCAGGGCCTTGGATGGCAGGCCACGGGGCTGAGCTGTACTTGGTTCTGAAGGCAACTAGAGGCCACAAGCAGGTTCATGGGGACGGGCACAAAGTGAAAGCGGCTGAAGTATCCCGAGGCTCAACTGTCCTCTCCAATAGGACACTGGCAGAGCCAAGGGCAGAGGCAGGTGTGGCCATAAGACCTGCATGAGGACTGCTTGTCCACGCAGAGCTCTCCATGCTCCAAGCCAGAGGGTAGGCAAGATCAGGTTGCCCTGCGCTGTTCTGGGACAAGAGACAGGCTGAGTTAGTGGCCTGTAGATGGTGTCAGGGAACTGGAGGCAATAATCCAGGAGAGAAGGGGCCAAGGTCCTGGGATCCTAGGTGAAGACTAGCAACCGTTGGCCCGAGTTTCCACAGGGCTGGAAAAGCCTCTTAGGACCCAGAGAGTTCTTAGACCTGATAGGATCTAAGCTTCAACCTGAGTTCTACAAGCCCCCACCTTCTTGCCCCCCAAAGAAGGCAGCTCAGAGGAGGCAGCAGGCCTGGAAGGGGCAGGAGTGGAGTTGGAGGGTCCAGGGCACATGGGGTGAGGATCCCCTTGAGGCCGGGGCCTGGCCTAGCCACCCTCTTCTTGACTCACACCACATTTTATAAACTCTGACCCAGGCTGGCCTCTCTGGGGAGACTGTAGAGAGGCCAGGTCGTCAGTGGGCCCTCCCATCCCTAATCCCCACAAGCAATTTTCAAATCTTCCACTTTTAAAACAGAAAACGGTAAATGCACCGTGTTGTATATTTTATTTAAATAAAAAAATTCCAGCAAATGCTGCCTTTTTCTAGGGGACAGGGTCGGGGTTGGGTGAGGTTAATGGGCAATCCTGGAGTCTCAGAAGCCCAGCTGTACAGGGTTTGGGACACACATGGGCGTGTGTACAAACCTTCACTCTCAAGCCCATTGGGTCGAGCTCTGTGCACAGAGGCGTGCACAGGAGTATATAAGGCCCAACACAGGTGTGTACCTGCAGGTGGGTCATTAAGTCTGCATCTTTGCTACTGCAGGGGGAGGCAGAGCTGGGGGAAGTGTAGACCCTGACTCAGATCCTTCCCGACTGCCAAGACTCCAGGGTCCTAGGTGGTAGTAAACATGCTAGAAGCTGAGAAGGGAGATTCCATCTTTGCCTGATCAGGCAGGGCCCTCAGAAGAGTTGGAGGGAAGCTGGGGACCTGAGGTGGCAGGCTGGGGGGAAGGCATCATGGGGGTGGCTGAGGATGGGGGCACAGTGCTGGACCTCTGTGTGGCTCAGGCAGGCTGGGTAGAAGGGCCAGAGCTGGGGCCCAGTTGGAAGGAGGTGTGGCACCGTCTTTCCCCCTCCAGTGCCAGTGGTGGTTGGGGGCTGCTGGGTCTGGTCCCCTCCACCAACCCTGCAGCAGACGGTCCCTACAGGCCCTCATACCTCACTGTGTGGGGAAGGCCTGAGGCTGGGAAAGTGGAGTCCCCGGGGCTCCCGGTGGTGCAGGGAGTGCCTTCTTGCCTGCAGGAGAAGGGGAAAGTCCTCCAGAAAGGGCAGGGATCCCGGTGGCCAGCCGTTCCCCATCATTGCTTGCTGAGGCCGTTTCCATGGCAACCGGCCTGGGAGTCCCCGTTAAGTTGCTAAGGAGGCAGCTCAGCAGGGCCTGGCGTCCCCATGACAACTGCCCCCCTGCGGCCAGGCAGTGGTGCTTCCTTTGGGACCGAAGGCACAACACAGGGACAGGCCCAGGTGCTGCCAGGCAATTTGTGCTTAGACAACTGCCGCCACCTCTGGGTGGCTGGCCTCGGGCTGGGGAAACCTTTTCAGCTGGACAGCCACTGTAGGAAGCCTGGGAGAGGGGGCTGTTCCTGGGGTTCACTGGGGATTCCAACCAAACTGCTAAGGCGGTGGCCACACCAGTCACTGTCTTCCCTGTTCCCTACTCCAGAAGGACTCTCAGTAAGTGCCTACTGCATTCTAGACCCTGAGTGTTTTCCTGTTACCTTATTCCATCCCCCACAAAATCCTACAAGGTCAGAATGAGCCCTAATCACAGTGAGCCAAAGGACTCTGAGGCTCAGATGGGGCAGGAACTCATCTCACCCCCATCAGCTAGAATGGAAGGAGCCAGGATGCACACTCAGGGCCCTGAGACTCAAACCTTGCCCCTTCCGGCAGCATGGTAGGAGCTGTTGTCCTGGGAGAGTATTAAAAACAACAATGAAAATGACTTCAGTGCTAGTTTGCTTTCCCTTATCACCATATGCTGCCAATTCAAGACAACATCAGTGATAAGACACCCTCCCCACCAGGGGAGACGGCTCCCCCTCACCTTGAATTGCCACTGCCCACCCCCATGTTTCAGCCCCCAGGGGCACCTGCTGTGTTCATGGCGGCCAGAAACGGTGGGAAGGCCTGAGACTTCCTTTCTGCCTCAGTGGGACTAAATCAGACTAGGAAATTTGCAAGAAAAATTTAAAAGATGTAATAAAATCCCTCCCCTTTCCCTTCCCAGCTGACACCCCTCTCTCATCTCAGACATCTTGAGAGTTGTCCCAACTTCCTGTCCTCATTTCCCTCCTTGGGCATCACTTCTTCCTCCCCTGCAATCTGGTTTCTGCCTCTCCCCGCTGCTGTTCCACCTGGAATGGCTCTGGACAAAGTCCCTATGGCCCACACAGTGGAATCCAGGGGCTGCTGACCTTGTTGACCAGGCCCTCCCCAGCTTCAGGGTCCCTGTTGTCTCCTCACTGCCCCACCTTTCTGCTCAGCCTTAGCTTTAAGGGCTCCTCTTTCTTCCAAAAGGTTGGTGCTCCTCAGGCCTCTAGCCGTGACCCCTATCTTGTCACTCCGTACATGCTCCCAGGGCGACCTCACTCAAGCCCATGGCTTCCCACTCAGAGGCAAAAGCCTCCCAGATTTCCCCTTCATCATAGGCCCCCAATCCTGCAGGGGCTGCTGCCACTTGGGCTGCTCACCCTCCTCTGAAGGAGCAGCCCTTTCACCCTCTTCTGAGCATGCAGGTCCCAGTGCACCCAGAGTGTGTCCTCCCCAGCCACTGCCTGTTCACTTGGCTTTTTCAATTTCATTTCTCTTGAAGGTGGAATATGTCATGCATGCAGAAGAAGACATATCACACAAATAAGATATTAAAAGTAAAATAAACAGCTGTTTACCAACCACCCAGTTTAAGAAATAGAACATAAGGAGTACACCTAGAAGCATCTGTGAAGATGCCCAACTATTTTCTTCCTCTAAGGAAAATCATTCATCTGGGCTTTAATTGTGTCATCCCCTTACTTTTCATGATCCCTCCACTAGGGAAATAAATGTCTCTAAACAATGTTACACACCAAGGTGGGGGAGTGGGGATTGGAAGTTGTTTCCTTGAGGGGGAGGAGGATACTGATAGTAATATTGTTCAGCATTGCTGGTACATGGTGACAATAAAAATCAACTTACGCTTCAGTTAGTTTTATTATTGTTTTACATTTCTTTACAAAGAATGTATCTTTTTTATCATCTGCACTAGGGACTGGGTCATACCCACCCCGTGTTCATACACCACTCAATGCATTTGTGATTTTTAAGCTTTACATACATGATGCATCTATTCATAATTCTTTCTTTCTGTTCAATAGTATAATTTTGAGATCCTAATAATGCATGGAAGGTAGTTGATTCGTTTCCCTTGCTGTATAGCATTCCAGTCCGTGAATAGTCCACAATTTACATTTGTATTCTTCCAAAGAAGGGGGTGTCTGTCGATTCCAGTTCTCATCAATATCAACTTGGCTGCGGCAAGTGCTCTTGTTCATGGCTCCTGGTGAAGATGTGTATGGGGTCTCTGGACTCTATAGCTAGGGGTGGAATAAATGAATCAAAGGGTGAGTTAATCTTCACTTTACAAGACAACACCAAGGGCTAGAGCTGTAGCTCAGTGGTAGAGCTCCTGCCTTGCACGTGTGAGGCACTGAGTTTGATCCTCAGCACCACATAAAAATAAATAAATACAGATGTTGTGTTCCTCTACAACTAAAAAACAAAAATGATATTGCCAAGCTGTTTCAAGTATTCTAACCACTTATCCTCCAACCTGCAGGGCAGGGGAGTCACTCTTGCTCCATGTTTTTGGTCAATTACTAGAATCCTTTGCTAAATGTTCCAGTAGAAAAAGTCTCAGATTTCAACAATATGCCACAATAAAGGTTTGTTCTAGCTCAGACAAAGTCCAGTGTGGGCCAGGCTGTCACTTTCTTTACTGATGTCAACTTAAAACAACAACAACAACAACAACAACAAAAAAAAAAAACGTCCAGGTCTTAAATATCCCCTGGGAGAAGAAGAGACCAATGGGAGAGATGTGGAATCTCTCTAGCAGGGACACATATCACTGCCTCGAATATTCCATTGTCAAGGGCCATAACATAGCTGCAATAACTGATATGAGGGGATCTGGAATATTTGCTGGGCATTAACTATCCTAGCCAATCCTTTCAATATGGTCTTTTAATTTTCTTCATCAAGTTTTGTATTAGATTGATTACCAGCTCCTTGTATGTTTGTTGCTGCTGCTAATTGTATTTCTTATCCAGCTATAATTTCTGTGTAACAAAATCTAACAATTTAAATGTATAGTTCAATGAGATTTGACAAAGAGACACACTCCTACAACCATCCCCAGTTAGGACATAGAATATTCCATTACTCCCCAGAACTTCCTCTGCAGTCTCCTCCTTTCAAACCTGACCCTGGGAAATCTGGGTTTTTGTCACCCAGGGTTTGCCATTTCTAAAATGTCATCTAGGTGGCATCACAAATTGTTGAGTCTGTGTCATTTGTTTCATTAGCCTTGTGCTGCTGTACTTGGTCAGTGCCACGTGCAACAATATTCTCCTGTATGGGATGGCAGGAGTCATTCACTCCTCCACTGATGAACGATGGGCTACTTCTGGCTTAGTTATTAAGAATAAAGTGCTGATGAACATTCATGTTTCAGTCTTCATGTGAGTGTAGATTTTCTTTTATGAAAAAAATTTAAATTGACAAATACAAATTGTGTATGTTTATCATTTGCAGCATGAAGCTTTGAAATATGTGTGAGCAGTGAGATGGCTAAATCATTGTGTGTGTGTGTGTATGTGTGTGTTAAGTTCTAAGCAATTTTCAAGACTAATATAGGTTTTTGTTGATCTTAAAGACTTAAGAGCTGGGTATGGTGGTGCACACTTGTTAATCCTAGAGGATTGGGAGGCTGAGGCAGGAGAATTGTGAGTTGAAAGCCAGCCTCAGCAATTTAGTGAGACCCTGTCTCAAAATAAGAAATAAAAAAGTGCTGGGGATGTGGGTTAGTGGTTAAGCACCCCTGGGTTCAATTCCCAGTACCCTTGCCCAGGAAAAAGACCTAGGAGTGGCACATAAGTATGTTTTTAATTATATTAAGCAACTGTCAGATGGGGTGTGATTGCACATATCTGTTATATCAGTGACTTAGTAGGCCGAGGCAGGAGGATTGCAAGTATGAGGTCTGCCTGAGCAAATAGGGAGGCTCTGTTCAATCCCTGGTTACTTCCCACAAAAAAGAGGTAAAAGAAAAAGCTCGGATTTCCTCTCCAAAGTTGAAGTACTGTCTCGCATCCCCATTAGCAGTTATATGATAGTGCTGGTCACTTCCTACCCTTAATGATGCTTGATGCTGTCAGTCTTTTTGATTTTTTACCATTCAAGAGAGTGTGTAATGTTAATTCCTGGTTTTAATTTACATTTTCATAATGACTAAAGATGCTGAGAATCTTTTTAGGTATTTATTTGCTATCATGCCTGTCCTTTGGTAAAGTGACTGTTCAAACCTTTCTTCATTTGTTTTTATTGAGTCATTTGTTTCCTTATTATTGAATCATAATACATTTAAGATACAAGTCCTTTAAAAGAGAGATGTTCTACAAATATTTTCTCCTAGTTTGTGGAATACCTTTTCATTTTCTTAACCATGTATTTCAGAGTGAACATTTTTACTTTCTCTTCCCAAGCATTTCTTCTTTTAAAACATTTTTATATTGGTACATACTAATTATATAGAATCCTGGTTTAATTGTGGTACATTCCTACGTTCATAGAACATAATATGATCCATTTCCCTCCTGGGGTAAGGAGGAGGGAGGGGACAGGTAGGTACCAGACCCTCTTTCTCTACCCCATGGTCTTCATTCTACTTTCATGAGATTCCGTTTTTTCTCATTTTTTCCCCTTCAGCTTTCACATGTGAGAGAAAACACAAGATACTTGTCTTCTGAGTCTGAATTATCTCACTTAATATAATATCCTCCAGTCCCATCCTTTGTCCTGCAATTGACGTAATTTTCTTCTTTATGGCTTTTTTTGTTTGTTTTGTTTTTGAAATGGTGTCTTACCTTGCCCCTCAGCTCTCCAGGAAGTGCTGAAAACTCCTTCCTTCCCCACATCACTTCATTCAGGTCTGCTAGCTGTCCATTAAATGTCTGTGCTCTGTCTAGGCAATGAATGCAGACTGTCTCCCTAATTTTGCATCCTTAGTGCCTGGCACACAGTAGATCCTCAGGAGTATCCCAAAGCAATAAATGACTCCCAGATTCTTGGGTGAGGAAGGCCCTTCCTCACGGACCAGTGCTAAGGGACTTTGACAAGTTCCTAATTCTTCCGGGGGAGCACACTTAGGAAGGTTTTGCAGAGGAGGTAAGGCTAAGCCGAGTCTAGGACGTGGACTATCTTCAGTGGGGAGGAACAGTCCTTCTCTCATGTCACCTGCCCACAAGATTTCTTTGGTTTCAGTTCCAGTTTTTCATGTTTCGTTTTGGCTGTCCTGGGGATTGAATCCAGGGGCACTCTACCCCCGAGCTATCACCCAGCCCTTTTTTATTTACTTATTTTTATTTTGAGTTGGTGTTTTGCAAAGTTTCTGAGTTACAGTCCTGTGCCACAGTGCCTGGCCAGTGTCCCCTCTGTGTGGTAATCTAGAATGTCCATCAGTGGGTTCTTCTGCCATTTCTAGGCAACTTTGCTTATGGGTGCCCAATCCATCATTTTTGTGTTCAAGAATAGATCCAGGCTCCTCCTGCATGGTATTGGGCAGGGGAGATATAGCTAATTTAAGTTAGAAAAGGCACCTGGGCAATTGTGTGGAAGGCTGAGGCAGGGGGTCCACCAAGGGCTTGCCTAAAAGACAAGGAGGAGGTGCTCTAGGGGACCCTTGAGAGCAAGAACTGGCAGGATTTGCTGAGCAATGTTTTGTGGTGTTAAGGGAAGAGCTTAGAACAGCTTCCAGATCTCCAATTTGGGAGACAGTAGAGCTGTCAGTGAGCACAGGCACCTAGCAACTAGGCAATGGGGCTCTGCTCCAGGACCTCCACCAGGGAGGATGTGACAGTGTAATATGATGACAACCCAGATACTAGATGCCTTGTTAAATCTGGATGAGGTTAACTGGAGCCCATGACAGGTCTTGTGCCCTCTCCTCCGCCCCCTAAATTTCTGTGGATTCTCAGTTTAGCTGGGTCTGGTCACTTTGGGCTCTGAGCTCCTGCTTCCAATCAACCAATTCTGTTTATGGCTTGTTTGCACATGCCAGACTCACGGTCCCTCTGCTGCGTGGGCCAGGGGCTCTTTTCTCCATCTGGGGTAGTGAACTACAGCTCATGAAAAGCCTGTGCATGAGGCAGGTGTTAAACAAGACTTGGGGAGTTGAAGGGAGTCTACCTCATAGAAGTGCCAACAGCATTAAGTCATCTTTCAGATCATCCCATTTAATAGATCTTTGGAAAGCCTCAAGGCCAGCCATTTCCTTCTGGAGGCACTTTCCCATGTGGCCCCAAATCCTGTTGCCACCTTGGGGATGGTACCAGATGCCCAACCTCCAACTGTTTTGGGAAATTCTAAACCTTTCTTCTCAAATGCAGCAAATGATCCTGCTAAACTTCTCTGAACTCGGCCCCTTTTCATTTCCCAGCTCCATGAAGCTCCTAGTTGAGTAGAAGGGTATCCTGACATGGATGAGGCCATCAGGCTGAAGGGTAACTGTGTCTTAATAACACTTAACACTGCATATGAAAAATTTCAAGTATTATCTTCCTCAACTACTATCTCCCACCTCTCCCCCAGCACCCCTGGTGCTCCCTGCTTTGATAGCTGGAACCCCAAGACCAAGAGTCTGGGACCTGCTGTCTGGGCTCCTTTTGTCTGTGTGGTCAGGGGTGGTCCCTCTCGGCTCCCTGCTTGTCTGTGTCCTGCCCATGCCCCCAAAGGCCATCTACTGGTGGCTTGTTTATTGCTGCCCTTGTTTCTCCTGATAGTGCTCTTCCCACCTGGCAGGAAGGTGACTAAAATTGGGAAGGGCTGAAAACAGGGGTGGAGGGAGGTGTTTCTTCTTTGTATCCAGCCTTGCCCATGTCGCTCATCTGAGAACCAAGCTGCAGGACATCCTTGTCTTAGTTCCCAGCATCAAGGTAGTCTTGGCATCAACATTCTTAGGACTCCAAGAAAGGTCATTACCAGGCAGGTAGGTCATTGTTATCTTTGAGTTCATCCCAGCTTGTCAGAGGGTCCCTGTTGCTGACATGGGAGGGTCCTGGCATCAGAACACTAGGGATTGATAGAAATCCCTGGAAGGGCGGGGACAGGCTGGAAGACTTCCAACACACTCCAGCCACGAGTCCTTGGGACTCATCCAAGAGACGTGTATCAGCCATTGTCAGAAACTGCCTCAGCATTAGGTGTTCCAAAAGGAATGAGAAACTCTCTTGTCCCCAGAGCCCACAGGCTCTCCGACAGACCCATCACTGTAAAATGTGCCAAGAGCGCCACCTAGGGATGCAGAGGTGGCAGCGCAGACAGGCGCTGCGGTGGTTGCACAGGAATGGCAGTGAAGAGGGCATCCATGTGCAAAGACGAATGGTCTCAGGAGCATCCTTGTGTGCTAGAGCAGTAGGTGCACCAGGAGGCAGGGCTCTAGACCTGGAGGCTGTGGCAGACAAGCAGATGCGGAGCTCGGGGAGATCAGACTTGGACAGTGCTAATAGGGATGGTGGGACCTGGGTTTCCGTAAGTACAGGCTGGCAGCAGGGCAGGTGGACGTGGGGGCAGAGGCACGCTGTGCTCCCGACAGTCTGCACTCTGCTGCAAGCTCATGGATGGCAGTGAGCCTGTGGCGATTGTGGGCTCCACTATTTGTAGCCCAGAATTTAGGCCAACACAAGGAGTCTTGGAGTGAATGCAGCGAGAAGGTGAGGTAGCCTGGCAAAGGTCGCCTCCCTACAGACCTCTGCCCCTGGTGTCAGGCATCCAAGAATGGTGAGTCGGGTGTGGGAAGGGCAGCCCACTGTGGCACAGAATAAGCTGTGTGGTAGACACCTGACATGTATGTCACTTAGGGTTGCTGCTTAGGTGTCATTTGCCATTCCTGAGGCTTTGGTCCTTGCAGAACAGCAATAGCTGGGGAAAGGGCAAGGACAGGGATAAAACTCATCTTTGGGGCTGGTGGATGGTCAGACATCTCCTGGATTATAGGCTTTATAGTTGCAAGGGGAACAGGGAGGCCTATCAGAAGTTGGGGTATAGGGGGCCCCTGAATTAGGAAAATAACTATTTGACCAGACCACAGTTTGATTGGATTAAAAAAGTGTATTGGGTTTCCAATACTAAATAAAAACATGAAATTGTTTTTAAAAAGCCATAGAGTTTACAGCATCAACTACAGAAAAGGCCAAACAAATGTATACAGAACCCAGTCCAGCAGTCCTCCAGGACCCTCCAGCAGGCTGCAAGGCAACAGACACATTTGCTCCACATCCTCCTGAAGGAAACTGCTGAGCCGCAGCTCAACTAGGACACGACAAGACACACAATGGTTTAGTTTCAAAAACCACAGGAAAATGTAAGAAAATGTATTCAATTGTGAAAGGTGCAATACAGAATAGCTTTCCTTTTTCTTAACTTTAAAAAATCCCCCAACTTTGAACAGTTATTTCATTTAAAAATAGGTCCCTCCCCCACCCCGCCCTGATTCTGTGGCAGTATCCAGGTACCAAGGCCCTGAGGTAACAGAAGTGTCAGGGTTCATGGGAGGGAATGCCCTCAATACTGAGCATGTTCTTTGGGCAAAAGGTAAGACAGTTTTGGGGGAATCTAGCCCTCCTGGGGGCCAGAAAGCTCTCACTGCTCTCTTCAGGACCAGCTGAAATGCACTGATTTCCTGAGTCCTGCCAGGCACTGTGCCGTGACAGCTCTGTGGCAGCAGGAGTTCCAGCACTGCACTTCTCATCGCCCCCCAAATCATAAATACGGAGTTTACGTTGTAGAAAAGCAAATGTGTAATAAGCTCTAAAAAAGGTAAAATAACCCATGATCAAAGGTCGGTGGCACACCTGTAACCTGTGGGGGCACTCATGAGGCCTGGGCAGGGCTCAGGGACCTGGAATAGTGGGCTGGAGCCCCACTGGTGGTCAGCAGGGGTTTTTTTGGGGGGGTTACTGGGGAGTGAACCCAGGAGTGCTTTACCACTGCCACATCCCCAGCCCTATTTATTGAGACAGGGTCCTGCTAAGTTGCCGAGGCTGGCCTCAAACTTGTGATCCTTCTGCTTTAGCCTAGGATGACAGGTGTGCACCACTGCACCTGGCTCTGAGCAGCTTTGTTGGCTACAGCACGCAAGCCCCAGCTGCCTTCTTCACTGCCTGGGGATTTGTTGGGGAGAAGATGCCCAAGGCTCAGTCCTGTACTTTTCATTACATATTCTTAATCTTAAAGAAATGAGCATACACCTCAGCCCCTACCTTTTTAAGGAAAGACAACAACTTTTTGCGAACGCAAAGGCTTCTGTGTATGGCTGAGACCTGGACATATGCTGCTGGGATGGAGGGGACAGCTGCCTCTGCTGATGCTCTCTCCACTGTCTTTCTTCATTCCCTACTTGCAGAATTACATTGACAGACCTGCCTTGCCTCAGCCTTGCTGATGCTTTTTCAGAAGGGGCCCTGAAGTGTAGAAGTGAGAGCTGGCCTAGCTGATGATAGGCACCAAGAAGCAGGAGTCCCATGTGGAAACAAAGCTCCTTTCTTAACCTCCAGCCTCCTCAAGGGAACCACCTTCAGCAGCAGCAAAGGGTCTCTATCCTGTGCTCTCTGACATCCAGGAACAGGGCCAGGCTCTTGCTATACTTGGCATCACTCCATGAGGAACAGCACCAGGGACCTCAGCATGGACATTCCCACCAGGACATAATCAAGACGCAGGGCAGCAAAATCCCCACACCCACCTATTGCACAGAATTTTTAACTACATCCAAACAAAACTGCAGTTGCAATGTAGTGACAATAAGATGGATATACCAGAAAAGGACAAAAAAGAAGATGCTTCCATTCTCTGCAGGCTTCTGGAAGAAAGTACAATGACTGGAACATTCACAGGACCTCAGCAGCCCTTCCATTTCCTATTCCCAACCCCCAGCCCCCACCCCAATACTGAATCTGCACAGAAAACAACAAACAAGTCTTTTCATGTTACATTTCATTCAAATAGATCTGTAATCTCACAGTGATGAGAGGAGAAAGTCAGGCCTTTAATAATTATAATAAAAAAATAATAAAAAAGCTTACAAACAGCAATGCAACATTTCCTCCCCCTCAAAGTGATGGATTAACAGCTGGTAGAGGATGCAATGTCTCAGAATTAAAAAATAAAAACCAAACCAAAAACAAGCCAACCCCTGCAACAACCCACACTGTCAATGACTTTCCGTATGTAATTGGAACAAGCAGTCAAATGTCAACCACTTGTGGAAAACACCATGGACTTCCTTGGTTTTGGATCATATTTTTTTAAGGTAAAATAAAATAGACTCAAATAAAATTGTACATAATGCCAATGTCTACACTCCATCAAGTTGATGCAGTTGCAGCACGAAGACACAGCCTGATCACAAAGTGAAATGCAGGTTGTACTCCTCGCCTCTTCCCTGGACACAAAATTTTGGCCCATGGTGCCCAGTCCTGCATGGTATCAGCAGGCAAAGGGAAGCTGCCCCAATGCAGGCATCTTCCAGGCTGACCAGAAGAAGGCAGGTGGCCGTGCCTGGAGCTAGTTCCATGCGGGGGTGGTGGCTGGTCTGCTGGCTCACTCTGTTCTCAAGTGCTGTCCTCTCGTACTCTGTACAATTCCTTGTTTTCAAGGCTAAGTTCCAAGACTTCTAGACTCAAGCATGGAGTCCTGGCCTGGCGAAGGTTGTCATGCTGTCGTGATGGCATTTAGGTCCTTCATTAGTCCTTCCAGGTGGGCCATCTCTTTGGTCAGCTCATCTGGTTCATAGCTCTATGGAAAGGAGAACACTGTCACTGGGCATTATCTGAGGAACTGTCCAGGAAGGAGAGCCCAGAGAGAGGGGTCAGATAATCAAGTGGTGAGTGGTAAAACTATCCTATTGGACTGACACACTGAAACTCAAGCTGGCTCAGAAGAATCAGAGGTAGCAGCTTGTATCCAAAGCCACTAAGATGTCATTTCTTGACACTGTACAATGTCCCTTTTCTCAGCACACGTTCCCCAGTTCACAATGACCTCATGAACCAAAGGCCCCACTACTTGCCCCTTCTAGGTGCCCGTTCTAGGTCTTTGCAACAGTCAGGACAGTTAGTATGTCCCTTGTTCTCTGCGCCCAACCATTCCTCTAAAGAATCCTGTACCTGGAAATGCAGAGGTAGACATATTTATTGGATTTTTTTTTTTTTTCTGGTACTAGGGCTTGAACCAAGGGTTGCTCTTCTATTGAACTACATTCTAGCTCTTTTTGTTTTTTGAGACAAGGACTCACTAAGTATATCAATGTTTGGAGGATCTGTGTATGCTAGTGAACCACTATTCTCCTAATACTTGTGATCCTCCTATATCAGCCTCCCAAGGAGTATGCCATCGCACCAACTATTTATTGGGATTTGAGAGTGAAAGATCTAGGAAAGACCAGATCAGTTTGTTTCGAGAGCAACCTCTCAAGCACCTTCTCCAGTATCCTTCTTAGAGAGGTTACAGAGCAGAATTGAGGGGTGAAAGAACTCATGCCGCATTTAAAGCAAGAAGAAAGGGCCAGGCAGGAGGGACAAACTGAGAGGACGTTAGGTGTGTATGACTAGCTGAGGGGTATGATAAGCTAATTTAAGACACACCAGAGTGGGCATGAGACAGAAAGCAGACCAAACCTTCAGCACATTCCTGGCTTGGAGGAGATGCTCAAAATACAACTGAACAAATGACTAACTCTTCTTCCTGCCACTGGGCAGTGAGGCCTAGGTCTACATACAGTATCAGCTTGAACAACATGCTTGAAGGCCTTTGGGTGCGTGCCTAGACATCCTGGCTGCTGGGCTGACTGCTGTTTAAACTTACACTCTCAGAGTCTTCCAGCATCCTTGTGGTCTCCTGTACTTCAGGGGCACTTGGAACAACCACTGGCATAGGAGGCCGGCTCCTTCCTAAAGTTCCGATGGAAGCTGTCTTCACTGAATGGATGTGATGGTTCAGAGCTGAGGGGGAAAAAGGCACTGTCAGGTTGTAGCAAAGGCTGCATCCCCAGACCTCAGGAAGGCACCACCTAAAGTCCAGATTCAGATACTGCTTTAGGGTGAGGGATGTACATACATAGGCTCAGTGCAGGAATTCTGCTCTGAAAAGTTACTGGAACAAGAGGGAAGGAGAGAGGCAGCAGAAATTTAAGAGTCGAGAGAAAATATTCCATTAGCTTCAGAAAATTAATATCCTAGTCTCAAAGTGTAGAGGTCCACAGACTTCTTGCAGAATGTCTGGGAGGACAAACTCTTCATAATACCACAAAGATATCATTTTCCTTTTTCCTATGCTGCTTTTGCACTGAGGATATGAAAGCAAACACAACTGGAGTCTTAGCACTAATTCAGACAGTGGCATCAAACAGTAAAGTCATTCATGGACATGCACTTAAAAAGAGTTTTTAAAAAGCCAGTTCCAGTTAAGATCATTCTTAATGAACAACAAAAATTATTTATCTTATTAAATCTTGACCCTTGATTACTTGGCTTTTAAATGTTTTGTGACAAACTGGAAAAAGTGGAAAAAGTACTTCTGTTGTATATCAAATATGATGTGATCTTAAAGAAAGTGACAGACTGAGCTGTGAGCTAAATTGCTGGTCTCATCATGGAACACCATTTGTTCAAAGATGGACTGACAAATGGGTCGGTCATTAAGATATTTTCTAGAAATTGAACAAGGTAATGTGTTTACTGTCAATGATAAATTCAAGTTTTAGATGAAAATTACAATTTTGAAAAATGTTTATCTGCCATCAAATCTGATAGCTTCTTTAATTGTTACAAACCTGGTGATATTAATGAATGTTTTTAGATACTGATGAATGAAGTATATCAATGTTTGGAGGATTTGTATATGCTAATGAATCACTATTCTCCAAATGACCCATGTTGATGTTTCAGGCTAGTGGATTCTAATGGAACAGAGTATGAAAACTTCATGGATGTGGTTTCAGATTCCACATTATAAGCCAGTCTTTAAGAAACTACAACTTGAGTTTTGCTATAGTATCAAAAAGAATACCCACAATTATCTATAAAGATAATGTAGTTGGCTGAGAGAAGACTACTTTCTACCTGTGAGGACAAATTTTCTTTTTTTTTGTTAAAAAATATTTATTTTTTAGTTGTACTTGGACACAATACCTTTATTTTATTTAATTATTTTATGTGGTGCTGAGGATTGAACCCAGGGCCTCACACTTGCTAGGTGAGCACTCTACCGCTGAGCCACAATCCCAGCCTGAGATTTTCTTCTTATATTTCAACCAAATGACATATTGCAACAGACTGAATACAGAAGCAGACAAAAGAATCTAACACCAGACATAAAAGAGATTTGAAAAAAATACAGGACAATGAATTTTTTCTGTTTTTTAGAAAAAGTTATTTTTCATTAAAATGTGCTATTTATCTTAACATGACTGCTATTTTTACATGAATATTTAAAATAACTTGGTTTTAATTTCTAATATGGTAAATATTAGTAGATATAACCTTTGTGAAAAAAGTTTTCTGCATTCTTGATGGCTTTTAAGATATAAAGAGGTCCTGAGACCAGGGAAGTTTGAGAATCATATACCTTCTCTGACATAAACTATCAAGACAGACAATGAGTCAGGCATGATGGTACATGCCTGTAATCCCAGCGGCTCGGGGGGCTGAGGCAGGAGGATTGTGAGTTGAAAGCCAGCCTCAGCAACTCAGTGAGACCCTGTGTCTAAATAAAATATTTAAAAAAGGGGGACTGGGGTTGTGGCTCAGTGGTAGAGCGCTGGCCTGGGTTTGATCCTTAGCACCACATAAAAATAAATAAATAAAATAAAGTGTTTTTTTTGTTTGTTTGTTTTTGTTTTTAAAAAAGGGCCGGAGTGGGGGCTGGGTTGTGGTTCAGTGATAAGTGCTTGCCTAGCATGTGTGAGGCACTGGATTCAATTCTCAGCACTGCATATAAAGAAATAAAATAGAGGTCTATTTATAACTAAAAAAATATTAAAAAATAAAAAGGGCTGGGGATGTGGCTTAGTGTTTACGTACCCCTACACTCCTGGGTTCAATCCCTGGTACAAAAAAAAAAAAAAAAAAGAATGATAATGATATGGAAGAGTAGGAAAAAAAGGGGCAAGGTTCTGCGGTTGAGCTCTGTGAACTTGGGCAAATGACCTCCCTTCTACAAAGTTCCTCTCCTTGTCCTAAGGCTTTTTCTTGTTTCAGTACCTGGCCTCCCTGGCACTGGTCCAGCTCGTATACACCTTCTGAAGTGAGGGATTCCAGGGGGCTGGGGAGATTGGATCTGTTTCTCAGACCCAAGTCACTGGGTTTTACCAACATAAAACACAATTCAAAAAGTCAGTCTTTGTTGCACAAAACATTATTCTCTGGTTTGTAAGCATTCCCAAAGGAGGGGAGCCCATGTGCTCCCTGAATGGGACAATACCACACTATAAATTGCTGGGAAAAGTCTGAGGATTTGCTTTGTTGTTCTCCATATAAGTGGTTACTTCTGTCCCAAGCCTGAGCCAAAGGGTCCATCCAGTGGTGCTGCTAGTCTCACTCACCTTGCTGGGATAATAATGGTGTGCTTGGCAATGCAGGATCATAGGTGGGAGGTCCTGGGGGTGGGATTGCTGGCACAGCGAAGCTCTTTAATGGGTGGGAAGGACGAACATGGGCTGTGGGAAGACTCTGCCCTGAATCTTCCTCCTGGGAGCTGGCCAAGTAAGAGGAGCTGGTAGCACCTTCAGGATCCTGATGATCAGTGCAGCATGTCTGAGATGAGGAGGCTGGCATGGTGTCAGTGCTGGGAGTATTTCGAACAGATTCTATAGCAGGAAAGCCTAAATGTTAGCATTTTTTTTTTAACCATTAAATGTGTAGGGTTTTGGCTACTTCTAGAAGTCCCTTAAACTAGCTCAGTAAGCTCTTGGGACCAGTGCTAGACCCAGGGAACATAGATTAGCACCACAGCCAAGGCTAGAACAGACCAAAAGTCCCAAACTCCTATCCTCAACCAATTGTTCCAATTTTTTTTTTCACCTGCACAGCTAGCTAAGTGGTCACAATCTTAAAGATTTAAAGTTCTCCTCAATACTTATTATGGAACACAAAAAAAGGTTCCTGAAACCATTGTCTATATTGGTATAAAATAAAATTTTAAATTTCACTCATTGATAAGGCTTACAGACTGTAGATGAGCATGTTTTAAGGACCTTGATGATCAGTATAGTATGTCTGAGATAAAGAGGCTGGCCTGGTGTCAGTGCTCGGGGCAGGTCACCAAGGCTGGTCAGGTACTTGACAGGAGTCAGCTCTGCCGCCAAGGCCTGGTGGTTACTGAAGGAAAGGCCAATGCCACAGGCCTTACATGGTCACTGGGGACCACAAATGGCTTTGGCCTCACTAGGGCAAAAATCCCATAGTTCAAGAGAGTAATGGACAACTAAACAGTTCAGAGGTCTACACACAGCTTTAAGATCATGCCCTGGCTGGGGATGTGGCTCAGTGGTAAAGTACTTGCCTAGCATGCTTGAGGACCTAGGTTCAATCCCTAGTACAGGAGAGAAAAAAAATCGTGCCAAATGAAGGGTGATTTGGTCCAGAGAAAGAAATAGGGGTAGATTAGCCTGGAAAAGAGGAGACTCAGGAAGAAAATGGTAACAATCTTTAAGCATGTGAAGTAGACACAGAATTCTTCTGAAGGCAGCACAGTGGAGCAGGAAAAGCTCTGACTCTGGAGTCTGACAGGCTTGCACTCTAGATTTGGCAAAGTCGTCAAATCTGTCTTAGTTTCTCCATCTACAAAACAGTTAGAATAACTTATAATTCACTGAGGAGTAATTGAGATGTATGAAAAGTGCTGAACACAGTACCTGAATAACTGAGAATGTTTTTTTCTTTGTAGATCACTGAGTGTTTACTCCAGGCCAGGCACCATGTGACAGGAAGTAAATAAGCAGTTGCCACGGACACAGAACCAGCATGGCAGAATCGGAATCCCTGCACCCAGGCTCTGAAGAACCACATGCAATTACTACCTTTCCCTGCCTGATGCCACATGTCCCTGCCCTGGGGGTGGGGGCAGAAGCAGTACCAAGGCCAGGAGGACTATCTGAGGAAGACTTTCACACAGTGTGAGTAGGATGGACTACTGCTGCATCTGGAAGAGATATGAAGGACACCAGTCTGGGCAACAGGCTGCATCAGTCATAAGACACTAGAGTCCTCAATCTTAAAAGAAATGCAATCAGCAACCTGTAGAAACCCAATCTACTTCTCTGCCTTTGTGAGGCAGTAATGAATCTGTTTATAGGCTATGAGAAGACAGGCTACAAGTGTTACCTCTGTGGCCTAAAGGCCTTGGGTCCCAGGGATGAAGGACAAACATGCCCTCCTATGTATGCCTGTCTATGATAATCCCTCTAGTTCCAGGTCCCTTCTCAGCTTTGTGAGGGCCGTGTTGAGGATGTTACTCTTCAATTTGCTCAAGCCAGCCATCACCATAGCTAGAGAGCTGCTAATCACTGTGTGATCCTGGCCCAGGTGGGAACTGGTTAAGAAGAGAAATAGGGAGGAGGAGAGAGGATAGTGGGTTTAAGTCCTGACCATGTCAGCAAGTACTGGAAGATATGATAAAGAGAAGTGAGAAAGGAAAATAGAGTTGTCTATATGAATTAGCTCCCTGGCCACTGCCACAGGCCAGGGCTGCCTTGTCCAACTCTAGAGGTATTCTCTGTGAGGGTGACTCCTGGATATTGTCCAACATCACTGGCTTACTCAGACATTAGGCTATGACTGAAATATTTGCTTTGTTGAGAGGCCTAGTTCCTTAATTATCTCTCAGAGTTGTTTCAGGCACACAAAGTTCCCAGTGATCTAGTGCTTAATCAAGTAGGAAGTGATCTTCCTATGTCAAGTGGCAATGACATGGTAAATACTTTTGGAGCAGAACTGTCTGGCCAGGCCCCATGTCCAGGGCTGTGGTAATACTTGGAGCTCTAGAGACACAAAGGTGTGTGGAAAACCACAGCAAGAAAGCTTGGACCATTTCTAGATACTGGCACTATTTTTCAAATTGATCTTCAGTGAGTCTATCTCTTTAGTTTTACTTTCTTTTATTCTTTCTGTCATTTAAGTAAGGAATCCTTTAGTAATGCAAATCACTGCTTTCCCCACCCCCCTCTTCACTTTCTATTTTGGTCCACACAGAAGGGAACTTTTACCACTTAAATGAGGACCTGGTGGGAGGTGCTACGCATCTCTTGGGCTCCCAATTCCCTCCTAGTCCAGGACGAGGTAGAAGGTGGCTCACCTCACTGTGAGAGCCTGCCAGCTACTCAGCCCGGTATCCTAGAATGTGATTCCTCAGCCTTCAAAGTAAAGAAGCAGAGTTGGGCATAAAAACCTTCCTAAGAGCAGGTTTGGAGGACTGCGTTCTGGTTCTTTGTTCTATTTGAGACTGTGGCTATGAGGGAGACCTTGATTCACCATCCAGCTGAATGGAATAACTATCTATCCTGGGGACCATCTTTCCCTAAAGGCAGAACCCGAAACCTGGATTTGTAGGGATATTCTAGAAAGGTCAAATTTAGATGCAAGTTCAAGCAGTATTCTCTAAACCTGGTAACAGTTCTGGGACTAGATAATATTAGAAGTTATCAGACGTCTCTTAATAAAGTCCTTACCTTTATTTGATGCTCTAGGTATATTTAAGATTGATCAAAATTTAGGAAGAGGAGGATGTCAGTGGCAACCAAAACTTCTAAGCATGAAGTTTTGAGGCTCTTTTAAAATGACACTCACTTGAAATTTCCTTATTTCCCAGAATCACTAAAACTCAGCTCTACAACTAATATAATAACTATTAATAGGTAAATTTCAAAAGATGGGGATAGTATATATTTGCAGTTTAAAACTGAAAGGGGAAATTAATTTGCAATTAATGAGGAATAAAAATGTTTATTCCATTTTTCTGTCCCCTCACCTTCATTATTTCCTTCTTAAAACTGATGATGCTGTTTCTTAAGATTTCCAAACTGGACATGCTTGTCTAGCAATGTACTTTATTAGAGACAACCCACATCATTATGCTAATTTTCTATCTATGTTTTAGAGATATGCATCCATTCCCAATTTTCATAATCCATTAGGCAACTTGAGATTTACAGTAAATACAAACTTGTTGTGGCTGGTACCCTCCATCCCCCAAAGCTGATCTTATTTTGGTCTATGAAGTATCTGACAGCTGCCTTATGGACTTTCCCAAAGTTAAGGTGACTATGAGGCAAAGGTAACTTTTGACATATAAAAACCACCTAGAATGAATTTTCCTTTCAAATTGGAGGATTAAAAAAAAATTAAAACAATTTGGAAAAAAAAGAATTGATGCAAGTTTTAAGGAATAAGAAATACTTATGTGATTTGAGTTTCTGCTAAAATGGCACCTTGCACTGAATACTTAAAACTTAGGGAGAAATATGGGGTGAATTTTACAGAAACAAATTCAAGTCAGTTACAGAACATTATGATAAATAAAATAATATTGAAAAATTCTAAGTAGGGCAAGTCCTTCCCCATTTCTGCTTGCCATCTTTAGGAATGCTTTTCATCTGGACTTGATCCTCATCTCTCACCTGTGGAATTGGCCCTGTCTGAAAGGGACATGGATGTGCCAACGGGCCATGGGCTGCCCGGGTGGTAGAGATGACTGCGAGCTGGAGAAGCGAGGCTGCTGGAGTGGAAATGATGGTGAGGGTTATCGAGGGAATGGATGGGATGGGCACTAATCACAGCTGTGAATGAACATAAGACAAAGAAATGCTTAACATGCTTGCACAGACACACATAAATCACAGTTTAAGAGCAAAGCCACCCCCTTCCCACCTCCCATATGATCCAATCACTCACTTTGCTTTCTGGTGGCAGCAGGCTGGATTTGGGCAATCAGCCATTGATTTTACTTTTGATTTAACAAAGGAACACATACTTATGCATATGTCTATATATATAGAAAAGAAGTCTGAGGAATATATACTAAAATGTTAACAGTGATTATTTTGTAGGGAAGAGTGGTCAGGATTAAAAGAATGTTTCTCTTTTGGCTTATCTACATTTCTCAATTCTATTATAAACATGGATTACATGAGTTGTTAAAATATCTATTTGAATATGTCACAAAATATAATCCATAAGCACATAAATAATGGCTTAGGCTTCTGTAATTTTTTTGTCCTATTAAAGGAATAGCAGTCCTATTTATTTTGAGTACACTCCTAATTCATTCTTTTTTTATTTGCCAAAAGAGGTATGTAATAGGCATTAATAAATGGGTAGCTGTTTAATCAGTTATTATATCTTAATGAATATGAAAGTTTCCTCTGATGGTTTAATCTAGTACCAAGTGTATGAACTATAGGCCTACTTCTTTTACTGCTTCCAAGTCTGGGGGCTCAGTCACACCCATGTTAAAATATAAGTGATCTTTCCTAATTTCTTCTTCCCTTCCCACAATGGCTAAGGACTCAATTTATTGCATTTGATTAAAGAATCCAGAATTTCACAGAGATTCCACATACAACTTTCTATGAAGCCTTTTTAATGACGTTTCATGTTCAATTTCAGAGATGTAAACAATGAAAATCAGAAGCCCAGACTTTGGAAATAAAATTTTCTTAAAACAGTTGTAGAAACAGAATATTTAAAATCAAGATAATCACCTCTAAATCCCCCATGTAGGCAAACAGGCAGGGTAGACGAAGGATACAGGACATCTTTTTTTCTCTAAGCAAGGGCTTCATGAACTTTATGGTAAAACTTAACTAGCTCTTTGGAGCCTATTACAATGTCTTGTTGCCAGGGATCTCCCCAGATCTTTGTGGAGTCAATCAACATTACCTTGGTTAAGAGAAATCTCAGGCAATGAAATGGACATCTTTATTCTCCAGCAATCTCCTGTCCTGGTTGTGCAAAAGCAAGCAGGTACACAGCCAATCTGGGACCCTTTATCATCACTGCCCCTCCCTCTCCTGCTCAAGACCAGAAGGCTCCAGGAGGCTCATGGGAATTAAACACAACACTGAAAAACTGACTGATGAGGGTTCCCAGGGCAGTCTGGAAGTCAGCATGTCCTCTGGTGGAAGACAGGTAGCTTTTGGAAGGGAGATACCTTAGAATCAGTATTTTAAAAAAACTAAGGCTGCAGGGAGAGAATAAATCTGATTTTTGACTTAGGAAGTGCATTCTGAAAGTGTTCTAGGTACAGAAGACTCTCACAAATAAAAAACAGTGGAATTTTAAAAAATGGCATTTTTAGTGTTTCTAAATAAGAAAACAAAACAAAACATGAAAGTGCCTGCATAAAGTGTAGTCAGCTTTCAAGAGTTGGTAGCTGAATCTGAACTTGTTGCTTCTGTGCATGGCCTTGAACTGGGCCTCATCTGGATGCCAGCAGGCCCTGCCCAGCACTGCTCAGCCTTTTTAGATCAGGGTAGGTGGATCATATGATGGTACATATGGCTCCACCCTCATCCTAGGATCCAGAGCTCAGGGAATTCCAGCTTGTGAGAAAAGACTGCATCCATGTGGGTTTTGAAAAGTATCTCTTAAAATATGAAGTCCACAAGTGCATCCAGGCACCTGATTTTAGATCTTGATTTAAAGAGCCTACCTACCATTCAATTTTTTGAGACCCAAACTATATGATATTGTATAATCATGCAAACTCCTTCCCTACCATAAAAAAAAAGAAAGATGTTAACTGGGATAACTTTTTTCCCCTTAACATATTTAAAAGTAATAAATCTAAAAATATAATCAAATTTAACTTTTAAAAATAAGCCAGTTCGGGGCTGGGGCTCTGGTTCTGTAGTAGAGCACTTGCCTCGTACATGTGAGGCCCTGGGTTCGATCCTCAGCACCACATGAAAAATGAATAAACAAATAAAGGTATTGTGTTCACCTACAACTTAAAAAAAAAAAAAAGCCAGTTCAGGTAGGAACTGAAGTCTTATACAAAATAAACAAATAAGCAGGCAGGCTACCACCTTTTTATAAATCAAGAACAATTAGAATGGATTCATTTACTCTTTTTAGGCATTTGTGTCTTTAAACATAGGGGGCCCATGCAGGATATTTCTTATAAAACGGAAACTGGGGTTTTTTCCTCCTCATGTTTCCAAGTCCAGGCTCTTCTATCACAAACCCTAAGTATAAACTATTTTGTATAAAAAATTTTTTATTAACTTAAAGGGCCTTACTCTTTCAAAGCTGAGTTTTAAGCTGGGTTGCGGAGGTGCACACCCATAATCCCAGCTACTTGGGAGACTGAGGCAGGAGGATCAAATCTGAAGACAACCTGAGCAACTTTGACCCTGTTTCAAAATAAAAACAAAAATGGGTGGGGATGTAGTTTAGTGGTAGAGCATCTGCATACACATCTGTATATTCAAAGGTTCCACCAGAAGGGTGGAGGATGAGAGAACTTTTCCAAGGAGAGGATGCCATGGTGCACCTCTTTATGTTTAGGACATCATGGCTATTTAAATCTTATCATTTGCTGGCAGAGAAATGGCTGAGCATTCCATCAATTGGAAGTCCTGCAGCACTGGCTAGTCTGAAAAGCTTCTATCTTGAAAACAGAAACCAGGGAAAGGACACAGGACTTCAAAAAACAAATAACACAAACAAACAAACAACAACAACAACAAACCTGCACCCATTGCTTTTTGATTTGTTTTTAAATTTTTATTGTTGGCTGTTCAAAACATTACATAGTTCTTGATATATCATATTTCACACTTTGATTCAAGTGGGTTATGAGCTCCCATTTTTACCCCATATACAGATTGCAGAATCACATCAGTTACACATCCATTGATTTACATATTGCCATACTAGTGTCTGTTGTGTTCTGCTGCCTTTCCTATCCTCTACTATCCCCCCTCCCCTCCCCTCCCCTCCCCTCTTCTCTCTCTGCCCCCTCTACTGACATTCATTTGTCCCCCTTGTATTATTTTTCCCTTTCCCCTCACTTCCTCTTGTATGTACTTTTGTGTAACTCTGAGGGTCTCCTTCCATTTCCATGCAATTTCCCTTCTCTCTCCCTTTCCCTCCCACCTCTCATCCTTGTTTAATGTTAATCTTCTTCTCATGCTCTTCGTCCCTACTCTGTTCTTAGTTACTCTCCTTATATCAAAGAAGACATTTGGCATTTGTTTTTTAGGGATTGGCTAGCTTCACTTAGCATAATCTGCTCTAATACCATCCATTTCCCTGTAAATTCTATGATTTTGTCATTTTTTAATGCAGAGTAATACTCCATTGTGTATAAATGCCACATTTCTTTTATCCATTCATCTATTGAAGGGCATCTAGGTTGGTTCCATAGTCTTGCTATTGTGAATTGTGCTGCTAAAACATCGATGTAGCAGTGTCCCTGTAGCATGCTCTTTTTAGGTCTTTAGGGAATAGACCGAGAAGGGGAATAGCTGGGTCAAATGGTGGCTCCATTCCCAGCTTTCCAAGAAATCTCCATACTGCTTTCCAAATTGGCTGCACCAATTTGCAGTCCCACCAGCAATGTACAAGTGTACCCTTTTCCCCACATCCTCGCCAGCACTTGTTGTTTGACTTCATAATGGCTGCCAATCTAACTGGAGTGAGATGGTATCTTAGGGTGGTTTTGATTTACATTTCTCTGACTGTTAGAGATGGTGAGCATTTTTTCATGTACTTGTTGATTGATTGTATGTCTTCCTCCGAGAAGTGTCTGTTCAGGTCCTTGGCCCATTTGTTGATTGGGTTGTTTGTTCTCTTATTGTCTAATTTTTTGAGTTCTTTGTATACTCTGGATATTAGGGCTCTATCTGAAGTGTGAGGAGTAAAGATTTGTTCCCAGGATGTAGGCTCTCTATTTACCTCTCTTATTGTTTCTTTTGCTGAGAAAAAACTTTTTAGTTTGAGTAAGTCCCATTTGTTGATTCTAGTTATTAACTTTTGTGCTATGGGTGTCCTATTGAGGAATTTGGAGCCCGACCCCACAGTATGTAGATCGTAGCCAACTTTTTCTTCTATCAGACGGCGTATCTCTGATTTGATATCAAGCTCCTTGATCCATTTTGAATTCACTTTTGTGCATGGCGAGAGAAAGGGATTCAGTTTCATTTTGTTGCATATGGATTTCCAGTTTTCCCAGCACCATTTGTTGAAGATGCTATCCTTCCTCCATTGCATGCTTTTAGCCCCTTTATCAAATATAAGATAGTTGTAGTTTTGTGGATTGGTTTCTGTGTCCTCTATTCTGTACCATTGGTCCACCCGCCTGTTTTGGTACCAGTACCATGCTGTTTTTGTTACTATTGCTCTGTAGTATAGTTTGAAGTCTGGTATCACTATACCGCATGATTCACACTTCCTGCTTAGCATTGTTTTTGCTTTCTGGGTCGTTTATTTTTCCATATGAATTTCATGATTGCTTTCTCTCTTTCTACAAGAAATGCCCTTGGGATTTTGATTAGCATTTCATTAAACCTATAGAGAACTTTTGGTAATATCGCCATTTTGATGATGTTAGTTCTGCCTATCCATGAACAGGGTATATTTTTCCATCTTCTAAGATCGTCTTCTATTTCTCTCTTTAGGGTTCTGTAGTTTTCATTGTATAAGTCTTTCACCTCTTTTGTTAGGTTGATTCCCAAGTATTTTATTTTTTTTTTGAAGATATTGTGAATGGAGTGGTTGTCCTCATTTCCATTTCAGAGGATTTGTCGCTGATATACAGGAATGCCTTTGATTTATGCGTGTTGATTTTATATCCTGCCACTTTGCTGAATTCATTTATTAGCTCTAATAGTTTCTTTGTAGACCCTTTTGGGTCTGCTAGGTATAGAATCATGTCATCTGCAAATAGTGATAATTTAAGTTCTTCTTTTCCTATTTTGATGCCTTTAATTTCTTTCGTCTGTCTAATTGCTCTGGCCAGTGTTTCGAGAACTATGTTGAACAGAAGTGGTGAGAGAGGGCATCCCTGTCTTGTTCCAGATTTTAGAGGGAATGCCTTCAATTTTTCTCCATTCAGAATGATGCTAGCCTGAGGCTTAGCATAGATTGCTTTTACAATATTGAGGTATGTTCCTGTTATCCCTAGTTTTTCTAGAGTTTTGAACATAAAGGGATGCTGTACTTTGTCGAATGCTTTTTCCGCATCTATCGAGATGATCATATGGTTCTTATTTTTAAGTCTATTGATGTGGTGAATAACATTTATAGATTTCCGTATATTGAACCAGCCTTGCATCCCAGGGATGAATCCTACTTGATCATGGTGCACAATTTTTTTTGATATGTTTTTGTATCTGATTCGCCAGAATTTTATTGAGGATTTTTGCATCTAGGTTCATTAGAGATATTGGTCTGTAGTTTTCTTTCTTTGAAGTGTCTTTGTCTGGTTTAGGTATCAGGGTGATGTTGGCCTCATAGAATGAATTTGGAAGTTCTCCCTCTTTTTCTATTTCCTGAAGTAGCTTGAAAAGTATTGGTATTAGTTCCTCTTTAAAGGTTTTGTAAAACTCTGCTGTATACCCATCCGATCCTGGGCTTTTCTTAGTTGGTAGTCTTTTGATGGTTTCTTCTATTTCCTCAATTGATATTGGTCTGTGTAGGTTGTCTATATCCTCCTGAATCAATCTGGGCAGATCATATGACTTAAGAAATTTATCGATGCCTTCACTATCTTCTAATTTATTGGAGTATAAGGATTCAAAATAATTTTTGATTATCTTCTGTATTTCTGAAGTGTCTGTTGTGATATTGCCTTTTTCATCCCGTATGCTAGTAATTTGAGTTCTCTCTCTTCTTCTCTTCGCTAGCATGGCTAAGGGTCTGTCGATTTTGTTTATTTTTTCAAAGAACCAACTTTTAGTTTTGTCAATTTTTTCAATTGTTTCTTTTGTTTCGATTTCATTAATTTCAGCTCTGATTTTAATTATTTCTTGCCTTCTACTTCTTTTGCTGTTGTTTTGCTCTTCTTTTTCTAGGATTTTGAGATGAAGTATGAGATCATTTATTTGTTGGTTTTTTCTTTTTTTAAGGAATGAACTCCAAGCAATGAATTTTCCTCTTAGAACTGCTTTCAATGTGTCCCATAGATTCCGATATGTTGTGTCTGTGTTTTCATTAATCTCTAAGAATTTTTTAATTTCTTCCTTGATGTCTTCTATAACCCATTGATCGTTCAGTAACCTATTGTTCATTCTCCAAGTGATGTATTCTTTTCCCTTCCTTCTTTTATCGTTGATTTTCAGTTCCATTCCATTATGATCAGATAAGATGCATGGTATTATCTCTACTCCTTTATATTGTCTAAGAGTTGCCCTGTGACATAATATATGATCTATTTTTGAGAAGGATCCATGTGCTGCTGAGAAAAAAGTGTAAGTGCTTGATGTTGGGTGGTATATTCTATATATGTCAATTAAGTCTAGGTTATTAATTGTGTTATTGAGTTCTATAGTTTCCTTATTCAACTTTTGTTTGGAAGATCTGTCCAGTGTCGAGAGAGGTGTGTTGAAGTCTCCCATGATTATTGTATGGTGGTCTATTAGACTCTTGAACTTGAGAAGAGTTTGTTTGATGAACATAGCTGCACCATTGTTTGGGGCATATATATTTATGATTCTTATGTCTTGTTGGTGTATGGTTCCCTTAAGCAGTATGTAGTGTCCCTCTTTATCCCTTTTGATTAACTTTGGCTTGAAATCTATTTTATTTGATATGAGTATGGACACACCTGCTTGTTTCCGAAGTCCATATGAGTGATATGATTTTTCCCAACCTTTCACCTTCAGCCTATGTATGTCTTTTCCAATCAAATGCGTCTCCTGTAGGCAGCATATTGTTGGGTCTTGTTTTGTGATCCATTCTACTAGCCTGTGTCTCTTGATTGGTGAGTTTAAGCCATTAACATTTAGGGTTATTATTGAGATATGGGTTGTTCTTCCAGCCATATTTGTTTATTTATGTTACTAAACATGGTTTGTTTTCCTCTTTGATTATTTTTCCCCCCTTTACTGTCCTACCTCCCACTGTTGGTTTTCATTGTTATTTTCCATTTCCTCTTCCTGTAATGTTTTGCCAAGGATGTTTTGAAGAGATGGTTTTCTAGCTGCAAATTCTTTTAACTTTTGTTTATCGTGGAAGGTTTTAATTTCATCTTCCATCCTGAAGCTTAATTTCGCTGGAAACACAATTCTTGGTTGGAACCCATTTTCTTTCAGTGTTTGAAATATGTTATTCCAGGATTTTCTAGCTTTCAGAGTCTGTGTTGAAAGATCAGCTGTTATCCTGATTGGCTTACCCCTAAATGTGATCTGCTTCCTTTCTCTTGTAGCTTTTAAAATTCTCTCCTTATTCTGTATGTTGGGCATCTTCATTATAATGTGTCTAGGTGTGGGTCTCTTATGATTTTGCACATTCGGCGTCCTGTAGGCTTCTAGGATTTGGGATTCTGTCTCATTCTTCAACTCTGGGAAGTTTTCTCGTATTATTTCATTGAATAGATTGCTCATTCCTTTGGTTTGAAACTCTGTCCCTTCCTGTATCCCAATGACTCTTAAATTTGGTCTCTTGATGTTATCCCATATTTCTTGGATGTTCTGCTCATGGTTTCTTAACAGTCTTGCTGAGCTGTCTATGTTCTTTTCAAGTTGAAATACTTTATCTTCATTGTCTGATGTTCTATCTTCTAAGTGTTCTACTCTGCTGGTAGTATTCTCAATTGAGTTTTTAAGTTGGTTTATTGCTTTCTGCATTTCTAGGATTTCTGTTTGTTTGTTTTTTATAACCTCTATCTCCCTGTATAGTTGATCTTTTGCTTCTTGGATTTGTTTATGTAATTCATTGTTGAAGTGATCTTTCATTGTCTGATTTTGCTGTCTGATGTCTTCCTTGAGACTCCAGATCATCTGAAGCATGTATATCCTGAATTCTTTATCTGACATTCCATCTGCTGCAGCTATTACCTCTTCTAACGTTGAGTTGACCTGCATTGCTTGTGATCCTTTCTTTCCTTGTCTCTTCATACTGTTCGTGTTCCTTTCTACTTGGTGAAACTGTTGTGCTATTGATTTTTCCCCCTATATATTTATATTGGTCTTGTATAGTTGCAAAGTCTCCCTCGCAGGCGTGGGCGGCGGCTCTGCCCCTCCTCCAATTGTGGCAATGTGCCTACCACGCCGGCAGGCCGCTGGGCCAGCTCTGCCGGTCGGTAGCAGGTCCGCCTACCTTGCAGGCGCGGGCGGCGGCTCTGTTCCTCTGCGGGCCGCTAGGCTTGTTCTGTCGGTGGTCGCAGTTCTGCCTACTTTGCAGGTGCAGGCAGCGGCACTGCCCCTCTGCAGGCCTCTGGGGCTGTTCTGCCAGTGGGTCGCAGGTCCGCGTACCTTGCAGGCGCGGGAGGGGGGCGGCTCTACCCTTCCTCAGGCCACTGGGCCTGTTCTGTCTGTCGGTTGCAGGTCTGGCCTGTTCTGTTGGTGGTCACAGTTCCGTCTACCTTGCAGGCGCGGGGGGAGGGGGCGGCTCTGCCTCTCAGCAGGCCGCTGCTCCTCTTCTGCTGGTGGGTCGCAGGCCCGCCTACCTTGCAGGAGTGATTGGAAGCTCTGCCCCTCCGCGGGCCACTGGGCCTTTTCTGTCGGTGGTCACAGTTCCGCCTACCTGGCAGGCGCGGGGGGTGGGGGGTGGCTCTGCCCCTCAGCAGGCCGCTGGGCCTGCTCTGTGGGTGGTCACAGTTCCGTCTACCTTGCCGGCGCAGGGGGAGGGGGCGGCTCTGTCTCTCAGGAGGCCGCTGCTCCTCTTCTGCCGGTGGGTCGCAGGCCCACCTACCTTGCAGGAGTGATTGGAAGCTCTGCCCCTCCGCGGGCCACTGGGCCTTTTCTGTCGGTGGTCACAGTTCCGCCTACCTGGCAGTCGCGGGGGGTGGGGGGCGGCTCTGCCCCTCAGCAGGGCGCTGGGCCTGCTCTGTGGGTGGTCACAGTTCCGTCTACCTTGCCGGCGCAGGGGGAGGGGGCGGCTCTACCTCTCAGCAGGCCGCTGCTCCTCTTCTGCCGGTGGGTCGCAGGCCCGCCTACCTTGTAGGAGTGATTGGAAGCTCTGTCCCTCCGCGGGCCACTGGGACTTTTCTCGCTTTTTGATTTTTAACCATGATATTTAACTTATTTTGAATTTCAACTATTATTAAAAGAGGCTTACCACCTTAATGCTTATCAAAATCAGGCACGGGTCAAATGAGATTAAAAAATGTTGCTTTGTTAAGTTCCATGCTATAACCCTAAAGCAACTCTACACTATATAGTCTACTAACTTAAAAAATAAAAATTCCATAGATGCTCATCAACACTGACTGACTCAATATCAGGAAGCCCATGGAAAAGGTGTGATATCTGGCAAAGCTCAGCCCTAAATCTCATCTCTTCTGTGGAGATGTTGTGCACGTTTATGGAGAATGGATACTTTACTATTCCTGGGAGACTGTAGAAATTGGCTTTTAAGTTTACCCATAACTTAAAGATGCTAGTTCAATAATAATATTTATTGCAAATGTGGCAATTGTTTGATATTTCTTTCTTAAGGGTGTCAAAAGTTTTGGTAGGTTATCTTTTGTGTTAAGATCAAGTGAAGTCAAAGATATCATTCATAGATGTTCCCTATCATGAAGGGATAGGACAGGCATCACTGTAGAAAAGAGAAGTTTTTACTTACGCTGAGGTGGTTGAGAGTCAAAGGGCATCATCATTTTTGGTCTCATTCCCCTCCTTCCAGCTAGTGTAGACATACTGTCCTCTGATTCATGCCCTAGAAATCAAATATGGGGATTAGTTGCAAGTGTACAACCTAGGCCACTGAGCAACTTGGCTGTAAAACATTTCTAGTGGCAGAATTATGACTCAAATAACAATGCAACAGGGATAAGGTATTTCTGATTAGAACATCATGGCGGTCCCTGATGAGATAAGAACAGATAATACAGTGCTGCCCACTATGCAACAGTAACATGGGCTAGGTGACTCAAATGCTTGAGTGAACTCTGATGAGAGACCTAAAAGATCTAAGCTGTTGTCCCCCATAACCAATTAGCTATTCTTCATCAAATGTTTACTGAACACTATAACATACATTTTTAACCTAACCTCTAAGAATCATCAAATTAAGGCAATCTTACAAAGCTGAAAATCATTAAAAATAGTCTCCCATCATTTGGGAAAAAACCTTCACTGATCATGGTACCTCTGTATGAGTTCCTCCTTTGATGGATATTACTGTCCATGGAATTGTCAACAGGTGTGATATCTTGAGAATTGCGAGGAATTGGCGTATCGGTCATGATGGGATTTGGGTCTGGAGACTTATCAATGGGTTTCAGCTCCAGTCTCTCATGGTGGATCCACAGGTCTGGAGGTTTGACATCTTTGGAGTTCCCTTTGTACTTGTGGGAGCCATTCACTGATTTGCATGCAGCTCGTTTCCTAGGCACAAAATTAAAAAGGTTTTAAAAAGTAATTCTTTTGACACATTAGTCATAAGGCTTGATTAAAACTGCCTTTCTGAAGAATGCTTCAAGGCAGAAAAGAAAAAAAAAAACCCAAACAGATAAGAATTATGGAAAGAGTAAATGTGTCGCCACCTTGGTCACACAAAATTAGAGATTCTACTGGGAGATTCTTGAATATTGCCTTGTGACTATGTTTTTGAGTGTTATGAGATTAAGATAGCATTTTCAAAAAAATATTTATTTTTTAGTTGTAGTTGGACACAATATCTTTATTTTATTTATTTTTATGTGGCACTGAGGTCTACCACTGAGCCACAACCCAGCCCCTAGAGATTAAGATAGCACTTTTAAAATCAATCTCTAAAGCAGAGGTTCCTTTATAAGATTCCAAATGATAGAGAAAGGACAACAGTAAGCAGAAATGTAACAACGGAATGGAGGTGGAGCATATGGCTTATAAAGAAAGGAGGAAACCATGTTTTAGGTAATCCAGCTGAGTGGAGTCAAAAACCAGGACACAGTGTCTCCTTGACCGTTCTTTAGTTTCTCCCTTCACTCACTCTCTCACTTGCCTACCCATTAATTGCATATATTAGGTACCCACTATATACATCAGATCCTGGGCTAGACGGTTGTGCCTCAGTACTTCTGGTCAAATGAGGAAGGTGGACACTGAACTATTATATTTAAATACTCTGAGCTTAGTGAAATGCCATGCCATCTTAATAGTTGGACCTATGGTAGATAGGAAAGACATGCAAGAAGAAGTGATATTTATGCTGAGACCTAAAGGGGTCAGAAAGTACATTACAGGTGGTGAAATCAGCTTATATCCAAGCTCTGAAGCACAGAGCAGCGTCCTTGCATAATAAGAGAATGATATGGGGAGGTAGTCAGGAACCAGATCATAAAGGGCTTTTATTTATTTATTTTTGGTGATACCCAGGGACATTCTACCACAGATCTGCATCCCCAGCCTTTTTAATGTTATATTTTGAGACAGGGTCTCACTGGCCTTGAACTTCTGATCCTCCTGCCTCAGTCTCCTATCTAGCTAGGACTATAAGCATGTGCCACTGTGCCCAGCTCATAAAGGGTGTTTAGAGCAAAGCTGAGTGTGAACTGCTCCCTAGGAGTAATGAGAAATCATTAAATGCTTTTAAGCAAGAGAATAAAGAGATGAACTCTGATTTAAAACTTTAGACATCTGTGTTGGGAAGAACGGATTTTTGAGATGAGGGACAGAAGAGGATCAACTAGGATGCTACTGCAATAACCTCAGCTGTGACTTGACAGTGGCCTAGAAAGTGGGGAATGGAAGAAGCCGACTTGAAAAGTATTTAAGAGGCAGAAATGATAGGACTTGGTAAGTAAATGGGCATAGGTAGGGTGAGGGTAAAGAAAAAAAAGGAATAAAGGATGAGGCTGAGGTTTCTGGCTTAAGGCACTTAACTCACTGGGAATAATAGAGTAGAAGAGGTTTGACTGAAAAGATTATGAACTGTTTTGTCATGAGTATGAAGTACCTTGGAGATATTCATTAGGAAATATAAAGAGGCAACTGGGTGTGTTAAGTCTGATGCTAAGAGAGACAGAGGCCTTGGCCAGAGACAGAAACACAGTGGGGGCTGGGATATACATAGTAAATCAGATCACAGGAGAAAATGAGATGAAATGGGAGAACATAGATGAAGTAAGCCCAGGCCCAGAGGAATAAGTAATGGATGGGTAGGTAGAAGGGGCTATGAAAAAGAATAGGTTGTCATGGAATACAAGAAAAGAGAATGCTTCTAGAAGAAAGAAGTAGTTGATTATGTTAACTATTAGAGACTAAAATGAGAACTGAATAGTGTTCTTTGGTTTGGATGATATGGAAGTCACTGGTGACCCATCAAAACTAATTTTGGTGAAATGGTAGGAGCAGAACACAGATTAGAAAGCAGTTAAGCACGAGTAGGTAGTGAAGGAACAGATAAGTGAGAATAAACAAATACAGCTGGCCCTCTAATAACTGTTGGTTCTATATTCAACCAAATGCAGACTGAAAATATGTATTAATATTGCATTCAATATGTGACTTTTTCTTGTCAATATTCTATAAACAATACAGTATAACAACTAATTACATAGCATTCATATTGTAGTCACACGTTGATTAATGATGGGGATTTGTTCTAAGAAATGCATTCTAAGGCAATTAAAAAATATTTTTAGATGTAGATGGACACAACACTTTTATTTATTTTTTATGTGGTGCTGAGGATTGAACCCAGTGCTTCACACGTGCTAGGCAGGCACTCTACCTATGAGTTACAACCGCAGTTCCCTAAGGCAATTTTGTTGTGTATCACATAGTACATTCACACAAATTAAGATGGCTATGATGCCTCTAGATGATATAATCTTATGACCACCGTCACATATGCAGCATTAGTATTACAGGTTGAGCATCCCTAATCTAAAAATTTGAAATGCTTATGGGGTAAAAATGGGAGCTCATAACCCACTTGAATCAAAAGTGTGAAATATGATATATCAAGAACTATGTAATGTTTTGAACAACCAACAATAAAAAATTAAAAAAAAAAATTTGAAATGCTCTAAAATCTGAAAAATTCTGAAATCTAAAACACTTCCAGTCCCAAGTGATTTGGTAAGATAAGGGATACTCCATCTGTATAAATAATCTTTTATGACTTAAAGTATACTGGAGAATGTGTAGGTTGTATGTAAATACTAAGCCATTTCATGTAAGGAACTTGAGAGCATCCTTAACTTTTGGTATCTGTGGGGTGTGTGTGTGTGTCATGAAACCAAACCCCTATGGATACTAAGAGATGACTGAATTCAGAAATTTTGGTGTCAAAGGAAAAAGGTTTGTAAGCAACCAGTAGTGACAATCAAACAGCAAGAGGATAATTATATGGGGCTGGGGTTGTGGCTCAGCGTAAAGTGCTTTTCTAGCACACGTGAGGCCTGGGTTTGATCCTCAGCACTACATATGAATAAATAAAAGTATTGTGTCCAACTAAAAAATAAATATTAAAAAAGAGGATAATTATTTCTTAAGATAGAAGAAGTGTATATATATATTTTAATGCTGAAGGGACAAAGGCAATAGAGAATGAGAGATCATCTATCCTGGAGAAAGGGATAAGAGCAAGTACTAGGTCTTAGAAATACAGGAGAATGAGATCAAGGGCATAAAGGGAAGAGCTGGCTTCAAACAGCAAGGAGTACACTTAGGAGGGGAGGAAACATTATTACCAAGGCAGAAAGGTTTTAGATTTGATCATCATCTAACCTACACTGTATCAGTTCTCATCTGCTATGGGTTATCCCCCTAGAATTCATGTGTTAGAAGCCTGATCCCCATTAACAGGGATAAGAGATGGTGAATCCCATAAGAGGAGGGCCTAATGGAAAGTAATTAGGTCACCGAGAGCATCATCCTTGGAAGAGGTTAAGGTAGTTCTCACAGAACCAGACTAGTTCCCAAGACAGCAAATTGTTGTAATAGACCTTGGCACCTCCTACTGAGTCTCCCTTCTACACAAGACGAGTTCCCTTTCTGTTTCTCTGCCATGTTGTGACACAGGCCTTCCCCAGAGCACCAGTGCCATGCCTTTTTTGGATGCTCCAGCTGTAAGAATTATGAGCCAAATAAACTTCCTTTCTTTATAAAGTACCCAGCCTTGGGTATTCAGATATACTAACACAAATCTGACTAGTACATCATTTGATGACTTTTACTTTCTTTGGGCAGGAGATACCCAAGTTATCTTTTGAGAGTTAGCGGGTGAAAGGGAATGTGCTAAGAAACAACGAGGGGTTAGACTCTAAATTTCCTATCAATTTTGAGGTTTAAGATGCTATAAACAATTATAATTTCAATACTTTAGGTACTGAAGAGGAAGAAAAGCAACAAGGAAAGTTTATGGGTTTTGATAATTGAAAGAACACTTGGAAAGAAGATCACTGGAGAAGAGGAAGGGAAAAGTCTTTTTAAGATTTGATATAATTATTTTAAACATAAGGGATCCAAATCTGTAGGATTTGCAGGTTTTAAATACAGAGTGCACAGTCTATTACCAACTAATTTTCCTAATCTCAATCTGAAGACTGAGTATCTTATTTTTATTTATTATAAACTTTAAATATCCCAAATATTCCAAATCACTAACTCTGTCATTTTGGTTTTTAGATTCTACTAAATAAAGATAAAACTAGACAAAAAAGTGAGTTTATAAAGATAGATAAATGTGAAATGCCAAGTAAAGAAGCTTGCAGAAAATTTCTAGAGTAGAAAAAAATGTTGTCTTTGAGGCTTTTAAGAGAAACACTTTTCTATCACCAAAAGCAGACAGGGAAAGCTCTAAGAGGCAGTGGTCAGGAATCATATAAAAGGAGCCCTCATTCTCTTGGGAAAGTGATGACATGTAAGCAATGGGAAGCTTCTTTATTTGGGCAGAAGAGAGAGATTTAAAATATCACATAACTTACAGAAAATGACAAAAAATTACTAGCCACAGTTATAGGGTATCTTGTACTGCCCTGTACACTGAAAACAAATTTATCATTATTAAATACATGCATTCTTGCCTTGGGTACACCACGCCTGATAGTTAATCACAGGCACAGTCATGAATGTCTTTCTCTTTTAGGGGGCAAAGTCCCATCTTATGATCTTTCAGGACACTGTAACTAGTGTAATTTTATTCTACCGTGATTTTATTATTAGGGGGTAACTCAGGAATGATGTCTCTTGCTGCCAGATACATGAGTTGAATGTCATACAGAGTCAAAGATTTCAGGGCTACCAGCCAGCTATTGGCTCTCTCTGTGAAACTGATGTGTTGACTATCAACAACTTCTTATTACTCATTAAAGCAACCTCCTTACTTGGCCCATCAACCTTACATTTGGTACATTTCTTTAAAAATATTCCTAATCTTGGACTTTTATTAAGAGGCCTATGGCTTTCTTCTACCTTGGTTGGCACTTATTCTGTGTGACATAGCCTGCTGTAGGCCCGCCCACAAACCGCAGAGCATCTGGCTTGTTGTACGCATATAAAAACAACATTCGGAGGGCAACCATCCATGCTGGAAATCTCCCACTCTTCACATCACTTCCCTGCTTAGCTTTGAAGCCTGGGAAGTGAAGCTAAATCAACTTGGCAATTCTACTCCTGGCAAGACAATGGAGGTAGGAGGTGTTGTACTCTCGCCCCTCCCTGCTGGGCAATATTCCTTTAGCTCTAGCATGTTCCTGACAGGAAGGCCGCTTCCACTCTGAAACAGCTCTATCCTCTTCTTGCTTTTTTAGGACTATGGATGACTGTATCCTATCACTGTTGAATGTCTCTGCCCAGTTTCCCCTAACCCCACCTATGACTTATAAATGGTCCCTTTTGAAAGTGTTAGTTCTTCCTGCAAGGACCCCGACTGACACACATTTATAAGATGAACCGATTTCTACTTCCTTTTAAAATATAGTCACTTAATTTGTATTTGTACAACATGGGACCTTCTGAGAAACTAAGGTGATTCTGTCCTCACGCAAATATCATAGAGTGTACTTACTCAAACCTGGATGGGATGGCCTACTACACACCTAAGCTATATGGTATAGCATTCTAAGGCTACAAAAACTGTACAGCATGTGTGACACAATGGTAAATATTGAATCAGAAAAGGTATAGTAAAATATGATTTAAAAAGAGAAAAAATGGTACATTAGTATAGGGCACTTAGGATCATGAATGGAGCATGCTCTGAGTGAGTTGGTGAGTGAGTAGTGAATGACTGTGAAGGTTGTCCACTAATACAGGCTCAATGAACATTGTATGCTTAGATTACACTAAATTTATAAAAGATATTTTTCTTTCTTCAATAAATTAATCTTAGCTTACTGTAACTTTTTTACTTTATAAATGTCTAAGTTTTTAAAAACCGATTATTTCACAACACTTAGCTTAAAACACAATATATTGTGTTTTTAATATACAAATATACAAATGTATATTTGTACAAAAATTTTTCTGCACATTTTTTTTCAAATTTTTTGTTTTTTTTTGTTTTAGGTAGACACAATATCTTTATTTTATACGTATGTGGTGCTGAGGATTGAACCCAGTGCCTCATGCATGCTAGGCGAGCATTCTACCACTGAGCCACAACCCCAGCCCCTTTCTGCACATCTTTTTAAAAATATTTTTTTTAGCTGTAGATGGACACAATACCTTTATTTTATTTGTTTATTTTTATGTGGTGCTGGGGATTGAACCCAGTGCTTCATGTGTGCTAGGCAAGTGCTCTACCACTGAGCCACAACCCTGGTCCTTCTGCACATCTTTATTCTACATGCTTTTTCCTATTGAAAATATTTTTAATTTTAATTTTTTAATCTTTTTGTTAAAAACTAAGGCACAGATTTCATGTCACCCCAGTCAGAATGACAATTATCAAGAACATAAACAACAATAAATGTTAGTGCGGATGTGGGGGAAAAGATACACTGATATATTGTTGGGAGGAGTGTAAATTGATGCAACCATTAGGGAAAGCAGTATGGAAATTCCTCAGAAAACTTGGAATGGAACCATCATTTGACCCAGCTATCCCACTCCTTGGTGTATACCCAAAGGACTTAAAATCAGCATATTATAGTGACATAGCCACATCAATGTTTATGGCAGCTCAACTCACAGCTAAACTATGGAACCAACAGAGGTGCCCTTCAACAGATTAATAAAGAGGAGAATGAAGGGAGGGAAGAGGGAATGGGGGTAGGAAGGATAGTAGAATGAATCAGACATTATTAGCCCTATGTACATATATAACTATACGACCAGTAGGATTCTACATCATGTACAACCAGAAGAATGAGAAATTATACTCCATTATATACGATGTATCAAAGTGCATTCTACTGTCATGTATAACTAATTAAAACAAATAAACAAACAAAAAAACCCAACAACAACTTAAAAAAAAAACTAAGGTACAAGCTCATGCTAGCCTGGGCCTACACAGAGTCATCATTATCTCTCGTCATCCACTCTATATCTTGTTCCTGCTGGAAGATCTTCAGGGGCATTAATGTGTATGGAACTTTGTCCCCTAGGATAACATCACCTACCTCCTGATGGGACTGCCTGAGGCTCTTCTTGAGGAGGTGGCACTCTTCCATGGTGGACTGCTTGGTTTGTTTCTATTTTTTTTTTTAATTATAGATTTGCTTAAAAGATTTTTTATTATAGATTTGCACCATGAACATTCCTTTAATAAAAACCTTTCTGTGTTGGGGTCCATGTTTTCAAACTTTTTAAAGGACCTTGTTGAGGTCTACAAAAGCTTTGGCTAAATGCTTCACTGTATTTTCTTGAGGGGTTCTTTTTCTTCTCCTAAAGTTTCTTTTTATCTTGCCTCTTCTTTTACTACTTTTTTATTAGATGAAAGACACTTTTTATTATCATATGGGACTGTCCTCATATAAGTAGTCCCTTGTTGACCAAAACATTGTTATATTCAAAAACTATATTCAAAACTGCTTGTCAAGTATTTTATATTTTAATTCTTTGTACCACTCTAAATGCAGAAGTCACATAGAAGAAAAAAAAAAAGATACCACAGTATCTATAGGCTACATTTGGGGCCCCTTACTTTTTCTGGTGAGATGTGGTACGCCTTGTGCAAAAGACAGCAATGATCACGACCACCACAATGGTGATGACACCAACAGAAACGATGATGACCAGCAGCATGTTACTGTCCAGAGGAGAGGTGGGGCTCCCATGAGGGCTGTTGCTTCCTGCAGAGCAAAAATGACACATATGTTAGTTTAGTAGATACTTTTAAAAGTGTATTCAATCAGGTGTAGAAACATTCCAAGATACATTGGGCAAGCTTCTTCATGATATCAGCACCATGCAATATAAAGTGCCACATGAATATGTCTGTCTATATTATAAGCTTGAATCCAACTTAAGTATAGTGCTCAGCACAAAGCCTTGCTCAAAGGTTGTTTCCAATAAGTTTCTTGAATTGTGCTAAACATTCAAAAGCTTTCAGGTATACTCAGAGAAAGGATTCTCTGGTGTCTTATAGAATATACAAATTCATTTTGAAAAGCACCATTTCTTTTTTTTTTTAAAAGATTTTCTTTTTCTTTTTTATTTTATTTATTTATTGGTATGTGGTGGTGAGGATTGAACCCAGTGCTTCACACGTGCCAGGTAAGCACTCTGCCACTGAGCCACATCCTCAGCCCGAAAAGCACCATTTCTAAATCATTTGTTTTATTGGCTTTCAAAACCATTTTAAAAATGTATATTCATACAAAGCAAAAGTTTTTCCTAACACATTAAAAAAGCACATCTCATATATTTATTATATAGGTATATGAGATTATAAAAAATACCTGAATAAAATCATCCGTTTTTATATTTCTTCTTTTTTTTTTTGGTACTGGGAAGCAAACCCAGGACTTTACACATTCTAGGCAAGTGCTCCACCACTGAGCTACATCCACTCATTTTACATACAGCCTATGCAGTCAGTTTTCCTACTCAACTTGAGGAAAAGTAGATCTGCACATATGAATTAATTTGACAAATATTCAAATATTCCCATGTCCCAGTTGTTGTTTTAAATATTAATTATGCAATGGTGAACAACAAAGATGTGAATGATGGGGGTGGGACTGGGTTAAACAAACAAATAAATAAATAAATAAGAAATTCCTGGTTAATAATCAGTGCTGGAAAAAAATTAAGTAAAATTAGAAGATATGACAGTGACTGGGTGGCTAATTAAGGCTAACTAGTTAAAAAGTTTCTCTGAATCCAAAGTAGATATCCCCAGGAGGTAACTTCCCCTGGCTTTGTCCAAGTGGCACAGGGCAGCATGGGGCTCTATCCCATGGTATTCACAATCACTTTGCATGACAGAGAAGCTGGGCCTGGAGACTACACTGAAACATTCCTACAACCTCTCAAGAGTCCTGTGGACAGGGATGAGGAGACAAACTAGGGAGGAAACAGTCCCCTAGACTCCTCAACCTGGATTCTAAGTTCACTTTGCTCTCAGGAAAAGCTTCTCCAGAAGATGGCATTTGAGCTGATATTTGAATGATAAGAAAGATCCCATCATACAAAGACCTAATTGGAGAACACTTCAGAGGGAGAGAAGAGCTAATGGAAGGACCCCGAGTCAGGGAAAGGCAGCCAGCAATGCTTAAGCACAGAGAGATGCAAGTTAGAGGGAAGAGGGGCTGGGGATGTGGCTCTATTGGTGGGGCGCTCGCCTGGCATGCGTGCGACCAGGGTTCGATCCTCAGCACCACATACAAAAACAAAGATGTTGTGTCCGCTGATAACTAAATAAATATTAAAAAATTAAAAAAAAAAGAGGGAAGAAAGTGAGGAGAAAAGAGATGGAGATGAGGCTGGGCATGTGGGCAGAGGCCAGATCATTTAGGACCTTAAAGAAATAAATGATTTTTTTCTTCTTCCTATTACTATTTCCTCATTGCTTATAGAATGAGGTCCAGGCTTTTATCAGGGACTTTGATAATGTAGCTCTAAGTCTTGCTGTCTTCCAGTTCTCAAAACATATTTCTTTGCTTCCCACCTCATTATTTAAGTTATATATGCTCACATTATAAAATGAGGCAAATCCCACCATAAAGATCTAACCACCATGGACATCCATGGTATTTCCTCCTAGTTACTCTCTTTTATCTTTCCAACAATCAGAGCTGAATAACAAGGGATGAGCTCCTTAGTAAAAAGTCTTCGGTTATTAGAAGTACTTAAGAAGAGGGATCCCACCAGTGTGGAATCTTGTAGAAGAAATTCCTACCATGAAAAGTATGGTCTGGAAATCTGCGTTTAAAAAAAATTTCCTGAAGTGATTCTCATGTACCACCTGGCTTATAAATTTATGATCTAATCCAAATTTATACTCATGTGGGAATCCCTTCCATAACACTGGATTAGCTGCCCTTCCAACTTTGAATCTATGATTTTAGAGATAACATGTAAGCACAGTGCTAAATCTGGGGCTGATTTAGAAGGGCTTAAGAGCTTATTCTTTTATATGTGGTTCAATCATTTTTATCCTTCATTTCTGAGAAAAAGGTAAGCACACAGACAACTTAAACTGTACACGCTGACCTTCAATAAAATAACCTTTTAAGGAAGATGAGAGTACTGGGGCCAATAAAATTAACCTTCCTGTTCATGTAAGTGTAGGGCTTTACATAACACTGTTATTAACAGCAGTGCTGAGCTAATATACTAGATGGACAAAAGCTTCCATCCAAGTGCAAGAGTGACATGCCACAGGGGTATCAACATTTCTCCCTGAGATAATATAACATGCTATTTATTTATGCCCCATCTGGACTTCTGTAATGGTTTCCTAACCACTGTATTCCTGAGTTCATGTTCTTCTTTTTTTTGTACAACGGATTGAACCTAGTGGCACTTAACCACTGAGCCACATCCCCAGCCCTTTTTGTTTTTCATTTTAAGACAGAGTTTAAGTTGCTTAGGGTCTCACTTAAGTTGCTGAGGCTGCCTTTGAACTTGGGATCCTTCTGCCTCAGCATTCCAAATTGCTGGGATTACAGGTGTGTGCCACAGCACCTGGCCTAACTTCATACATTTAGCTCCCAACTCATTCTTCACTTTTATAAGAGAAAGAATAATAGATACTATATAAGTGGAAGTTTCAGTGTTCCACAGGTGTCATTTTACATGTTACTTATAGGAGAAAGCTCACATTTTTTAACATTATTATTTGAGCTCTTGCTGGGCTGGTTCTAATCTAACTTTTCAACTCATTTTCTGTCTTGCATTTAGACAGTAGGATCCCTGGAGAGGAGGTGGCTTTATACTTCCACACCTTTGCATACACTTAGTGCTTCCTGGAATGTCCAACCCCTTCCTTGACATTTAGCAATCTGTGAATCCTTTAAGACCTGGGTGAGGTATCACCTCTTTTACAAAGTTTTCCTTTTTCTCATTTTTGAGTAGATTGTTACTCTACCTCCTTCAACAACCTGCCACATAGAATCTAAACCTTTAAAAATATGAATGTTTACAAAGAAGTAATTATTTTCTCATAGCCTTGATATTATACCGTGAACAGCACAAAATGTAACAAATACACTAAGGAGAAGAGACTTAATAAACAAAGTATTAGAACTTAAGCATAAAAAGTTTTTGAAATGCCATATGCGGTGGTACATGCCTGTAATTCCAGCAACTCGGGAGGCTGAGACTGGAGCATTGCATGTTCAAAGCCAGCCTCAGTAAAAAGGAGGCACTAAGCAACTCAGTAGGACCCTGTCTCTAAATAAAATACAAAATAGGCCTGGGGATGTGGCTCCGTAGTTGAGTGCCCCTGAGTTCAATCCCCAGTACCAAAAACAAATTTTTTTTTTTTTTAAAATAGGCTGATTTTATTGAAGTACGGGCAGTGTCCTTTTTTTTTTTTTTTTTTAAATTAAAAAGACAGCTGAAGATTAAGAGACCTCTGTAGTCCCACAATTTGACCAGCATCTCTAGACAAGCCTTTCTCTTTCATGTGATTATTGGGCAGAGGTGATGAGACATTCGCGTCAGTTCTAGTAACTAATTGCACGGACATTTTGCAACTTTGGATTCTCATATCTAGCTTTGTAGGTTGCATGTGATAGTGAAGAAACCTCCATCAGAAGATGGAAGCCTTAGTGGTTGGTTCCAGGCACACTATTTCTCCATTGTCTCTCTGCATTAATGTATTTAAGGATAATAATGGTATCTGTTCTTTCTAGATCCCTGTGTTGTGAGGATCAAATGTGATTCCATGTGGGAAAGTAACTTAGAGATGGAGAATAAAGTTCTGAAGAAAAGGAGGCATTATTAAATTAGAAGACATCAACAGCTCTTAGGATGGTAAGAAGAGTGGGAAGAACTTTCTAAACTCCCAAACTGAAAACAGTACAATAAGTAGTACTGGGAGAACTTACTGATTCTGAAGCATTTCTCTGACTTGTTTGGGTGATTGCTAATCCTATTACTAGATATATTTTTTAAAGTTTTATTTTTCTAGAGGCAGTGGGCAACACAAAGAAACACTGCTCAGGAATCCATCTTGACTATGCTGGGAAACAATTTTATTTACAGATCCTGTAACAAATGGACTTTCAGTAATTTGACAAACATTTGCCATAAAATGCCTAATGCTAGATCTGCTAAATAAAAGGAAATAGGTGAATATGTTACAATCTACCACTCAAGCTACCAAAGATATTTTGAGATTTTAGGCAAACTACTTAAATGTCCATAGGAGGCTCAGAAAGCCATAGGAAGAGCTTTACCACTCATTGGAGGTTTGTAGTCAGATCCCAGGTCTGGCAGCCGGCTTCCTTTTCCTGAAGACCCTGAGGCTAAAGCAGAAGAAATCATGTCAATAATGACCCAACACATTGGAGTGACAGTCCACTTCATAGCCAGTGAATATATTTTTAAAAAATTGTTTTCAGTATACTCTTGTGAGAAAATGAAGAAGCACATAAATAAGGGAAAAATGCTGTCTCTGTGTGCTTAGGTATAAATTAGCTTTCTATGCAATGAAAACAGTTCCAGGGCTGTGAACAGACTGTCACTCTGCTGTTCAGGAAGTGAGGACAGAAAACAGCTTCTGAAGGGCTACTTAGAAGACTTCCCCCTTTGGGGGAAAGGAACAAAAGGGATTAATTAGGTTGATGCCTATAGCAAAGAACTGTATTTTTCCAAGGGACCCAGTTATGTTGACCTGGTCTAGCAGGCATCAATATTGTTTTGATTCTTTTTTCAAATTCTAAAGTTGCCTTTCCATGTGTAAAGTTGGCCTAAGCAGGGCAGAAGATAGGCGGAGGTTTAAACTGGGTCCTTAGTTCCTGTTCTTACCTAAATATCCAAAGATAGCAAAAACAGTTTTCTCTCTGTTCATATTAGCTCCTAATCAATCATCTTTGGGCATAGAAAGTGATGCTGCTGACTTCAGGGTTGGGGCCACCCCAGCAGGAAGACTCAGAAAATGCAAATATCCGTTTTCTTTTTTAAATGCTTAGTCTTGGTCTCGAACCTTGTTCTTCATATTTGTAAAAGCTGCTTGGGTAAAGCAAATGCCAAGGAGCCTGTCTCCAATAAGGCAAAGGTATCCCTCAATCCAAAGTTATGGCCAGAAAGCAGTATCATGCTCCTCTTGAAAAGAGGACTGAAAGAACTACAAAGCAAAATTCTACTCCTTGTAGTTAATACAGTCTAGTGCTTAAGCAACTGCACTTGAACACTGGCTCCATCATATATAACTTTTTGGGCAAATGATTTAAATATTCTCTATGTGCCTCAGTTTCCTTATTATAAACAGGGATAATAATGGTATCTACACTTCACAAAACTTTTGTGAGGATTAAATAGAAATTTAATACCATAAAATATACTTAAAATTGCCTGATATTTAGTAATACAACTGTTCAATAAATGTTAACCATTATTATTACAAGCATAATGAAATTTCATGGAAGAATACACAGAATACGATCTTTCCCTTTACAGAGGCAGAGAGCAAAGAATTTTAGCAAACACATAAATCAGAGTTATTTCTATAAATAAAGCTTGACCAGAAGTGCATAAACTAGGTGTTTCTGCAATAGATTAGAGCTAATGTAAAGTCCTTCTATAAATTATCAGACTTTAAGGAAACAAAAGAAATACAAATCTAAAGTTGTCTATAAGTAGTTAATTTAACAGAATAAACCTAGAGACTAAAACAATATTTACTATGATTCCAGAAGCTGAAAAGCCCCAAAAGAAAGTGACAGAACTTCTTGGATATCCAAAATGGTGTATTCTAGAGTCTAACTCAGTCCCTGATCCTCTTTCCATTTCCTACACTTAACTACTTTACTGTTGATGCCATAATTTCTCCCAAATGGCACACAATGTATGACAAAAATTCAGTGCTTTTCACTCTGATAAAGCCTAGTTGGCAGAGATGGCTTAGCACTTTTCAATGTATTGGGTCATCAGGAAGGCTATGTTTAAGCCTAATTATTCACAGCACTGTATCATGTAAATAATTACTGAAGAATACCTTTTGCCAATAAATTGGTTGGTTTACATTCCCCTATTATCCAATCTTTTCTTTTAAATTATGAACAAAAAATTTCAAGGATGAACCTAGCACCAAAAATTCCAATAGGTAAAGAATTTTAACTAGCAGAAGTGAGGTACAGATAAGAATTGTACTCTGGCTATCAAGTGAGTGAGAGAACAAAGAACACATATTTATATTCTGTGCATATATGATTATTTTTATATTCTGTGCTTACACACACAAAAAAGTATATTTGCAGTCTCCCCAAAAAGTATGTTTCCAATTTCCCTAATAAACAGCAAAAGACGCACTAAACACAAACACAAGTCCAAAGCCATGAAACTCAATACCTCAAGTTCTGATTCTTCATGCATTAACCAAGATCCAAAGACCTCTATTTACAATAACTATTCTTAAACCACAGGAGTAAATTATTAATTTACTTTCAGTGCTCTTTCTCAGTATGGAAATATAGCTTTAGTTGACTTCTTAGAAAAAAATCACAAAGAACAGCTGTCCTTCTAAAATGGCAATTATAGTGAAGAGTGCTGATAAAAGGTGACATTAAAGCCCATGCTTCCTAAATTTCCATATTAAATAGTTTTTAATCCTCTTTTAAAATTATCAGATACATTGAGAAGAAATGGAAAATAGCTCTGAATCAACTCATTGTAACACAATAAAACACTCTAGGTCATGGGCAACTAATTATATGATATTAGTAGGATAAATTTGTCGTTTATTAGTGGGAGGACCCACGGTATTACTTTGACAACAACTTTTTATTTAGAGACATTAATAATTCTAGATGATGCAAACTGGAAAGTGGTATCTGATTGTTACACAACTTCAAAATCTCAGTATTCGAGGAGGAAAATCTGACCTACACCAAAGGCCAATCTCATACAGTTGCAGGACTCAGTTTATTTAACTCAATATTTTTTTTTCTGGCAGTCTATTTAACTGTTAAGTAAATTCCCCAGCTTTTCAAATACCCCAAGTACCATAAACCTGGACTCAACTCCACTTGGCCAATAAACATGTGGTTTTTAACACATGGTATTTATTTTCAAGAAAAAAGAAGAATAACAAAAGCTCATAATATGTAATGAAAGAGAAAAGCAAAGAAGAGGCCATCTACTCATTTACCTTGATCATTAGGCATTTTATCAGAGGAGTCCGCTAACAGGCCAAGCACAGGGGAAGAAAAAACAAGAGCAAGGATCAAAAGCTTTGAAGATGGGACAGACAAAGTTTTAAAGGAAAAAAATAAAATTTCCACAAGCTTCCAAACATTCTTGTTTTTACTGCTAACAGAAAAGATATCCATATTTTTGTTATTTCCATTTTTTCAGTCCCCAACTAAATTTTATTAGCCTAAGCTTACTAGTTCCAATACTGTATCGTTTTCTTATCTTAAGGTCACGTTTAGTCTCTTGTTCTCTACAAAGGTACACAAATAAGCCTTTTAAGAACCATTCATCAGAATAACATGTTATATGGGAACCAAAAGAATCACATCTGATTTAACTGGGAAAAACTTTTAAATCACTGAAATTCATCTTTCCCAAATATTCTGGAGCCAAAGTTACCCTGTATATAATACAGTTAGGTCAGTATCCCTGGGGAGAACTGATTTGGTGGTTAGTGGGTGGGTAAGGGATCTTTTGGGATAAATTTCCACACTGTGGCTGATAAGCTCATCATTAGAACTTCTCATATTACTCATAGTCTCTATATGCTGAAGTGTTATGTGTAAGCATAGCCCCAATAAACAGACATACCAAAACCCTCAGATCAAGGAGGTTTACCTTTAGGTGTTCTGAACTGGACAGCTTCAGACATGGGCCCCATGCCCTTTGAATTCCGGGCCTGGATTTTGAAGTAGTACGGTGTGTCAAGTGTTAACTCTTGAATCTGGTGAGTCAGCCTGTTTCCCACAACAGGCTCAATAACCCAATCATGTATCTCTGCATTCACATCTGTACTGTAATATATGATATAACCTGTCCAAAGAAGTTAATGGGGAAAAAGTCTCATTTCTATTTTTCTTTTCATAATCAGGAAATAAAAAAGTCTATTACATCATTGCAAATTATACTATACTATCTGAATAGTTCACCCTCCTCAAGTGCCTAACAATAAAAATAATGTAGTTTTGCAAACAATGATGGCTTGACATGCTATTTTGTCTCACATCAAAGTGATCTTCTAGTAGAAAAACTCCAGGCAGATGGGCAGCAACCTCTTCTTAATTCCTCCCAGAATTTTGACTGAATGAAGCCAAAATGAACTGTCACTGGATACTTCCACCAGGGGGCATGCAATCCCCATGGATAAGGCAGAAAGCCTCACAAACACACATTCCCACACAGTACAAAAATGCAAGGTGGTGGTACAGGTTTTATAAGACAAAGTAAAATGTAATTCAGGTCAAGTTATGCTTAATTTTTTCTTCTGTACTGGGGATTAAACCCAGGGGTGCTTAACCACTGAGCCACGTCCCTAACCCTTTTTTATGTTTTGAGACAGGGTTTTGCTATGACTTAGGGCCTTGCTAAGTTGTGGAGGCTGGCTTTGAACTTGAGATCCTCCTGCCTCAGCCTCCTGAGTGGTGGGACTACAGGCATGTTTTATAGAAAAGGCAAAGTCAAAACCTAAAAAAGGAATGATGTGAAGATCAGGATTTATGGGAAGATATCCTCCTGAAAGTTAAAAGGGGTCAGTGTTAAGAAATGCTTTCTATTTCCTTAAGTGATCTTACTCATACTTCAGAAGGCAAACTCTGGTTCCTCAGCATACATTCACATAGATTAGAGTTTCCAAAGGGAAGGATCAGCAGCCCAATCCCATCAGGCTTCGCCCCTTGAAAAAGCTAGAAAGGTCATAATGTCCTCTCTACTGTAGAAGGTTTCCCTCTGGAAGTCCAAAGAATTATTCCAGGTCCCTTTAAAGGCCTATGGTAATTCAAGCTTTTAACTCTAATTGTATGAGCATGGAAACCTGAAAGAGCAGGCTTGGGGGAAAAAATAATTTAAAGCCTAATGGGGCTGGTGGTGTATACTTGTAATTCCAGGAATGTGGGAGGCTGAGACAGGAAGATTGCAAATTCAAGGCCAGTCTTACTGGCAATTTCATGAGACCCTGGGTCAAAAAATTAAAAAGGCTAGGGATGTAATTCAGTGGTAGAGCCCCTAGCATTCAATCCCCAGAACTGGGGTGGGCAGAGAAGCCTAATAGGCTTTTATGGATTTCCAGGTAAAAAGAAAAGCATCTAAATTTATTGAATATTACTCGATGGTATTAGGTAGGAGTATACAACATCAAAGGTGGTCATCCAGGTAGTGAAGAGCTTTCTCAAGGAAAATAAATACATCCATAAAGTAATGGTATGCCCAAAGGCTGTCTGCTGCACACACCCCATCAGACTTGCAGGCAGTGTGAGGCAGAACTACCAGTTGGCAACTCATTTCTGTGCCACTGGGGGAAAACAGCAAACCCTTTCTCTAGTTTCAAGGCCCATCATGACTCACATCACACAAGCCAGACTTCATATTCCCATTTCTCTTGAAAACATAGTACTTGCCTAGAAAAGGGCATAGACGAACACACTGTAAGGCAATCTTACCTGTAATTTTGCCATTGGCTTCTGAAGGAGGCTGCCAGTTCACAATTATGGTCCTAGGTTTTCCCTCTTTACTCACAACTGTTACATCTTTAGGTGGAGAAGTAGGAACTACAAAATAACAATATCACAATAATTCCTATGCATTTCAATATAATTCACATTTTTCCTTTATAAAGCACAATAAAGGTATAAGACAAAAAAGATAAAGTCTGAGGGCTTCAGAGAATTCACTGTGAAATAGTTCCATTAAAAAGAATATGCAGAGGGCCGGGGTTGTGGCTCAGTGGTAGAGTGCTTGCCTAGCATGCATGAGGCACTGGGTTCGATTCCTGACCTCACATAAAAATAACAACAAATAAAATAAAGGTTAAAAAGAAAAAGGATATGCAAGGACTGGGGTTGTAGCTCAATGGTAGACTGCTTGCCTGGCATGTGTGAGGCACTGGGTTTGAGTCTCAGCACCACATATAAATAAATAAAAATAAAGTTCCATCAACAACTAAAAGAAATACATTAAAAAAAAAGAATATGCAGGGGACTGGGGATGTAGCTCAGTGATAGAGAGGTTGCCTAGTATGTATGAGGCACTGGGTTGAATTCTCAGCACCATATATAAATAAAATAAAGGTCCACTGACAACTACACACACACACACACACACACACACATGAGAATATGCAAAGTACCAAAGAGAAACACTACACTGTGAGGATATACAACTGGTATCTTGGCTGGGGTCAGGGATATATAAGATAATTAGAGAAAGCAAATGATGTTTGTACCAAGTACCCATTATGTACCAGGTATTGTATAAACAGTATACGACTTAATATTTACAACAACCTTGACAGGTGGCTCTATTTCTATTTTAAAGGTCAGGACACCAAATGAGAGAAGCTGTATAATTTACTCAAGATAACTTTCTTCCCCTAGGTTTGTATTACTTTTGTTAGAATATTTTTAAGTGTAAGATAATTTTCTCTCTCACAAATGACTTTTAGAGCTATATTTCCTCAAGAATAAATGATTTAATAACTGACATTTTTCATTTAAAAGCATACTGCCAATTATTGAGATTACAGCTCTAATGAAAAGATTTTTATGCAAAAGAAAAACTAACAAAATAAAAACTGTGTCTCTTATGCTTCCATGTGAAAGCTGAAAATTCAATGAACTAGTAGGAAAATGAAAAAATTAAATACATCTGAAATTTATTCTTCTCTTCTTCAAATACAGGAATTCTAGTACAAGATGGAAGGAAGTCCATGAAATGCAAATATTCTAAGGGAAAATACAAATTTCATTTATTAGCTAATGAGTTGAAATTAAACTAAAATGAAATTCTTAAAACATTAATGAAGAAAACAAATTGAAGGCCTACTTAAACTTGTATGTACTACATTTCCAGGTCTCCAAATCCAACTCCTTTTTCTGTAGAAACAATGCAAAAGGGCGAAACCCAGTTTGTAGAAAAATTATAATGCCAGTTTTTTGTTTTTTTTTTTTTTAATTCTTATATAGGACAGAAAGACATTCCATGCTAGGAATGCCCAAAGGGAAGTAGAAAGGTAGGCCTAAAAGAAGAAAAAAGCAAACAGAATCTCAAACCTGGACAATCTGCTCTCTCCTTAATTTGCTTAGTTATCTCTTCTCTGTCATGTGGACTTACAAACAAAAACCCAAAGGATATTTCAGTGAAAACATTTTACAAAGACACTAATTGTTCAAGAAAGCTTTGGGTCATCCAGTGAAGTGTTTGGGTTCTAACAAGCATGGCTTTGCAACTTGTTTGGTCAAAGACATGTCACTTTATTTTTTCAACTTTAATTTACCAGTAAAGCAGCATTAATGACAATAAGCTTTTGTATCTACCCCAGGCTTTATGATTCACTACGTGCTTTCCCATCTGTTCCTCATTTTACCCTACAATTACCCTATAAAGTAGGAAAGGCAGAATAATTCCTCATTTGGAATGGAAGAAACTGAGATTCAGAGAGATGGGATGACTTGCTCATGATCACACAGTCAGCAGATGGTTGACCTGGGATGGGATGCAAGTCTTAATTCCTAAAATCTAGCAAATTTTGCATTATATTATCTTGCTTTTGGCTAGTATTCTTGCAGTGACAAAAAAAAAAAAATCATCTGTTGAAATAGCAAATCCTATTCCAAAGGTAGTTGGCTGGTCACTGTGTTCTGTAAATATATCATTTCATATACTTAGTTCTTTCCTTGGGGAATAAAAGCAGGTGATGAAAAGTATCATGAATTGGAATGTGGCACAACATGAACTTCCATTAGCTTCTATATTTTGCAAGGAGAAGAACTGCCATGTGATGGGGGTCCTGACAACACATACCTAATTCAAAGGTGGTCCCATGTGCTGTCATACTCCATGTGCTTGATCTTCGACCTTTGGTCACCATCACAGAGAATTCATAGAGTGTATTTGGTTTTAAACCAGTCACCAAGTAACTTAAAGTCGTTGCATTTGCATTCTGGAAAATATGAATTAGGAACTTAAAAATTAGAAATATCAATTATTATCTTTTTTCACCCAGAGCAAATATGTCAGTACCTTGTACTTGGTGTTTGCAGGGATGTTGGTTTTCCATCGAACTGTGTAGTACCGGGAGTCTGTAATCTTCTGATGTTTGGGCAGTGAGTTGTCCGCCCATGTAATCCTTATGGTGTCATGACTCAGAATGGAAGCCTGAACTCCCACTGGTGGCATCATGGGAGTGGGATCTGGCACTGGAGTGTATGGAGCATTAATAACAAATAAATCAACTTCAGAAGTGTCTGGGTAAAAAGTAATTAAAAAAGGGAAGTGGCATTTTAACATAAACAAAAATAAAAGAGAAGGGAAATGCAGGGGAGTTTAATGGAATGAAAGATGAGAAATGGAAAAAAAGAAAGAAAATCCAGAGTTAATAGATAACCATTATTCATTCAAAAGAATATTTTCACTTGTGTTTTTAATTTTTTAAAAAAAATTTTGTAATATTGGGGACTGAATCCAGGGGTTCTCGATCATGGAGATACACCTCCAGCCCTTTTAATTTTATTTTAAGACAGAGTCTTGCTAAGTTGCTGAGGCTGGTCTCTAACTTTCCATTCTCCTTCCTCAGCCTTCTGAGTAACGGAGATTGCAGGCATGCACCACCACACTGGGTTCCCCTGTATTCTTTCAAGAAAAATTTGTAGAAAAATGTTGAGAGAAGCAGTAATTAGCCATGTTCACTACTGCATTCTATAGGCATATTAAAATGTGATTATATTAACATTCTTAAATTTTCTTAAGATTACTTGAAAATTGTACCTCCTGTTCAAAAAAGAACATGAAAAGACAAAAATTGGTTTTAAAATCAAGGATATAATTTCTGAACAAGCAGCACACAGCTCATGGTATGTTTTGAGATTTCAATAAATATGGCTGAATTTGAGGACATGAGTTATCAGTGCTAATCACTCCATATGTAAAGGTCCTACTCTCAAATCTTAGTCCTGAATGTCAGTCAGCCAATGGGTCAGTTTCAGACCTGCTGATATCTTGAGTCTAGAGGCTATATGGCAATAATGGCTCACAGCTGAATAAAGCAAAATGAACTTGTGGCCATTCCTCTTCCCTGAGGAAAGGTAAGCCAGACTATTGCCTACACATTCTACAGCAAAGCCAGAGAACAATTCGGTGATGAAGCTCCATCAGTTAAAGGAAATGTTATGGTTATTATGGGTTCAAGTTACACAGCTTTCATGAACTTTAGAAATTAGAATATTCTGAAGAAAAGTAAAGTCTATTCTCATGTGCTGTGTCGATGTAATGCACATATTCTCTGTTGCTGCAAACCAGGCCAGAATGAGCAGAAAAGCATCAAGGACCATGAGAGAGGGCAATACAACAAGCTCCCTTTGGGCTTTCTCAACTTTTTGTTAGGTTTGTCAAGTATATACATACTATTTTAAGTTCAGATTTTAAAATGGGTTTCCCATATAGTTATGGTGTCTAGTCCTTCCTATAACCCAAAATCTGAAACAACACAGGGCTTATGAATAATTGTCATATTAAAGTAATAGTCTCCATGTGTGTATTTCCTGTACAATGAAGACTAAAAATAACAGAGGAGCAGCAGACATTATAGTAAAGGGCTTCGTTCAAAGACTGTCAGGACACATAATAATTTATTACAGAAAATGCACTTTCAGGTACAGAAATCATTAGAATTCTTAGAGAAATTTTCTTCTTATATGTATTAACTCTTGAAAAAGGTCAGTGGGTTCAATGATTTAGGAACATTTCCTTGTATGTTTCTAGCCAGCAGACTTTTTTTAAGCCACATAAAAGAAAATAATTTCATTTAAGAAAGAAGACTACTTATTTAAATATTCTCTTTTGTCCTTATTTTTTTCTTTTCTTGAATACTAAAACTATTTGTAGAAGAACTTGTAGGCACAAAGTAGAAGACAGGACAGTGCTACCAAACAAGTAGTAATAATGTTGGTCTGAAGCAGAAGCTTGGAAAAAAAAAAACAAACAGGAGTGGGGGTTATAGAGATGATCTTTTAAAAGAATATTGCCAAGTCTGTGTTATTATGCAGAGCATCTGAAAGACACAGCAGACAATACTGAGTCAAACATGTGGGCAACAAATGGAAAAAAGCATTTCTAGAAAGAAATTCTTTTGTTTTCAATACTTTTTAAAAAATGAATGATTCTAATATATTTACTTCAATAAACTTTCTCATTCAGAATCTAAATTAGATGTTTTATATAGCTATAGTAAGTACATTATTTATAAATGGGTAATTCAAATTAAAACAATGAATATTTGATTCCTTATAATTAATGTATAACTGATCAAATGGATAGTGCCTCTGACTTTATACCTTTTACATAAATATTAAACATATGAAAGGTCCATAAAAATATTTTCCCAATGAACTAGGATAACTAGTAAAGCAAATGTTGGCTTCACCAATCACATACATTTACTGCAACTATTAGTAATCTATATAACTCCCTTAGAGATATAGAGGTCCTTTCGTTTTTTTTTTTTTTTATTCATTTTAGCTATAACCAACATGCCTGAAAAATGAAAATTCACTTTTAATTCTCTCAAAACTAGGCCTGTGATTTATAGATTCTGACACATTAAAGATGTGCACATATCTACAAAGAATGACTCACACAACAAATTTAATATTTTCCAACAAAGAAAACAAGAATCAATAGAACTTTCTATGTTAAAAGCTTACCTTCCCATTTGAAGTCTGCACCTAAGCTGCCATGTTCCTTCCACAAATACCTATCAGTAGGCTTCATGCCAATGTTCTACAAAAGCTACTGGTAAAAAGTGCTGACAAACAGAGACAGAGAGGATATCCTACCTGTGTGAGGCCTGGTCACAGCACTTTCATACAAGGGGATGCCTTCACCCACGTTGTTAAACGCTTTCAGGGTAATCACATAGTGAGAGCTTGGATCTGAGAGATTCAAACAAACAAGCCAAAATCAGTTTTAAAAATCCCCACTAATGAATTTAAAAAATTCAAAGATGATTATTAAAAGATGATTATTCAAAGATGATTAACTGTGGAGGAATTAAAGACTAAAATTTTTTATAGGGGATTATTTTGGGATGTTAGAGATATACAGATGGAAGCATACATAGTACATTGAAACTAGCCAAGTCAACTTCTTGGATTTAATTCCAAAAGTAAAATCTGTACTTGAATCCTCTTGGCCTCTTATATGTTTTAGTAATATTCATTGTATGGTGGAGGGCTTAAATGAGAATGAGAAAATAGGATTTTCATGTGTTGGAAGCATATAGGTGGAGCTTAAAATCAACCTCTTTCCCTTCCCTGAAGGACACTGAATGGAACAGTAAAGGTAGAGAAGCAGGAGATAAACTTCTGAATGTCCTCAACACTCTAGGGGACTTCCAAATCCAGAAAGGTCAAAACCTTATGTAGTCATCATGCAGACTTCTAGGTTGGACAAAATATGGCTCAGGGTTTTGTGTGCTGGGAAGTGATTTTGCATGAAACACTCTCTCTAGAGGATCATGCAAAATACTACTAATAAGACTTAGAAAAGAGGGGGCATTAAATAGGTGGAATGGCATTCACTCTTACTGGTTAGAAATCAGGGAGATTCTAATTCATCACATTCCTGATCCAGGCAAGGTTTAGTATGGTTATTTCAAAAGCCCACTTTCAAAAATGAAGAACTGGATTCCATTGAAGTGTTTCAGACAGAGAAACTGACTTATTCCACTCACTTCTGGCAGAGTTTGGCAATGTTCTAAAGTGACCATACCTCACATGGCCTGTGTTATTCCAAAAGCTTAAAATAGCTAATTTGTTTTGGGACTCACCCACCTACTCTCCAGATAATGGGCAATATGTGGAGGAATCAAAGACTAAAATTTACATGTCACACAGAAATGACAACAAATGGAATCAATAAGACTCGTTACTTGACTGGCAAGGAAAAAGTGGTTTGGACAACACAGTAAACAGGGAGGGATGTCATTCGCTGAGACTGGGACAGGGGCAAAGCAAACATGATACACAATTCCAAGGCTTAATCTACATCTACTTTCCACTTTCTATGTATTTTCATTTGTTTCATTAGTTTTGATTAGCTTGTGCCAATTAACTGTTTTTTTAAATTTTTATTGTTGGTTGTTCAAAACATTACATAGTTCTTGACATATCATATTTCACACTTTGATTCAAGTGGGTTATGAACTCCCATTTTTACCCCGTATACAGATTGCAGAATCACATCGGTTACACATCCACTGATTTACATATCGCCATACTAGTGTCTGTTGTATTCTGCTGCCTTTCCTAATTAACTGTTTTGATTAACTGCAAATAAATATCTCTAGTCGCGACCTTTGTGATTATCAGACCTCTATCTTTGACTGTTTGGCATCTCCTCTTAGATGTCTCAAGTCTTACTCTCTTCCTTCTTCCCTTTCTCTCCTCACCTGACTTGCTTCAGTGTTCCCTAGTTAAGCAAATGGCAATGCTACCAACCCTGAAATTCAAGTCAGAAATCTGGCAGTCATTAACACCTTCCCCTCTCTCAGCAAATAATCATGTCTTGTTGATTCTACCTCTCTCTCACTCTTCTTCCCTCTTTCTCAGTGCTCCATCTTTCCTGGTCACCTTTTCATTCTGAGAGCTCTCTTCCACCACTGTTTCAATGCTGGATGGATCCCATCTCATCCTTTCTCTATATCCAGAAAAGCCTATTCATATAGTGGTTAGTTTCTCTAGCTACATAGCTTGCAACACTCCATTTCTCTTCCTCATTATTATGAACACTTTTAGTTTTTTTAATCATTTTATTTCTAAACTATAACCACGTCTGCCTGGTTCTTGGCTCTATTTCTAGCCAGTGTCTGGAATAGTTGGTGCTCATTAAAAATTTGCTGATTGATTGACAGGTTTTGGGGAAAAGATACTAAACGTAAATTTTGGCTAGGTGCAGGTATGGATGTGGAGCTCACGGGAGGGTTCTAGTCTGATAGAAGAAGATGTAAACCTCTTTACTTATGACTTGCTCCTCTTATTCAACATTATATTCATCTTATATCTAACAAAAGTAGTTCAAACTTATTTTACTTTATGCCAAGTTAATTTTGTTTTTGGTACTTCTCTATATATTCTCTTTTCAATTGGAGTCTACTTGTTTACTTCATTTCCTATCTTTGTTTTAAACACCACCCTGGATCAATCTTTCAAGCCCTGCTCTATTGTGCCTTGCTAGCTCTCCCTTCCCTCAACATGTTTCAATTTAAACTCATAATTTCTTTTGTTTACTTCTGTTCTCTTTTTAGACTGAAAGCACATGAAGGTCTAGGACCATGTCCTGTGAGTGCATTGCAAAGGATTTTCATTTTAGCAGTTTTATAAAGGAAATAGTAGGAGACTGGTCATCAAAAGGGATATTTTTTATTGTTGTTGCACAGCAAAGCTTTTGTGGGGGGGGGCTTTTTTTTTTTTAGTAGATTAAGTTGCTGCTTATTTTCTAATAGAAACGATGAAGGTAAGTAGTTATCATCCATTTGAAGTTGTTCTTAGGAAACATGTTTACAAAGCAATGATTTGAAAAAAAATTTCATCAGGGAAGATTCTGAGTTAAAAGACAAGTCTTTCAAAAGAAGATAATGATAATCCAATTTGGAAAATTATACTTAGCTAGTTCAATTCAATTTTATTATGAAATATTAATATTTCTGAAATTCTCTTGCTTTAAAATCAACCATGAGGTCTGAGTAACAATAAAATATATACCAATTTCACTGTACATTAAGTTTTGATAAATTTACATACCTGTGAAATCACTCCAAGTAGTTGTGTCCTTGTAGTTAACTGCTACCCCTCCCAGTTTCACAAAATCACTGATATTGCTTGGTAGCAATATCAGTTTTGCTTATTTTGTAATTTCATAAAAATGTAATAACACAGGATGTACTGTCTTCAGTTTGACCTTTTGCTCAGCATAATCTTTGTAAGGCTAATTTTTTCCATATTTTTTATTGGCATATTAGAGTTATGAGACTCATTTCTGTTGTTCATGTGTATTGACAATTTCTTTTAGTTACTGAGTAGTATTCCATCACTTGTATATAGTGCAATTTATCATTTACTAATTGGTAGAAATTTGTATCATTTCCCCTTTTGAGCTATTATAAGTAAAGCTACCATAAACAGTTTTGTTTGCTTTTATATAGACAGGAGTTTTTATTTCTTAAATGAAATATCTATAACTAAGATTGCTAGTTTGTATACTTAAATTCATTAGAGAACTCCAACTATTTTATGAAGTGGTTATACTATCAGACATCTCTAATAGCAAGCATGGAAGCAAGCTCTGCATCCCTGCTGATATTTGGTGTTGTTGGTCAACTTTAGTGAATGTGTAGTGATACTGCATCATGGTGTATTTCTTTGATGATTAATGATGCTGAGCATCTTTTCATGTACTTACTGTCCACTGGCATAGTACCAGTCCAAATCTTCTATCCACTTTTTTTTTTTAATTGGGTTTTCTTACGGAGTTCTAAGAATTTTTATATATTGTAAACTCAAATTCTTTGTCAGATATTTGAATGGCAGGTATTTTCTCCAAGTCTGTGGCTCATCTTTTCATTTTATCTTTCCAAAAGTAGAAGTTTAAAATTTTGATGAAGTCTATTTTATTAATTTTTGATATCATTTACTTTTAAAAAATTATTTACTTTTATTAATTTTTTTTTTTTACTTTTAGTAAATTAAATTTTTAGACTTGTATTTACTTTTTTGCATCATAAGAGGTCCTTGACCACCCCAAGATCATTAAAGTTTTTTCCTATGTTTTCAGCTAGAAGGTTTATAGTTTTAACTGTTATGTTTAGGTCTGTTTTTGTGATTGGTATAAGACAAAGGTCAAAGTTCCTTTTCCTTCTTGTACTGATATCCAATTATTCCACACCTTTTGTTAAAAAGACTATCCTTTTCTTGGGGCTGGGGTTGTAGCTCAGTGGTAGACGGCTTGCCTAGCATGTGTGAGGCCCTGGGTTTGATCTCAGCACCACATAAAGATAAATAAATAAAACAAAAGTATATTTAAAAAGATTAAACAAACAAAAAAGACTATCCTTTTCTCACTGAACATCTCAGTACCTTTGTCAAAAATCATCTGACCACATACATAGGGATCCATTTCAGGACTCTACACTGTTCCACTGATCTATAGTATTTATCTTTACACTAATACCACACTGTCCCCATTACTGTGACTCAAAAAATCATCATGAAATCATCAAGTAGTATGATTCCTCTTTTTGTTTTTTCCAAAAAATTTTAGCTATTCTTGTTTCTTTGCTTTTTCATGTAAGTTTCTGAATCAACTTATCAATTTCCATAAAAAAGCATACTGGAAGTTTCCTTAGGATTGCACTGGAAAGAAATCCATCTTAGTAATACTATCTTTTCATCAATGAACATCTTCATTGGCATTTTAATTTCTCCCAGCAACGTCTAATTTTCAGTATAGAAATCATTCACATATTTTGTAAATTTATTCCTGTTTCATATTTTTATGCTATGTAAAGGTATGATTATCTAAATTCCAATTTCTAATTGTTTATTAATGGTATATGGGAATATAACTATATTTATATGTTGACTTTGTATCTTGTGACCTTGATTAGTTTACTTATAATCTTAGTAGACTTTTTGTATATTCTTAAGGATTTTCTACTTTAGTGAGTATGTAGAATGCTCAGATATTTGTTTCTAAATATTATTTTTCCATAAAAGAAAAAAGTGATCCTTGGAGAAATGGCTGATTCTGGGGCTGAGGCTGGGAAAATATCAGATGAGTTTGGAGCATGTTTCTGTGTCAAAAAGAAAGTGCTTAGGGGCTGGGGTCGTGGCTAAATGGTAGAGCGCTCGCCCAGCATGCATAAGGCACTGGGTTCAATCCTCAGCACCATATAAATGTAAAATAAAGATATTGTGTCCACCTAAAACTTAAAAATAAATATTTTTTTAAAAAAGAAAGTGCTTAAAGAAAGAAGGGAGGTGTGAAATGGACATTGGAACCATTGGCTCTTCATTCTCCATGGAGGCAAAAGAAAGATCTTCCTTGTTATAAACTAAGGAACAAACACGGAAGAACTATGGAATCAGAAAATCACCACTATAGAAACACCAGAGTAATAATTGGTACTACAGTGCAACAGATGCGGTCACGGACCAGAAAATGATATTTTTCTTTTGTTGTAAGGGGCATAGTGAGAAAAGTTCCAAATGTGAATAAAGTCTCTAGACTTTGTCTCAATGTTAATTTTCTGATTTTGATAACTGGGTTTATGTTAGAATAATGTCATTTTTAGGAGCTGCATGTCAAAACTATTAATGGGAGAGTTTTCAGGTTTGCAACTTACTTTCAAATGGTTCAGGGGAAAAATATGTATACACAGGAAGACAGAAGGATAAAGCAAAGGTGGCTAAATGTTAAACACTGGTGAATCTGTGTGAAGCATATATAGGAATTCTTTGTACTGTTTTGTAATTTTTCTATAAAACTAAAATTATTATGCAATAAAAAGTTAAATAGAACGACACAATGTGCACAATTATGTCCTTTACTCAGCAAACATACCCAGATTTTCAATGGTGTAATAGCGCTGTTTATAGTCCACTTTGATAGTCTGGGCATGAGGGCTGCCAATGCCATAACCAATGGCATAACCTCTGACCACAATGTTCTGATTCTCTGGAGGAGTCCAGCTTACTACAATGCTCGTGACAAGCGGGCGGACATGAAGAGAGCTAGGCACTTCAGGAACACGAGTTTCTGGGAAGGAAAGTAGAAAAACAAGATGAGATCCACTTTACTGTAGAATATTTTACCATCTTTGGGGAATGGTGTTCAGCCTCCTGCCAAACTATTTGGGGATAAGTGTTCCCCTATTTGGGGTCAAGAGTTCAAAGAGAACCTGCAACGTATAGTGAAATGTGGCTTATGGTTTTAAATGCATCCAAAACAAAACCTTAATAGCCCTAAATACAAGATACTGGAATATTATATGGAAGGAAGACAAAGATTCAGAACGTCTTCCTGGTAGAGAAAAATAAGTTGCCTTTCAATATTTTCCCATCCTTTGCTCTACATCCCACTGCCAAACTTTACCAAGTATAAAGAGAAAGAAAACATCAAGCAATTAAAAGCCTGCTGTGATTAGGTGATTAAGCAACCCATAATGGCAATGGTACCAATTATTTACTTTCCTAAATAATCTATAGGTCAGAAAAAATGGAATTTGAGATTCGAAATTGACTCAGTTGCTAGGAGACTTACAGGATTTTAAAGAGTAGCAATTCATAATATCTTTCACATGTATTACTTCAAGGCATAAATTACCACCTTAACTTAAAAACTAGTAAATTGAGTTTTGGAAAGAAAATGAAGGTCTTTTGTCTCCCAAGTTTGACACCTGCCATAACTACACACAGCCACATGAAGTAATTTATTGAATAAACAGGTAAGAAAAAGGACAAGTTGTCCAGAACTAGGAAAATGGGAAACCATAATTCAGATAAAGGCACAATTGATGTGGCTCAGCCTTAAATTTTAGATTATTCATCTACTATTTAATGGCAGTGGTAAAAAACAAACAAACAAACAAACACACCCAGATAAAGCATCTGTATGCTTTTATTTGCTCTCTTCTGCTGGAGGAGTCCAGCTTACTACGATGATGCTCGATGCTCGATGCTCCTGACTAGCAGGCGGACATGAAGAGAGCTTAAAGGAATAGTTCTCTAAAAGCTACTAGGGCAGGGGGTGGGGGGTGGGGTGGGTAGGGAATCAATTCCAGGAATCTTGCTGCTTTATAGGAATGACAATAGTATAATACATTCAAGTTCAGAGATTTAAGTCAAAGTGGCTTTCCAATCTGACTCACTGACTACATTTCATACCTAGCAAGTGTTGGTACTGACAATTATTTGATCTTACCATCTAAGTCACTTTCAAATGTTTCAGCAGACAGCCAGTCAGTTGCCGGGCCTGTACCATTGACTGTTAAAGCAGCTACTCGGAAATTGTATTCAGTCCCCCGATCAAGACCTGAGACCCAAACGACAAAAAATAAACAAACAACAAAGAGGCTGAAACAAGAGCCTTGGAAAACAAAAGATCAATAATCTTTCAGTAAAGCAAATATCTCACCCATTAACTCAGTTCATAGCTTGATAAAGTTTAACACAGAACAGTAGTGCACATCTTCACAGTAAAGGCTGAATGAAGCTTGCACACCCATGAGAAAAAAACAAAAATGACTAAAGATCCTAGTAGATAAGAGATTTTTGTTTAGGATCTTGAAGGTACCTTAGAGATCATTAACTGGAATCCCTTAATTTTCTTAGAAAGAAATGTAAGGCCAAAGATAATCAGAGTTATTACAAAGAAACAAAGTCAGCTGGTTCAGAAGATAACGAAAACCCAGAAAAGAATGTTAAGATATAACTCCTATCAGGTTACCTCTGGTCTTGTAACACTCCTATAACCTTAGCAGAAAAATTTTAAACATCAAATATGGCCTAGAAATCTGTTTCTCAACAAATAACTGTCCATATGTATTTTTATTAGGCAAAAGAAGGAAAAAAACTTTCTATTATAGAACTACCAGTTAATAAAGTATAAGATTTACTAATGCACTAAATACAACAAAGATCCATATATAAACATCTACTCTTCAAAACAGGCCAACAGTTAATAATATAATTTTTCATACATTTATGCATACATTTTTAGAGGACTTAAATTCGATATTGTGATAGGCCTTATAAAGACATAAAAATTACTGTGCTTCTCCATATTCAAATATTGGGATCTTTGGAAAACATCACAGTTCAGAAATTTCAAAGACACACTGAGAATGTAACTTGGCCTAGATGCAAGATATGCCCTGGCTCAGTTAACCAATCTTGGCACACGGTTTGGAAGGAGAGACAGAAGGTTTTATCCATTTTGAATCTGTTTGCCCACAAGACAGCAGAGACAGAAAGAGGAATAAAATGGCTAGGTCCAAGTCAATTTTCTTCCCTGCCTTTATCTCTGTACACAATGAACCAGAAAGTGCTAGAGCTGGCTACACATGAGATAACAGCCTGGATTACTAGCAGACATGGCTCAGTTAAGATCCTGAAAGAACTGAAGTAGTCATATTATTATTTTCTGCCTTTTTGAGAATTAGAATACATGAGAGATAGCATGAGAGAGAAAGGTATATGTAAAGAGGACAAGATGGGTTAGGATTATGTCTCAGTGGTAGAGCACTTGCCTAGTATGTATGAGGCCTGGGGTCCGATCCTCATCACCACATAAAAATAAATAAACAAATGAATGAATGAATGAATGTATCCACCAGAGCTCTTCACCAGAAAGGACCTAGGAGGACCTGAGGACCTGGATGGTGCTGATGCCTTTCTGACTGACCAAGAGGATGAGGAGCTGAAATCCCCAAGAATGAAGAGCACAGGGGACAGAAGAGAAGCTAAAGTGGACTTGAAGCGGGTCCATAAGCGTAGAAAGGTGAGCTGTTACCTCTGGCTGCACTGCCAGTTTGTGCCAGAAGCAGCTTTCTCTAGTTGTGGTTTTGGTTTGTTTGAAATCTCAAGCTAATAATGTGTAAGTAAAGTGGGAGCCAGAGCCACTCTGGGGGGCAGGAGGGAGGGCAGCTGGCCCTCAGCCTGGATCTCTGGAGGTTCTGCCCATGTGCTGCAGCACAGAAACCTGGCAGAAGGGGCTCAGCTTTTACGTGCCCCTTCTTCTGCTATGAGGCAAGAGCCACAAGGGTGGAACTGCATGTGCTGCCCTTTCCCCGGCTCCATGCAGTGCTGCCTGACCATCAGTATAGGGCAACCAAGGCAGAAAGGCTGGCTGCTCAGGCTAGTGGGGGCCAGGGTGGTACGGAGCCTCCCTGGGGATCAGAAGCATCCATAACCAAATGCTCTGCTGTACCATAGAAGCACCTGCACTCACTGACCAAGAAGCTCAAGAACCATCACCACAAGCCCAAGAGCTTTGGCTCCTTCAAGCAGTCGGGTTAATAAAGGTTGTGGGGACAGCTTTTGGTTCCTTGGAACTCTTAAAAAAAAAAAAAAAAAAAAAAAGGCCAAGAGTTCCTCTACCCCTAAGTAAAACATAATCATAAAACTTATTACTTAGGGGGCTGGGGTTGTGTTTCAGTGGTAGAGCGCTCGCCTAGCATGGGCGAAGCCTTGAGTTCAGTCTTCAGCACCACATAAAATAAATAAGTAAAATAAAGGTATTGGGTCCAACTGCAACTAAAATATTTTAAAAAAAAATCTTAGTACACAGGATCTTGGTAATCCATATTGTTCCTTAGTACTTCAAGCTTTAAGTTACATTTCAAGATCCCTGTTTTTGTTCACCATTATATATCCAGTACCAGATCATGAAGATTAAATGTTGTTCATCTTGTGAATATTTGGACCATGCTTAAAAAGAACAGCTGTTTTTATTCGATAGGGAATTTTAGAGATGCTTAATATGGTTGTAGATTTGAGTATGGTCTGAGCAGATTCCACCCTACCCTCTCCTTCATTAGTTTAGTAATGCCTAGATTCTGTCCTCCTCAACTACATGTGGCTCAGACAGAGTCACCTTCTTTTTTCTCAAGATCCTCCTACAGAGAAACCTTACTTAGGCAAACTATACTAAAGAAACTACCCATGATAGAATTTTCTAAAAATTCTATGGTAGTGGGGCTGGGGATGTGGCTCAAGCGGTAGCGCGCTCACCGGGCATGCATGCAGCCCGGGTTCAATCCTCAGCACCACATACAAACAAAGATGTTGTGTCCACCGAAAACTAAAAAATAAATATTAAAAAAATTCTCTCTCTCTCCTCTCTTAAAAAAAAAACTTTAAAAAAAATTCTATGGTAGCAAATATGATTATTGCATTGCTGCAGCTATTCATGAACATTCTTGCAGACCACTAAAACATAAATGCTGTCAATGTTATTATAAAAATTGTTTTGTAAACCTCTGTTACAACTAGATTAAGTGGAATAATTTCTATTCTTATATATATTCTGTTTTACTTTTTCAGATTACAAAATAGCAACATATGCACTCAAAAAAGAAATGTGGAAAATACAAGGAAAAAAACAAAAATCAAACATAATTTTACCATTAAGAAATGGTGGAATCTATAAGGTGTTTTCATTAAATTATATCAAGTCTATTTTCTATTAAATTAAATCAAGTGACTATTAAAATTTGGGGGAACCATTTTTTATTTATGTAAGCCAACAGCTCAGAGCACTTCTTAGACTAATATAATTCAATGTCTGAAAATGACATTACTTCTTAGCTTTTGTCTATATGCAAAACAGCTTACCTTCGATCAGCTGAGACAGTTGTGTCCCAGTAACCAAAGTCTCAGTGACATCACTTTTTCGGGAGGCCTTTCGGTAGCGAATCTTGTAGCCAGTAATCTGCCCATTCTGTGTGGCTGGAGAAGGTGGCTGCCAGTGAATCACAATACTCTGGGAAAGACAAGATTATATAGGGAAAAGACTGAACATATTGAAAGGTTGGTCCTAACTGTTTTATTATTAACCACTCAAAAATACTTCTTATTTTAAAACTTCCAGTGGCAAAATGGGGAGAATATAATTTCAAGTAGTGCACTCTGGACCAGTGATCTCTGGGCATTTTGTCAGAATGAATATGTTGGTCAAAAATTCCAGAAAAAATTTCAGAGGGAAAGTATAAGAGGTCAGAAGCACATTGATTAGGAAGTAAACTGTTGTTAGATATAATTTTTTTTTTTTTTGTACTAGAAATTGAAACCAGAGGCACTTAATTACTGGACCACATCCTCAGCCCCTTTTTATTTTGGGAAAGGCTTTTGCTAAGTTGCTTAGGCCCTTACTAAGTTGCTGAGGCTAGCTTTAAACTAGCATCCTCCTGTCTCAGTCTCCCAAGCTGCTGGAATTACAGGCATGCACCACCACCCCTGGCTGTATAAGATTTTTTTTTTCTGTCTCCATTGCAAAATTGCTGAAGTTAAACAATTTCTATCTAAAACTCTTCAAAAAGGGGCTAGCTGATTGTTTCTTCAAGAAGAAAAGAGTTCTATGGTACTTAAGAAAGGACCATTTCATTTGTCTATGGATCCTAGAAGGGGCTGTGGGCCTCTGAGAGGCATGCATAGCTTTACATGTAGTGAACTGACCAGGGACAGTATGGACAGACACAATCAAACCTATGTGTCTGCCTGTAGTTCACACTGGGCTTGTCTCACAGGACTACAGAACCATGTCATCATAAACAATTTATTTCCTTCTGCTGCATTACTAAGGCTTTAGTTGGTTAATATTGAAAATGTTAAGCTTACATAAAAATAGCAATTTATTTGCAGGAAGGCTAAAAATGCATTGGCATTAGAGAAAGAAAGTAAAGTTAAATGGAATAAATGAGTTGGGTCCTATGACCAACTTTACTGGCAAATGTAATATTTATGTTACTTCGTTTCTTTGCTTGATTATGAGTATTTTCAATTATGTTCTAATTTAATTGGTTAGTATTTTTTAAAAAGCAAAATGATTATCATAGCATTGGCATTTATTGTTCTGGTGATTTCCCATGTAACCTCCCCCTCTGTAAGCACCTGAGGCTCAGTAGTATACCAGTAAAGTGAATGGCAGAATTACAAAGTTTTACCTTTGAATTTCTAACTTCTAAGGATAGATTCTGAGGAGCAGCACTGGGAACTGAACAAGAAAATAAAATAAAATCAAAAGTTAATTACATACACATCACCCATTATGGGATTGTTCTTGGCTAGACTTCACACAACCATTATGTACCTCAAACATTGACTATGTGACCAGAAGGTTTCAACCTAGTTGCCAATAATGCCGTCATGCTGACAATCACAGGGGGATGAGGTGTGGCCGTGTTTGCTTAATTTTTAAAAATAAGACACTTTCATGTGAGCATGCACTGTGTATTTCAGAATGTACAGTGGCTCTACACTTTTCTAGACCCTGAACTTTTCTAGACTCCAGATGTATTCTGAATCTTAAGTATATTCTTCTGAATATTTGTCTTGGGAAACAGCCACACATTCTCTGGAACCAAGTCTAATGAATGTAGCAAGTGACTGAATTGGGTAATGACAATATGGATCAAAATGAGATGTACATAAATCAGTGAGCTTGGCTTTCTTGTGGGATTCCTAAACTGGTTTTGAAGGCAATTCCCAAGAGAGGAAGATATTTAAGCAATGACAGCTTTAGTTAAGTGAGCCATCTGGCTTCCTAAGGCAATTATGTATCAGGGAGCATGCATTTAGATGTGAGAAGTTTGGGACTATTGATTAAACAGCTGTATAACTTTAGTCCCTCACATATTAGAATATAACATGGGGGTATCTCAAAGTTTATGGACTATGTACTCTCCAGTATCTTTCTTCACAATGATTACAGTAAGCTAAAACAACAATAAACAGCTTAATTAGACTTTTCTCTACCACATTTCTTTTCTGATCCATCCAAGGGAACTTCTCTCTTCCTTTCTCTAACATTAAGTGATTAGGTATTTATGTGCCCACTGTGCTAAAGCTTGCTTATTGTAATTATAGCTTGTGCCTCAGGCCTCAACCCAAAGATGGCTGGAGAGAGTCTGGAGTAGGAGCCAGGCACCTATGCTTTACAAACAGTACATTCATGATCCATTCATCCACTGACTCAGCTGCAGAGGCACCTAACAGAGTTGTTTGTGACTGCTGTCTTTGTCAGCATCCTTAGAGCTAAGATTTGCTACATACTCACTATAGTGCAGGTACTTAACAACAATTTCACAAAGGGGTTTCTATTACTATTTCCATCTTATAGATTAAAAAATTATAGATGAGGTTCAGGTAAGTGAACTTGCCCAAGGCATTAGTTTCAGCTGGCATAAAAACTAAGATTTGCCTTACACCAAAGTGCTGCCCTAAATCACCATGCTAAGACATACTCAGTTCCATTCAGTTCCTGTAGGTTCTTGGTTGACATGACAACCCACTCAACACTGTTAAAAATTGGCTCATGTGCAGTTTAAAAAAGCCTATAATAAGCATTTTCCCCTCAATTTTTTACAAAAATTTTGACCAACTGGTTCATGCAGTTGGCTAGCCAAACTATAGTTTTTTATTTCTTTTTGCTCAACTTTGTATCCTAAAAAAGTCAAGCCCACAGAAGAGTGGCTTCTTTAGAATAGTATAATGAAAACCATATATTCTGTTCCTGGTTCACCAATTATTAATATTATGTGACATCTGCTTTACTTTTTTCACTAGAAATATACATACACACAGATTTACCTATCCACATATTATTTCTGAATCATCTGAGAGGTGGCTGCAGTCACTATGATACTTCCCTCCTAAACACTTCAGAACGTATCTCCATGAATCTCTAAAGAATTAGGACAGGCTCCAATAAAACTACAATACAATGATTAAATTCAGGAAATGTAATCTTGACACAAAATATTAGCTAATAACACTTCTAATATTTAATATTGCCTAATACTGTGCAGAGCTAACATTAATTATGACAACTGTGTTCAGTATGGCTGCTTTGTCTCCAGATTCAAACATCATACTTATTTCATGTGTCTTTACTCTTCTTTAAAATAGATTCTAGAATGATTCTCCATCCCACCCCCACCTTTCTCTTTCCTAAGACAAATATATTTTAAGAATCTAGGTCAGCTTTTAAAAGTAAAGAATAATTTTTTCCCCAGAACATCCTTCTATTTGGATATATCTGATTGTTTCAATTGTGTTCAGATGTGTGTTTAATATTTTGGGCAGGGACACAACAGAAGTGAGGCTGTGTCTTTCTTTGTGCATCACATCAGAGGCACAAGATGTCAGTCTGTTCCTTTACTGGGGATATCAAGTTAGATCATATGCTCAAGGGAGTCAAACTATAGCTTCTAAAGCACAGATATATATATCTATCTCACTGGATTTAGCTTAGTTTCATCCAACAATAGACACTTTTACTAGGGGTAATGAACTCTGAACTCTGATATTTTCTATTTTATTCTAAAAATATTTTTTAAAAAATGCTGGTCTTGACCTACTTGATCTTTTTGGCAAGCTGCAGTTTGAAAAATATAGCTCTAGATCATATATATATATATATATATATATATATATATATATATATATATAAAAATATATAAATATAACTTAGGTTAGAATTCAGTCACAGGTGAAAATGAAACTCGGAAAATACTGAGGATACAAAAAGATTTAGTAAGTAAATATGATTGCTAAGTTGAATAAGGGCAGCCTTCCAACAGCCCTGAAATGGTCTGTGGAACAAACAATCGTACTTATTTACACAGAAGACTTTGCTAAAAATATAAGAACCAAGAACCTATTTAGTACCAGACACTGTATGTTCTATGCTTTCTTGGTGCATCTTTAGAGCAACCAATGAAGTCAGTGTTATCTGCATTTTACATGTGTGGGAACGTGCTCAGAAAAGTTAAGCAGCTTGACCAAAGTCACACTACCAATAAAGGTTAGAAATAGGATTTTAGCTGAATCTTCTTTACATGATCTTACTACAATATTGCTAGGGGCATAAAGCATAGTACTTTGTTCCAAAAGAAGAAAGACTTACCATCTGACAATGTTCGAACAGCAACATCCTGTGTGGAGACTCCAGGACCATGTTTATTGTAGGCCACTACTCGGAAACTATACTCTGTATATTTTTTCAATCCATTAAGAGTGTAGGAGTGACTTGAAATATCAACATCCTTGAATAAAATAAAACACTGTTTATATATACAACTCTAGCCAAAAGAAATGCTATAAAATAATGATTAACTATACAAATTCTATATTCTTTGCACTTTTATAAATGCTATTTAATGGTTAAAGCAGATTAAAATAATTAATACTGGCACTTTACTTAGAAATATCACCTGTTGTTAAGTGACTCTTGCTGGTAAAAACTACAGAGTAAATCATGTTACAAAGAAATAGACCCTGACAACTTTGTGTTTCCTACACATCTTTTCCCCCACTTTCACTTCCCAGTCAAATAACTATGGAGTTTGGGAAATATATTCCAACTCTTTATTTAAACCAATGGTTTATAAATGGCTTCATTTTATACCTGTTCTTTATCTGTTCCTTTTTCCATGTAGTACAATTTGTAATTTTGAATTTCCCCATTGCCAGACAATGGGGTTTCCCATGTGACAGTGATGGAAGTAGGAGATGTTGCATAAGCTCGGATGTTAGGTGCTGGGCCAGGGAGCTGGACTGGAAAGAAGATTTCAAGACAGCGAGACACAAATGAGATTTATTGCACTCCTTAATAACCATTCTCATCAATACTATCATACTGGCCATGTTTTAGAAACAATTGGAACTAAGAAAACAACTGACTTGATTGATGTGGTATTAGGCTAATACATATATAGTAGAGTAGGAGCATGACATGATCAGATCTGTATTTAGGAAGCACATGTGAACAGTAAAGGAACAAGATTAGATAAAGAAATATTTTAAAAACAGTTATCATTTACTAAATGCTTACCAGTTAAGAATTCAGTTCTTTACATGCTTTTTTTGGTCATTTATTTTTTTGCTAACTCATAAGATGAATATTATTAGCATCCCCATTTACATTTGAGGTTTTGAAGTTAAGAACCTTTACTAAGTGATGGGAAAGTTATAGTAGTGGAACCAAATGCCAGGCACTTCCCAATTCTAAAATAAGAGCTCAAAGACATTAATAAGGAGATTGTTGCAATACTGTCAGTAGGATGCACATGATTGAAAAACTGAATTGGCGGTTGACTGAGCAACTGCTGTCAAATGATGGATGGTGTACCCGAATCTTATTTGTACAATGGCTCACATATTGACCATTTCACTGTATTCTTTTTTTCTGACTGACAGATTCTAGTTCCTATTTATTCACAAATCCTGCATAGTTGCCCATGTCTACATTTCAGTAGACATCCCATATTTGAAAACAATTTCTCTGGCACTAGTGTCTCTGTAACAGGCATCCATAAGATAAAAGCTTGGAAGGGGGGAAAAAACCCTAACAAAATGTAAAACTGGCTTTCTTGAATAACAGCACTGCAATTTAAGATTTATTTTTCTACGGAACTAGGGGAACCTGAATATCGTTACTTGAACAGTTGTTTGCTTTATTTAGTTATAAGTCATGTTATTCACTTAATGTTAAGAGCATATTTTGTTCAGCCTGACAGGCAGCATTTGTAGCACTTCTGCAGCAATGGAAAACTTTCCTGTAACTTACTAAAGGGGAAGGAAAACACAACGGCTCCTAAATTCCCTTGAAATCACTTTCAATATATTCAGTGGCTAAGTGCAAGCAAATACAATCCTAAAAAAGGTGCTAATGAATTCTTTCATTTCTGCTGTACAGTGACATAATAAATGGAAGAAATTTTAAGTTGGTTTATGAAGCTAAATATGCAAAATATTTTCCAAGGGCTGACTCCAACATTTATACCTCCTTCACATAAGCTGAATACCTCCAGATGAAATGCAAATCCCTCTTCATTCCCTGCTACTCGTTTGCTAAAACATGTTATAGTCTTTCTTCAACCTGAAAATATCCTCACCAGAACCTGTTGCCCCATCTACCCGTATTCTTAATTACTTTCTCTTTAACCAAACTCCCTGAACAAATGATTGTGATGCCTATTTTTCTTGTGATGGCCATATTTGACAGTACTATGTATTTACTTGTCTGTCTCTGATGTCAGACTGAAGCTCTTTTGGACAAAAGTCAAGTTTTACTCTTCTTTCCATCTTGATTGCCTAATACAGTGACTGGCACATATTAAGCACCCAATAGTTACTTTTCCTTAATCTTTTCTTTCATTTCTCAATCTGTCAACAACCCTATAGTCCAGGGGTTCTCAACAAGTTCACACACAAAATCTGAAATGATAATGAAAGCTGCAGATTCTTTCTATGGGAAATGTGAATGTACAGGCACCCACAAATATTTTTGTGTAGTACTCAGAAGATTCCACAGTTCCAGGATAAAACCTTGCAGTGGATCAAATCCTGTGGTCTTTCCTTCACTTTCATCATGACTCACCTTGCATGAGCATGGATAATGTTTGATCCTATTTCTGGGATTTGGGTCATACAGCTTCTTTTCTCAAGAATGCTAAGTTCAAATGCTTCAAGGTCAATCTCAGGTCTCATCTTTTCCAAGAATTCTGCCTTGACTTACTACCTTTTGAAGTAAATTTCCATATCTCTTATGTATGATGCCTGCACAAAAAAGCTTATGAAGGATAATTGAGCTTAAAATTTAGTGTAGTATTTCTGCACTTGTCTGAACGTGGATAACTGTGAAATTCAACATCCTTTCTCTGTAAGAAGAACACATTTTTTTCCCTTAAATTAACTGGTGTGGATTCTGATGTCCTTGTGTTCTTGCTCCTTATCACTGAAATGATCAATGGCCTTCTATTTTCATTGCTTCTTCTATAAGAGGAGAAATCTTATCTTCTTTATCCCTGTATCTCTAATACCCTGCAGAGTACCTGGGTTATGATAAACTCAAATTTTGATCAATGAGTGATTTTCTAGAGCATTGTAAAGCTCTACAGCTTCTTGACTTCATTTATTCTAACCATCAGGGAAAGTCTTTGAATTATTTCTATAATTGCACTAGTACATTCATTCATTCTGTTTAGTTCCTAGGTCATTCGTTTTCATAAATGTATCTCACATGCTTTCAAAGCAAAATCTTTATTACCAGAGGTTTGTGAATCACAACAAAAAATCTTGAGCAATTAATAGTAAAAGTAAACTGGAGAATGTTCTGAAGAAAAACAGTGGCTAAAGTTAAAGGTAAAGGAAAACCAGTGGCTGGTTTTGACAGAAGTGTAGAAAAAGTGCCAACTGGGGAAAGCATTAATTATGACTTGATTGTTTCTTATAATTTCAGGCCTATAGTTTACAACCAAAACTTAAGGTATACAGGTCATTTATAATATAAACCAACCTGATACTTGTCTCACAAAAAATCTTAAAAATGTAGTTAGAAGTACCACTGTTAGTACAAAAGACCAAAGGTGCAAAATAAAGGGTCCAAGATCTTTTAATGAGTGAGATATGCATTAGGACAGGGAAGTCTGGCTGACAACAATAATAAATATCCACTTTATGTGCAAGGCACTACGTTATATGAAATATCCATAAAATAAGCAAGATATAATCACAACTGAAGGAAGAAAGTGATAATTTGTCTCAGAGTAGACAGGATCAAAAGAAAGATTACAGAAGGCATCTGAGCTGTCTTAAAGGATCAGTACAATATGAATATGTAGAAAAGTATCTGCAGAATTATACCATCTCATACTATTTGTTGCTGTTTGATGAAAATTCATTTTGTCTTCCCTAGTTCTTAAGGACCTGAAGATGAGGAGCTATCAGCTTCTGCTTTCCTATGGTATGCAAGGCTTAACGTAAGAGAGACCTTCATATAGGTCTCCCTCTGCAAAGGGCTGACAGATAGGTGGAAGAATTACCTTCAGGCTGTGTTTCTACTCGTAGTGGAGCTGAACTCTCTCCGAAGCCATGTTTATTTTGAGCCACAACTCTAAAGATGTACACAGTCGCTGGCATTAGATTTTGAATGGTTACCTGCATCTCTCCTGGGCGACTGGTATTCTCAACACGTTCCCTTTGGTCAAAGAAAGGTTTGAAAAAAAATAGTTATCGATTAGAAACATTTTAAGAATGTACAATTTCAATTTCACATCAAAATTCAATAACTTAAGTAAAAGTAAATCTCAAACAAATTAAACTCGAGTGGGGCGGTATAGCAATGCACAGTAGAATAAGGAGACCGGCGAAAGAGCAGGTCATATCTGACAAGTCACTGATGTCCTTGCTTGTTACTGGGATCACTGATTACAATCACTGCTTCTTTTCAGATGTGGCCCAGGGCTCTCAGCACCATTTCAAATGGGGCAGCTAGTCATCAACTTTGTAGGCTTTAGAAATCATTAAGGGTTTTTTGTTTTGTTTTGGTACAGAGGATTGTACCTAAGGGCACTTTACCACTGATCTATCCAAAATCCTTCTGAGACAGGATCTTGTGAACTTGTGATCCTCTTGCCTCAGCCTCCTGAGTTGCTGGGACTACAGGCAGGTACCACCATGTCCATCTTAGAAATCACTGAATTTTAAGGAGTTAATCCCAGGGAAATGGACAGAAGGTGGCTGTAGGCATCATCTGATTTTCACAGAAAATATCAAGGAATGCTGTTTGAGTAAGAGATTTTCAATAAAAACAAAGATGTATGGCTGGTATTGTGGCTCAGCGGTACAGCGCTCGCCTAGCATGGGCGGGACCCAGGTTCGATCCTCAACACCACATAAAAATAAAGGCATTGTGTTGTGTCCATCTACACCTAAAAAATAAATATTAAAAAACAAACAAACAAACAAAAAATCCAAAGCTGTAGTGTATTGATTTTTAAATAGAGAACAAAAACATTAAAATTTACATGTAACTCAACCTATAAAAAAAGATAATTCACGGCACTAACTTTAATAATTCCACCTCCCTCCCAAAATGGGGATTGAACCCAGGAGCACTCTACAACTAAGGGACATCCCTAGACTTTTTTGTTTTACTGAGACAGGGTCTCACTAAGTTGTCAAGGCTGGTTTTGAACTTGAAATCCTCCTGTCTCAGCTTCCTAAGTAGCTGGGATTACAGGCATGTACCACCAAGCCTGGCTATAATGTAATTATTAAATTAATACACTTTTTGAATGATCTTCAAAATGATTTGAAAGGTCTGACAAGTCTTATCACAAAAACAACAAATTAATCTAGTTGATCCAGTGTTATAGGACCGAAAGTATAAAAGTGGTTGTCTAGATTCTTTATAAAAAGGTAGCTTCTACATTCTGTTTTGGGGGTTGGGTTTATGTGTCCAGTGTAGCTTCATAATTAATACTCAGACTATTATATTTGCCATAATGAAAATAAGATTATAAAAGAGTTTTCAACAAATATTGTGAAGAAATTTGTTTTAGATAGTTGTCATTCACAGAAGGAAGACCAATAGAATAGGGAAATGGGCCTGAGGGAGGGAGAGGAAGAGAGAAAGAGAAGGTACTGGGGACTGAAATGTAGTAACTAAAATTTCATGTATGATTTTATGGATGATTATGTTAAAATGAACCTAAGTATGATAACTATAAAGCACTATTAAAGCCTAAAAAAAGAATTGTCATTCATGTCAGAAAAGATATGAACCTATGTTGAAAATGAAAAGAATCCAAAGCTATGCTGCAGAGAAAATTATTCTGAATTACCAAATCTGCTGAATTAAAATTCTTACTTCAAAATATTGCTTATTTGGGCTGGGGTTCTGGCTCAGCAGAAGAGCACTTGTCTAGCACGTGTAAGGCCATGGGTTCAATCTTCAGCACCACATGATAATAAATAAAATAAAGGTATTGTGTCCAACTACAACTAAAAAATAAATACTTAAAAAATATTGCTAATTTGTCTTTAAAATTGCTGATTAAAATTTGTTTAGGTTTATGTAGATATATGACAATTTATTGATTATATATGAACATTTGCATTTGAGATTTAAGTATTTTCAACCATTCTTTAAAAAAGTTACAATAATACTAGAGAAAGGGATGTAGCTCAGTGATTCCTAGCATTGCAACAAAATAAAACACACAAAACCAGTACCCACTATAATCAGGTCCACTAGAAAAGAGTATTATGGTAATAAAAATTATTGTTCAGAGATACTTGAGGTATTTATAAATATTAAGTTCTTAAACTTCTAAATCACACGATTTAGAAGGAGGGTATCAACTGATTTCTTATACTTTGAAGTTTCTAACACTTGATCTGATTACAAATGATTGCTGTTTAAGAGGAAGTATCATATTTTATAATTAAAACTAAAAGCTCCATGAGAGAGCACATAATAGGTCTCTTTTGCTCACCTTCTATATAAAATTTTAAAACAGGTTCTTTCCCAGAAAGATAACTTGGCAGGGGGTGCTCTTTTATTTTAAATTGAAGTGAAAGACTCTCATTCATATTCACATACTTAAGAAGCACTAGGCGCGGAATGCTCAAATGGGGAAGCAGTCTTATACATGTTTATAGAATGAATGAAAATTTGTCTTCTGATGTATAAATCTTAGAGAGTAATATCATCATATTATCTTTTGTTTGTTCCTACATGAAAGGGTGAATGTGTGAGAAATGAAAAAAGATTCTACAGAAGCATCACTATAAAAATAAAATCAGTCATAGGTATAATTCCCTAAGATGAAGAACACAGCGTCTGAGAAGGCTCTGACATTAGATTGGTCTGATGTCCCAGAACCAAGTCTCTGTTGAGGAAAAAACAAAAAACAAAACCCAAAAACCTTGACTTCAGGCCAATATCCGGGTAGTGTTAAAAGGGCAATTCTCAAATATGTGGGATTACAGTGAAGTTTAAGGAAGGGTGTGATAGCTAAGAGTTGAAAGGACAAGGTACACTTTATATTAAGGCAATGCTGGGCCAGAAATTTGAAGATCTACTTCCAGTTGAGCAATGCTACTAGCTTACAAGAGACTATGGGAGTCACCAGGTATTTCTGAGCTCCACTTTCCTTTATGAATTGAATGAAGGAATGAGATGGGTGGATAAACGTTTTCTTAAAGAGCCCAACAGTAAATAATTATAGATCAAAAGACAAAATGGAGGATACTGTGTACTTACTTATATAACTTTTCAAAATGCAACCATTTGAAAATATAAAAACTATGCTTAGTTCTTGGGACATAAAAAGAAAAGCTCTGGTTTGGCTTCAGGTCCATAGATTGACAAACCCTGGACTACACTAACAGACCTCTAAGGTTTCATCCATGTCTAACATGATATCAATATCAGGCTCAGGTAACTCAGGTTCCTAAAGAACTATGGCTGATGATCAAGGCCTGTACTGCCATCTAGCGGTTGAACTGTCAAATGCAGGAAGTGTGCAATTTGCAAATGAAGGTAGTGGCATACAACCTTACAATGAATTCTTTTTATGTCTGTGAAGTAACTTATTACCCTTGTTTTTTAGATGAGAAAATTCAATCTTAGAAAAATTAAATAAATTCTGTTTATAAAACAATAATCCAGGATATAGTCTGACTTACAGAGTTCTTTACTACTCGTACACTGCCTCTATTCAGAAATTACAAACTTCAAATAATGAAGTAACACTATCACAGTCTCAAAGGATCTTCCTTTTAAAATTTCCCCTATCCACTCCACATCACTGCTCTCATCAACCACTACATGTCTACATTAACATAAGTATTACCTAATTTGTCTTCCTGGCTCTATTTTTTCCCTTTCTTATCTTGTATAGAAGTGCTGCTAATACAAAACGTTCAATACAATCACATTGCACACTCACTTGAGAGTCTAAAATGGCCCCTTCTCATCTGCTTATGTCCAAATTTTTACTGGCATTCCAATGTCTGGCTTCAAACTTCCATTTTATTTTTTTATTTGTTCTTTTTAGATACACATGATAGTAGGGTGTATTTTGACATATACTTCCACTTTATTTTAACCTCTTGCTAAATCTCTGGTCAAACTAGCTTTATGACTGCCCTGTTTTTCTTATACCAGAAATTCAGATGCAACGAGACCCTTCCCTTGCATTATCCCTTCCTTTACACATAAGTTGCCTGCTCCTGCCAACTTAACTTCTATATTTCTCTCAACTCCAACTTCACTTATTAATCACCTCTGCTTAACTCCAACCCATGATCTACTAATTAAAAAAAATAAACGTAAGGATAATCATTAAAACATATGAATACAAAAGTATATGTTTATATATGTATATATGTGTGTACACATACACACACAAACACACAATTTAAAAAAATACTAGTTCTCTTCCTCAAAATCTGAACTACCCTGAAACCTAACTGTGACATATACATTTTGTCCTATCTTATTAGACCCCTCTGGGCCAGGGTTTCTCAACCTTTGCAGTACTGAGATATGGGACAATATAATTGTTTGTTATGTGGCTGTCCTGGACATTGTAGGATATACAGGACTGCATCTCTGGTCCCTACCCACTACATGTCAGTAAGTACCTCCTTAACTCCAGTTGTAAAAATAAAAAATGTTGCTAAATGTTTTCCGATGAATGGGGGCAAAACTGCTCCTGGCTGAGAATCACCGTTCTGGTGATTCTTTTAAAAGCCAGACAGTTATTTTTGAGGGAAATGTACTTCTGGTAGATTGAACAAGGACAAAAGTCCCATTTTGGAAATAGAACTTGTTATTCAGAGGACTTACTAAATGTTTTCTTCATTTTGTGAACTCCTATGAGATCTGCAATGAGATTACAAAGTCTACTGGACATGTATATACACATTGAAATATATAATTCATCATTTAAAAACTCCTGCATCATACTTCATATGGGTTTACATATATTATATGCCCATTCCTCTACCAATGGATTCTTACACTGTTTCCCGTCTTAATCTTATGAATAATACTATAATAAAAACTTTTGCACGAGTGTCCTAAGCACATGTATATCTCTATAGAAAAAATATTCCAAAGTGTAATTATTGGATTCGAGGCTATGTGCATTAAAAAGATTTGAAAGTTCTGTCAAATCATCTTCCCTAAAAATTATTTTAATACTCAATGGCCTAGAGTGAATTTTTTTCAGCCTTCAATTCATTTAATACTGGATACTTGTCAATTTAAAATTTTTGTCAGCCCTCTAGATAAATAAAGATAACTGTCATGAATTTCCAAGATTTCTAGAGTTGGTGAAAAAGTTTAAGGGCTATCCACTAACTTATGTAAATTGCCCGACTGTATCATTTGTCTTTTGGAATATTTTTTATGATTTATAGGAACTCTTCATATAGACTGGATATCAATACAAGCTTTTATAAATGTTACACTTTTCTTTTTTTTCTCATTATTTTTTTGTGTGATGCTAGGGATTGAACCCAGGGCTTTGTGCATGCAAGGCAAGCACTCTACCAGCTGAACTATAACCCCATTCCTACAAACACTTTTTCTAACTTGTCACCTGATGTTGATCTTGTTTATGTTTTATTGGATGAAATTTTACAGTTACATAAAATAAAATGTCTTTCTTGTTATTTCTGGGTTTTCTTTTAGAAGGCCCTTTCCACTCCCCAAATGATAAGAATAGTTTCAGTATTTTTGTCTAAAATATTTATATTATGTTAATGTATTAATATATTTCTCTAATATATTTATATTTGGTTTAAAAATGATCTCTAATCCACCTATAATGCTATTATACACAATAACAATATAAAATGGGAATAGAGCTTATTTTCTTACCAAATGGTCAAATACCTCAACACGATTTCATGAATAATGTATTTTTTCTCCATTTATTAAAACTAATTTATCCAATTAATAAATATTTATTTAGTGCTACTATATGCCAGGTTCTGTTCCAGGTGCTGGGAACACTACTGAACAAGACAGACACAATAAATAAGTTAATAAAAGAAAAATTTCAGAGACTGACACCCCCCCCCAAAAAAAAACCCCTCAAAATAACAACAACAACAAAAAGGCAAAACCAACAGAATAGGATGACATGATGGCAGCAGTGTTCTTAATAACTGGCTCTGGTTTATAGCACTGTCAGTATAAAGACTCCCACAAAACCCCATTTCCAGCTGCCATATCATGTCATGAAGTTTGGAAAATTTCCTGAAAATTAACAATTGATATGGGAATAAGCTGGTTCTAATATATCACACTGTAATAGTGACAGAAGGGGCTAAGTTTGGGTGGGTATTCAGGAAAGGCCTGAAAAGGTGTCCTCAGATGATAAACAAGAAGCCAGACATGGTTATTTTTGAGGGAAATGTACTTCTGATAGACTGAACAAGGACAAAAGTCCCATTTTGGAAACAGAGTTTGTTATGCAGAAGACTTACTAAATGTTTTCTTAATTTTGTGAACTCCTATGAGATCTGCAATGAGATTACAAAGTCTACTGGAGATATGTTAACACTGATACTGACATTTGCTGTTTGGTCATGTCTTGTTTTGTGTAATGATCTTTGTAAAACCTAAAACATCCAGTACAGCATTCAGGTAAACAATACCCCAAAAGTAGCTCTATCTATGAGGATCAAATGATGTCACTCAAACTTTTAAGAGTATTAAATTATTTGCTGAGCATGCTAGGCTGCATTAAATGTAATTACACGTGAATCAACTGTAAGCACCCTAATAGAAATACAAGCTGTATAGTAGGACCCTAACACATTCTTTTAGGTTTCTTATTTTGGTGTGAAGTAAGAGTGCAATGAAGGTATCTACTCAAGCAATGTTGAGAACACACTTTAGCATGTGCCATGGCTTCTGACAAAGAGTTGATAATCTGTTTGGGAAAACAATACAAATACTCATAAGGTAATCAAAGATTAACTTAAGGTAGTCTCATGTTACCATAATCAAGAGTTACTGTTAGTAGTTGCACTACATATATGAGATAAATGTTAATGTGCTCAAAGTACAAAAAGCTCTGGGAGGGCTTCATGGGACTTAATTTAGGAATAGGAGGATTAACTGAATTTTATTTTAGCTGAGGGAAAGATGAGCCACTAAGGAAACTAGAAAAGAGGGCTATAGCCATAAAAATTAATTTCATTAGAACATTAATTAAACTTGAGGAGAAAAGGAAAACAAAGGTGGACAGATAAAATTAAGTCAGACTGTAGAGTAAATCAGTCCAAAGATTTTGGATATTCTTCTATAAGCAATGGAGAAACAATGTGAGCTCCTGAAAGGTGGAGATGGAAAGGGATTTAACATTAAAACTAGTCACTACTACTCTTGCATTATCAAGGAGACCCTGGAGCTCAATAGCCCACAACACATACTGGCACAGGCTTACATTCAAGATAACTTTAATAAATTGTCTACTTTAATCTCTAGAATCTATGCTGACTGAATCTTATGGAAAAAGGGTAGCCTTGGTTATGTTTAAATACTTCCAACCTAAGGAGGTCTATCTACCCTCTCACCAAGTTAACCCAGAAAGGGAGGAAAAAATACCAAGGACTTGAGTCTGTTGGGGAATTTATTTAATGACCTAAAATTAGGAAACATGCATTCAGTGATCACATTTCCTGGACTGAAAATTGATGCAGATTCTATACAATGGAGAGCCAGAGTAAGCATGACTGGATGGGTATGAACCAACGGGCAGTCCACTGACTCCAGGCATATAGGCACTTACCTAGCAATTCCTTCCTTGGTGTAGAATACAGAATAGGTGAGGTTATCTCCATGAGGATCTGATGCAGGTGTTCGCCATGTTAATTTGATGAAGCGGGTAGAGACCAGGGAGGCCACGACATCCCGAGGAGCTGAAGGCAGTGGTCCCGTTGTGGCTGGTGCTAGATGGTCAGTAGTGGCACTGGTCAGTGAAGTGGGAGGTAATGTTGGGATGGCAACATCTTGTCATGTGCAAACATTGGGGAATATGAAGGGCAAACCACGACGGTTTTTAAAAAGAGAACAGAAAAAACAAAAAACAAAAAAGAAATAAACAAAACCACGATGGGAAATAAAATAAAATGAATGAACATAAAAAAGGCCATTAAACTGAAGGCTAACATGCAGGCCAGGGGTAACTACTGAAAACTAATGGGCACTGTTCAAGACACATCACTGTAGAGCAAGCAGACTTTCTGGTCATTATGATTGTGGGTAAGGGACAAGGAAAGTAACAGCTGAAAATAACACATTTCACAGGACACAGAGTGCCCAGATAATTTTCTTAATCCTGAAAGTAGCATGCAACATGTGTCAAACTTTGCATATAAAACTTTCATAAAGATAGACCTCAATATTTTCTCAAAATACAGAATGTACACAGTATGGAGGATCCTAGTTACAATGTAGATAGTATGAACAAGCCTAGGTACACTCAACATAGGCTTCTCCCTATCATGATCTCATTGCAGAGTTATGTGTCTCTTCAGCCCTACAGGAGATTCGAAAGCCATTATCTTCAGCTTTGGTTGAATATTAAACTCTGTTGTCTGTGTTGGCAATACTCAGGGAAGTGACAATTTTTGCTAAATTACACTTCATTTGCTATCACATCTATTCATTTGACTACAACAGTATAAAATCCTAAGTCAAAAATTCCAAAGCCACAAAAATAAGTAGCTCATCTGTTTGTTATGATTCTGAATGCAAAGTACATTAAACCAACGTGTGGACTGGATGGGAGAGATGAGGCAGTGACACTAGTTTAAAGTCTCTGTCTGTATACCTGCAACCATGGATAAATTTACCTCCTAAGACAGCCTGTTTTACTGTTGGGACAGTTCTGATTTTAAAAATTTATTCCTAATACAGAACCTAAAATTTTCTTCACTTTGAAACAGATAGTACAAAATTAATCTCACAATTTTTAATTAAAAGAGTTCATCAATTAGAATTGTGTCAAAGCACTGAAGAAATGGCTCAGTGCTTGCCTAGCATATGTGGGCCTGAGGTTCTGGGTTTGATCCCTAGTACCACACACAAAAAAAGGAAAGAATTTTATCAAATACTTAGTGGGGGAAGAGAACATGGAATTTGCAGACCTAGATTTGAATGAAGTGGTAGGGAAACAACCTCCTGGAAACAACTGTGGAATATAAGAGAGTCTAAAGTGATACAATATAAATTAATATGTCAGATGAATTCCATTTTCTAAGGGAAATGTCAGCAGAGGGCCAACCTGAGCTTTACATAGTTGGGATGGAAGCGAGAGTGTAATCCAATAGCTACATTGATTGAGCACTATGGCTCCTTACACAATCATTGGATCCTCATGACATCTCTATGAAATCAGTACTATCATCGCATCTTTGTCTTTTATGTAGGAACTGGTGTTTAAAAGGACTAAACTGGTGTTTAAAAGGACTAAATTACTCAAGTGGGGAACAGAAAATCCAACTTTTGTTTTTAGTTTAAGAGGCCCTTGGATATAGCTGGGAATGTGAGAGTGGATTTGACACCATTTGTGTGTCGCCATGAGCAAATCACTTTTTTCTTGCTCTCTCCTTTTCCTCTAGCCCCACAGAAGTGAGTTTTTAATTTGTTTGTTTTGTGGTGCTGGGAAATCAAACCCAACAAGTGCTCTACCACTAAGTTATATCCTCACCCCACTGAAGTGCTTTGCTGACTCATTTCTATACCTGTTTAGAACCATTCAAAGCTGCCTCCAAGTCTGACCTGACTGGCCAAGCCTAATTTCCCCCAACATCTACTATTGACTGATGTCAGTCTATTATGCAAGAAAGAGTAGAATATGCTACAAAGATCCCAGGATTTCAAGTATAAAGACTCAGGCTTAAAACTTGACCTGTCATTTTCTAATAATGTGAGGGTAAGCAAGTCAGACTGTCTGATGTCAATTTCCTTGTCTGTGAACTCTAACAGTAATATTCCCTACCTGTGTCCCAGGCTGATATAAAACAGAATAGCAAATAAAAAACTGCATGTGAAATCACTATATAGGTTAGTTATTACCATGACTTGAAAGGGTAACAAGCTCAAGCATAAAAGCAGTCAGGAGGGAATATAAGCAGGGATAACTAGGTAAAGAAAGTAATGGGTAATGCTGAAATCATTTAGGGAAATTCAGTTGTCTTACTAAACTTCTAAAGCACAGATCTGTCATTTGTTAATGAAATCTAGTACTTCCCATTCACATTGTTTGTGTTTATACTATCACACTAACCTATAAACTCCTTAAGGACAAGATCTATATCTGCTTCATTTTAGAATCACTCACTATGCCTTTGTCTACTTTAGATAACCAATAAATGTTTATTTACTGAATTAATAAATGGAAGAGGGCTGGGGATGTGGCTCAAGCGGTAGCGCACTCGCCTGGCGTGCGTGCTGCCCGGGTTCGATCCTCAGCGCCACATGCAAACAAAGATGTTGTGTCTGCCAAAAATTAAAAAATTCTCTCTCTCTCTCTCTTTAAAAAAAAAAAAAAAAAAAAAAAATTTAAAAAAAAAAAAAATAAATAAATGGAAGAAAATTCAGGGAGAACTTCCATCAATAGAGACCAATGTTTCAATAGCTCTCATTATACAAGGTAATATTTTAATGTTTTTAGTCAAAAAATATACACGATTCTTAGGTATACATTATGCAAAGCAAATGTATTTTGTCTTTCCACAGAAAATAAAAGTATAGATAGATTTTTGAAAATAATTCCTAATTATTCATGTCTACTGTAGCCCTAGTTCTTTCCCCAGGTGGGTTCTATTGCTGCTATTCCAAGTTCTAATTAGTAGATAACAGAAAGAGACTTGTATGACTACAGAGAATTGAACAGGCAGTTAAGTTACCCCAGAATCCATGGCCAGATACTGTAGATTCAGACTCTGGACTTTTGGCATGATAGTTTGAAGAGGCTGACAAATTCTCATTCCCAAAAGCAACTACAAAGCTGGACAAAATGGTCAAAGACTAGAAACTGACTAAAGGCATACAGCACGCTGAGAAGCTTTTATTCATGAAAACTACTAGACACTTCAGGTATAATCAGTGTCTGTGGCATTGCCCAGCTTTGTTGGAGTGATTGGTCAACTAGGCTACAGTAGACCCTGAAAACCAGTGGCTTTGCTTCTGTTGCCAAACGAGGCTCAGTTGAGATGGAGCATTGCCACCTATGGGGGCAACTGTGGTGGCATGTGAATGCTTCCCTAAGCCTGGGGTGGTGATCTTTTTAGGGATAAGCAATGAATAGTTGACTAGCCACAGAAGGTGTTCCATGAGGTGAGAAATCAATAAGAAGGCTTAGTAAACTCTCCATATATCCTAGGTTGCCTGGAGTCCATGTGTGTGCCTCAGAGACTGGAGCACATCCAAAGTACCTGTGAATCTTTGGCTGATGAAACCTGTGAATGTGTTTAGAAGACAAGTGAGAGAAGCTGGCAGAAAGCAAAACCAAGCAGAACAAAAATAACTTGGTTTGAATGTACTTCCAAAACTACACAAAGATTTCCTAGTTCAGAGTGGAAGGTTTATTGGCCTATGGTATTTGAGGACAATTTCTGACCAATCTTTGGCTGCACGCTAATTTATAGAGATATAAGGGTTAGCCCTAGAAAACAAAAACAAGAAAATCAACAATGAAAGTTAAGTAGAAACATGAGTAGTTGCACATGCTGGGTGAGACTTATTCAGTCCAAGCAAGTTATCAGACAAACAACATAACAAGAACTACTTCTGGGGTATTGGGAGAAGAGTTAGAATCCACAGCTGCTACAATATATTATCCAAAACATTTAATGTTTAACAAAAATGAGACATTCAACAAAATAAAACTCAGGAGGTAAAATGGCAATCAATGTCTCAGAAGATATTTGGATTATAGATTTAATAGACCTCAAAGCAGCTATTAAAGTATGTTCTACAAGGTCAGACATGGTGGTGCTTGCCTGTAATTATAGTAACTCAGGAGGCTGAGGCAGGAGGATAGCAAATTCAAGACAAGTCTCAGTAACTTAGCCACACTGTAAGCAACCTTGCAAGACCCTGTCTCAAAATAAAAAATAAAAAGATCTGGGGATGTGGTCCAGTGATTAAGCACCCCTGGGTTCAATCCCCAGTACCAAAAAAAAAAAAAAAAAAAAAAAAAGTTTTACAAACTAAGGAAACTGTAAAGAACTATGCAGGGTCTGAGAGTTTACCTTGTTTATAAGCTAACAGACTAACCTTTTATCATTTTGTGGGTGCTGGCAAAAGACTCAAGTTCTACATCAGAGACAAAGAACTTTATCACTAAGGGCAATGGCAGAAGCTACAGCTTGTTTGTTAGTATCAGTTCTGCATCCCATCTTCAAGTCTCCAGAGAAATGCAAAAAGCCCAGGATGGATTCCTGCACATGCGGTATGTTGCTACCAGAGAGGAACCCTGAGCTTGAGGTATCTGTCACTTTTGTAGCAAGGGGAAGCAATCCCTAGACAAAGATCATGCTTGCTCTGGACATTTAATTTAATTCTGCTGTGGTCAGAGAACATATTTTATATGTTTCAGTCTTTTCTGATATATTGAGCTTTGTTTTGTGATCCAGCATATAGTCCTATCTTGGAGATTGTTCCACATGTGCTTGAAAAAAAAAATCTGTATCTGCAGCTGTCTTTAATGTGGACAGTCTTTATCTGAAGAGTCTTTTTTTTTTTAATTTTTTATTGTTGGTTGTTCAAAACATTACATAGTTCTTGATATATCATATTTCACACTTTGATTCAAGTGGGTTATGAACTCCCATTTTTACCCCATATACAGATTGCAGAATCACATCAGTTACACATCCATTGATTTACATATTGCCATACTAGTGTCTGTTGTGTTCTGCTGCCTTTCCTATCCTCTACTATCCTCCCCTCCCCTCCCCTCCCCTCTTCTCTCTCTACCCCCTCTACTGTCATTCATCTC